GTAGGGTTGGCTTGGGAACTTCAACCATCTGGCTGATACGGGTTGAGAGGCCATGATAAAGTTTGATGCAGGCCCAGAAAGAACACAGGTGTGTGTGAGAGAGGTTGCGAGGGTGGAGTGGGGGGAGTGGGAGAATGAGAAAGAAATTCAGAGGGACAGACAAGCGCTCCAAGTCCCTTTATCACTCTCAAGGACTGCCAGGGCTCAAGGCTACAGAAAGTCCAATGGATGTACAGTAAATACAGCCCACACAAGTTTGCTAAGACAATTTCGCAACTTCCACAGTTTTGGAAGCACAAGATGGTCACAAAGTCCAGTCATTTTGGATTTGGCTCTGTTGCAAGGGAGGGCTCTGTAGCACGTTCAGCTATTTTTTATTGCCTCATTCATTCCACCCCCCTCCCAGGATTTGTCAGATGAAAATTGCTCCTTTCCCCACATATGGTGGGACTGCCCATAGGTGTTTAAATTCTGGACAGCAGTTTGGCAAGAAGTGACCCAAAACCGAAAATATCCTGTTACATATCCCCATAGGAGCCAGTGTGGTGTAGTGGTTAAGAGCGGTGGTCACGTAATCTGGGGAACCGGGTTCGCGTCTCCGCTCCTCCACATGCAGCTGCTGGGTGACCTTAGGCCAGTCACACTTCTTTGAAGTCTCTCAGCCCCACTCACCTCACAGAGTGTTTGTTGTGGGGGAGGAAGGGAAAGGAGAATGTTAGCCGCTTTGAGACTCCTGAAGGGGGGTGAAAGGCGGGATATCAAATCCAAACTCTTCTTCTTCTTCTTCTCTACTGTCCCAATTAAATCAGGATATCCCGTTTTAGGGCTCTGCACTCTCACGTGGGTCACTTGACTCGCCTGGGACCGCATCATGGAAGACGCACAGCCCAGATTTTGGCCATTCTCTTGACATGGATGCTGGTGGCTGTCAGAATGTGCCATAGATTTGCATAGCAGCATTATGATAGCAGTTTTACGGTAATTCATTAAAGATCCCTAGCATAAAGGTAAAGGTAAAGGTAAAGGTAAAGGTAAAGGGACCCCTGACCATTAGGTCCAGTCATGACCGACTCTGGGGTTGCTGCACTCATCTCGCTTTATTGGCCGAGGGAGCCGGCGTGCAGCTTCCGGGTCATGTGGCCAGCATGACTAAACCGCTTCTGACGAACCAGAGCAGCACACGGAAATGCCATTTACCTTCCCGCCAGAGTGGTACCTATTTATCTACTTGCACTTTGACGTGCTTTCAAACTGCTAGGTTGGCAGGAGCAGGGACCGAGCAATGGGAGCTCACCCCTTGCGGGGATTCAAACCGCCGACCTTCTGATCAGCAAGTCCTAGGCTCTGTGGTTTAACCCACAGCGCCACCCGTGTCCCTATCCCTAGCATGGAATTTGACTTTTTCACAGTGGCCACACACTGGGTCGACATCTTCATTGATCTATCCACTATTACTCCATGCTCTTGTTCCTGGTCAGTCACAGCCAGTTCAAGCCCCATGAATGTATATGTGAAATTAAATTATTATTTTTGCACTGGCATGCATCTCTTTACACTTGCTTATACCCAATTGCATTGGCCATTTTACTGCAGCTTGGAGAGGTCCTTCACAATCTCGTTTTCTTTTAATGACCCTCATCCGCAAACCTGGCCACCTCACTGAGATGTTTGCTGAACCTCCATGAGATGTACTTGACAAATGGAGCACAATGCAAATGAAAGTCCCTTAAGCTGCGTGCTCCAAAGGGCATGTTAAAGCTACACAGCCTTATGCTTTGTTTGGCACCTGGCCAAACCCCGCAGAGGCACCCAAATTGGAGAAATACCTGGCACTTGCCGTTTCACCCAGTCCATCCTTTGTGGGAATGAGGAAATGTTCTCTTTTGATGGACATGTTCAACTGTTTGCATTCTTCTCTCAGCTGCACCAGGAAAGACAGATGGCAGATTTCTTTGATATCATGTTTCATTCATTTAACAACTTATTCAAAAACATCTTAAACCTCCATTTGGCCAAATTTGGCTGCCCACCTGTAGATACACCTGTTGAGACATCTGGATGGTTTATATTGAGTTATATGGGTGTGTTGATTATTATTGTATCCTTCATGTGAGCTGTTGATGTTCTTTTTTCTCCTTCACTTTCCCCCTCTTCCTCTACTTTCATTGTTTCTTCTTTGATTGTATGAATCATCATCATCCCAGAACATTTGTTGTATAAAAAGCTGCAGGATTTCAGCAGAAAGTTATGGGATGCTCACTAATTGGAAATGAAACTGTTAGCTCAGCCCTGAAACTGTTAGCAGGTTCAATGATCCCCCCATAAAAATGTCTAACCTTAGGAAAACTTATCACTTTGGATAGAGAACTCAGACAGTGGGAGAGAATCACTTGCCCACCTCATCTAGGCTGAGGGGGTGTGCAGAGGATGCCTTATTTGAGAGACCCCTTCCCCCAAAAAACTGGTCACTATGGCACTCCAGCTATTATTGGACTCTCCTCTGTCCCAGGCAACATGGCCAATGGTCCAACTGCCTTCTGTGAGCTGCTCATGAGGCAGAAACAGCTGACAAGCTGTCTTCTTCTTCTTTGGTGATCACTTGTAGCTGAGTAAGATTGTCTTCCATAAACACGTTTTTAACAGTGGGCCTGTAAGTGACTGTGGAGGCCAATTCTAGATCCACACATCTTCCACAGTGGGGACATAGGTCTCCGGGCGGTAGTTGATCACAGTGAGGGTTTGCCAAGTGTGCCTTCCTCTTAGCATGTTTCTCCCTTTTGTCCTGAATTCGAGCGTCTTCAAAGTCCAGGACACCTTTGGTAAAGGCTGTTCTCCAACTGGAGCGCTTGAAGGCCAGTGTTTCCCAGTTGTCGGTGTTTATACTACATTTTTTTAGATTTGCCTTGAGGGAGTCTTTAAACCTCTTTTGTTGACCGCCAGCATTACGCTTTCCATTTTTAAGTTCGGAATAAAGTAGTTGCTTTGGAAGACGATCATCAGGCATCATCACTTCAACACTGGTGATCTTTTCTTCTTCCAGTACACCGGCATTAGTTCACCTGTCTTCCCAAGTGATGTAAACACCTCCTTAAAGACCTATCTAATTAGGCAGGCATTCCCAGGCTCACATGATTCATCACATTGCTCCGTTTCGCTATTTATTGATATTTATCAAATGTTTTATTGATGGCCTCTCTGTTTTTACTTATGTATTCCTTTGTATTTTTTGGATTTGAGTGCGGCATTTCGTTTTTGTTTTCCCAAGTAGCTTGCTGCGATTTAGGCAAACTGCTTTGGGGTTCTGCATACTTAGAGGTACATAATATGCATGGGAGGTCCAGAGGGTGGCAGCATGGGAACAAGCCTTTTCAGTAGGGGCTCCCTTGTTGTGAAATGCTCTCTTCAGGAAGGCTCACCTGGTGCCTACAGGATAAATATTGACCTCCTGTATCCAGAATGCTTAGCTCTAGTTAATGCATGATGGGGTTAAGACCACAGTTTTGCAGGTTTAACTTGGTCATGCCCCCTCACATTTAGAGGATGGGCTGTCAAAGCTTTTTATTCCCTCTCTTCCACCATGTGAATCCTAAGCAGGAAATTGTCCAGTAGCACCTTAGAGACCAACTAAGTTTGTTCTGGGTATAAGCTTTCGTGTGCATGCAGACTTCTTCAGATACTTCTTCAGATGCATGCACACAAAAGCTTATACCCAGAACAAACTTAGTTGGACTCTAAGGTGCTACTGGACTATTTATTTATTTATTTATTTATTTATTTATTTATTTATTTAGACTAAGCAGGAAAGTTAGCTTTCTTGCTGAGAAGGACTGGGGTGCAATAATCAAATCGTCTGCAAATGCCAAAACATAAGAAACTTGTTCGGTTTTGCACTTAGTGTGCAAGGACTTGTCTGCATGATTTTGTGTGTACCTCAGCTGTGTGAGCAAGTTGTGTAGCTTCCCACTGCATGCTCTAACTGCTTGTTTTAATCCAGAAAGCCCCTTCTGAAGCCATAACCTCCAACATTTCTGTGATGAAATCAGGGGCATCCTAGCTTGCATATTTCCTTTGGTTTGATGAAACCTTGGGGCTGTTTCGTATAGATCTCTTACAAGATCTGCCCACACAAAAATGCCACTTTAATGTCTATGAGTTTCATTTGTTTAGAACCTAATACTCTCTCGGTGAGAGAGCCCCAGACCTGGATCTAGGCATCCAGGGAATTCTTATTTTACTATTTTGAAGCAAATTACCATTAAAACACCCACAGTGCCATCATCATGTATCTTTAGGCACCAGGCAAATACTTTTCTGTTTAACCAGGCCTTTGGCTTTTAACTATCTGTGGGTGTGATTTGATCTAATCTGATTGTTTTACTCTATCTTTGTGGGGGTTTTGTTTGTTTGTTGGTTTGCTTGCTTCCTTGCACGTCACCATGAGTTGAGCAAAAAAAAAGCAACTAATAAATTTAATAAATAATAATAGTTTATAAATAATTAGCGATGATGACAACGGAAGCCGGATCACGTATAACTGCTCTGACACCATCACAAGCACAAGTCGCCATGAATGCACAATAAGGCAAAGATGTCTGCTGTGGGGGGGGGACAAGTCCTGTCCCTCAGGATAGCCTTGAGACAAGCTGGGAAAGAGGGGGAATTGGATTCCATACCTGAGTGGCCTGCAGGGAATTTCAAGGCAGGACTGTGATGGAAGGGAGGCAGATTTTTCTCATTGAAGCGGACCAGATGTTTGGAGCAACGGCCAACGACTGAACAAAATGTGTGATGCTCTGCCAGCCTGCTTGTGCCAAGTGGACAGCAATAGCGTTATGGAATGCCTGGGCCTGAAATAAATCTTCTTCCCAGCCCCCAGGGTAGCTTCCTCCTTCCCTTCCCTCTGGGTGAAACACAGGACAGTGCCTTGCATAACAAACACTGCCAGTGACCTCTTTTCTCTCTCTCTGTCTCTCTCCCCTGTTTGCTTGCCAGGGGACATTCTGTGTGCTCTTTGTGACTCAAGAGCTGCCCACACTTCCAGCACCTCCTCCCTGGGGGCTGTTTGTAGAGGACGAGAGTCAGTTATAAAGAGACGGGCTGGACTGGCGAAGGCAGGAGCGGCACAGGGCGCAAAGGACCAGCCTCCACCTCGCCTGCCCATCGCCTGTATCCTGACCACCATGGGGAAGGGCCGGACCCTTGTGGGACCCAGCTTCTTTCTCCTGCTGCTGTTCCTCCTTCCTGGGGACACCTCGGCGTCTGCCACAGAACCGTAAGCTGCTTGCTGGAGGGGTTATCCCACCACACACACACACACACACACACACACACTTCCTTGCTTTCTGCAAAGTCCACCTCTGCCTCTATCCCCCAGAGAGCAACTCTCTTAAATCCCCATGCACAGCTTTGCAAAGGCAGAAGGTAGGGAGGCCAACAGCAGGGGGTGCTAGAGCCAGCACTTACCTGATGCCTGAATGCTGGTTTTGCTGCAACTTACAGAGAGGGGAAGGGGCAAGGCAGTGGGGAGGTCAGCACAGTGTGGGCGCCCCGGCAGGAGCATTGGAGTAGCAGCAAGGAGGTTGGCGCAGTGCGGACACACCTGCAGAAGCATTGGAGTAGCTCCATGGGCGTGTATGCTCTCTGCCAACCTCCCCACTGCATCACCCATCCCTCTGCGTAAGTGGCAGTAATACAGGCACCTATAAAAATAGCACTGGCTCTTCCTATAGCTAGATAGAAAGGTAAAGGGACCCCTGAACATTAGGTCCAGTCGTGGCCGACCCTGGGGTTGCGGCCTTCATCTTGCTTTACTGGCCGAGGGAGCCGGCGTACAGCTTCCGGGTCATGTGGCCAGCATGACTAAGCCGCTTCTGGCGAACCAGAGCAGCGCACGGAAACGCCGTTTACCTTCTCGTCAGAGCGGTACCTATTTATCTACTTGCACTTTGACATGCTTTCGAACTGCTAGGTTGGCAGGAGCAGGGACCGAGCAACGGGAGCTCACCCCGTTACGGGGATTAGAACCGCCAACCTTCTGATTGGCAAGTCCTAGGCTCTGTGGTTTAACCCACAGCGCCACCCACATCCCACTATAGCTAGATAGTCATAGTGTGACGCGGGTGGCGCTGTGGGTTAAACCACAGAGCCTAGGGCTTGCCGATAGCTAGATAGTCATGGGGGAAAGCATCAATTGGAGGAATTCCACCAAAGCTTTTGATGGGCCATAACTATAGTTGGGGCTTTTTTTCAGCCAGAACTTGCTGGAACTCAGTTCCGGCAAACTCTCAAGTGGGCCCTATTGCCATTCTAAGATAACAAGGGAGGCGTTTATGGTGACTTCCAGCACCTCTTTTTCTAGAAAAATTAGCCCTGGCTGTAATTATGAAACACAAACAAAGAGCCCCAGCGTCCTCCTCACCTCCCGGTCCCCCTGACCTTTCCTGCCCACCTCCTCCCAGGCAATACTTGGTTCTGGTGCCCTACTTGATCCACACAGAGACGCCCGAGAAGATCTGTATCCAGCTGAACCACCTGAATGAATCAGTGATGTTGAGCATCACTCTGGAGCACGGAGGGCAGAACAGGACCCTGCTCACTGACTTGGTGAACAAGAAGGATATGTTCGGGTGCTTCCCATTCCAGGTGAGAATTTATTGCTTGCCATTTTGCTCTATGCTCACATTGCAGCAGGCACCCTCATGCCAGCCGCTATGGTGCTCATATTCACGACTGCTGGTTCCTCTGCTGCCACGAGAGGAGCACTGGGCCATGCTGCGCTGGGGGGGGGGCACCTGCATGGGGGTTGAAGTGTAGGTGGATTCCCATGAGGCAAGACACAGTGATAACAGCAAGAACTAACAGAACGGGACAACAGGGGCAAAGCAACTGCCTATATACATTTCCGAAGGCCTGGGTCACTCCTACTCTCAACGTGATTGACTGTCTAAAGCTCCAAGCTGTGAATCATGACTCAGAGTTTAAGGGCCAATGGCGGAGGCCCAAATCCTGAAATGTTCTGTGATTGAATACCATGTATCGAATCAGAACGCAGGGGCTCATAATCCTTCGTCCAGACTCAAGCTCAGGCAAACACAGACCACTGAATACATAATAGGGGTGCCTGCTTCAAACCCCCTCAAAAATTCACACCTGACGCCATGGCCCCTCTAGCACCTCCTCTTCGAAAAAGATGCACAAAACACATCAAAATGCAGTATTTCCTATATTAAGAAAAGGATAGGTGTGGATTAAGAATGTCACGTGTACACACGGCTTTCCAAACCAGCAGTGGGAGCCCCCTAGATTCCAGGCAAATGACAGTCTATACACAGACCAAGCCTGCTCCTCTATTCCTTTTCCTTCCTCCTCCAGGTTCCCAAATTGAGCGGTTCTTCTAGCTCCACAGAGGCATTCCTCACAGTGGAGGTAAAAGGGGATACGCTGCGCTTCAAGAGCTGGAAAGCTGTGCTGGTCAAAGACCTGGACACCCTGCTCTTCATCCAGACAGACAAGCCCATCTACAAGCCAGGGGAGACTGGTAAGTGAGAGGCTGGGGTTACGGGAAGGGAGAACCACTAGATAAATACCACATCCCCTTTGTAAACAAGGCTCTCTACAGACCATGTTCAGCCTGCGAACGAGAAGATGGAGAGAGGTGATATGATAGCCATCTTCAAATACCTGAAGGGCTGTCGTCACATGGAAGGGAGAGCAATCTTGCTTTCTGCTGCTGTTTCAGAGGGGTAGGGTGGAAACCAACGGGTTCAAAATACAAGAAAGGAGAGTCTGGGGGAAAAACCAGGGACAACTTTCTGTCGGCAAGAAACACTCAACAGTGGAATAGACTCTCTCAGAAGGTGGAGGACAGAAGTCTGTCCATAGTTTGGACAGAACTGAGTATACATTACGTCTGGGAAATGAGCCCAGTGGTGTAGCGTGGGGGCTGTGGCTCCAGGTGCAATTTTGTGAGGGGGTGCAAACAGGCGCCCCCACAGCAGGCTCCCTCTTTGGGGCCTAGATCCATGCAAGAAGGGACTGTGCCTAGGCTGTGGCACTTGTGCCAGGCCGCAGCTCTGCCTCTGGGGTCCGGCCAGATCCAGTGGCAGAGAGCAAGAGAGTGTGCCGCCCACCTTCCTCAGCTGCGAGGTTCCTTGCGCCCGACTGCAGCAGCTCCGTCGGAGGGTCAGGCCTGACCTGGTGGTGGAGAGCAGGAGGAATGTGGGCAGCAGTTTCCCTGCTCCTCTTCTCCCCTGGACTGTAGCGCGCTGGAGGGGTGCCCTCCGTGCCCCTTGGGGGTGTGCCCTGCATGCCAACCCCGGACAGCACAGACATATGCTCCGCTGCTGAAATGAGCCACAATTTGTGTCCTGGGTATGCCTAGGCGATGTATTGACACATTGCCCAGGACCTGCTTGGGGGCCAGAGCATGACAGCGGCTTCACCTGGCAGTATATTGTTGGTGGGGCTTACCTGACCTGACTCCAGTGCCCAGTGGGAGGGACAAGCTGCCTCGGCCCCAGCCCCACAAGGGGCTGAGGCAGCTTGTTCCTCCCTACACTTTTCAACATCATGATGCATTACCATATAGGGAGCGGGTGGCACTGTGGTCTAAACCACAGAGCCTCTTGGGCTTGCCAATCAGAAGGTCGGCGGTTCGAATCCTCATGGTGGTGTGAGCTCCCGTTGCTCTATCCCAGCTCCTGCCAACCTAGCAGTTCGAAAGCATGCCAGTGCAAGTAGATAAATAAGTACCACTCTGGCGAGAAGGTAAATGGTGTTTCCATGCACTCTGGTTTCCATCACGGTGTTCCGTTGTGCCAGAAGCAGTTTAGTCATGCTGGACACATGAGCTGGAAAGCTGTCTGTAGACAAACGCTGGCTCCCTTGGCCTGAAAGCGAGATGAACATCACAACCCCATAGTCACCTTTGACTGGACTTAACTAGCCCTGGACTCTTTAGATTTGTCTGCCCATGCACAGAGCCAGTGTGGTGTAGTGGTTAAGAGCGGTAGACTTGTAATCTGGTGAACCGGGTTCGCGTCTCCGCTCCTCCACATGCAGCTGGGTGACCTTGCGCCAGTCACACTTCTTTGAAGTCTCTCAGCCCCACTCACCTCACAGAGTGTTTGTTGTGGGAGAGGAAGGGAAAGGAGAATGTTAGCCACTTTGAGACTCCTTCGGGTAGTGATAAAGCAGGATATCAAATCCAAACTCTTCTTCTTCTATCTGAAACCCAAGGGGGTGCATTGGTTGCCAGATGTGAAATAAATCAGCATGATTTTCAGTTCTTGTAGCAGCTCTACGTGGACACACCAGAGACTGAGCATGTCCTCTTCCATTGAATACTCTGTGCTTGCAAGGGGCAACAGAATGGGGCTTCAAAGGGCACTTACCAGATTATCACTACATTGGGGTTTGAATTGCACACCAGCAAGTTCAAGTTATGTAATTATAGTTGATTGGGAAGTCTTGCATAAGAAACCTGCTTCCTCAAAAGGTCTCACTTTGATGTCATCTGTTCTCCCTACAAACCAATCAGAACAAATGCACATTAAGCAGGTTGTATGGGAACCCATGAAGAATGGGCCCGTTTTGTATTTGTGTTGAGTGATGCCTGCTATTTGGGGATTCCTTTTATATACATATTTATCTGCACGTAGAGCACCCATGCTACAAATCAGCCACAAGCCATCAGGACAGAACTGCAATCGAACATGCTTTTTTTAAAAAAATCTTATTTCCTTTCCAGTTCAATTTCGTGTTGCCACCCTGGATGAAAGTTTCCGACCTGTTACTGAAAAAGTGAGTTTTTCTCAGTGCCAAAGTATTATATGCAGACGGGTGATCAGAGGGTAATACCCATTTATTTAATTATTTAATGTTAATTAAAGCATCAGTTCAGACCAAAAAAAGTACCACTAGGACACTTGATGCTAGGAGCTAAATCCTGTACTAACATAACTCTGGAGCTAAATTCTAAAGGTAGAAACTCTGTTTTTTAAAAACCAAACCAAACCAAACCAAACCAGTTTTCAGCTCTGTGGAAGGAGTAAAAAGAAAAGCCCACTAAATTTTAGTTCCACACAGTACAGATCTGGTTAATGGAAGAGTCAGTTTAGATTTTATTTTTTTAAAATAAAGATGGGCTTCTTCTTTTTTCAAAAAGTTCATTTTGAATATCAATCTTCCTAGGTTAAAAAGGTTTGGTGGTGGTTTTTTATGGTGAAAAGTGACTCAGCTGAAAGTTTCAGCTTTCAGTTGAAAACCAGCTTAAAAAAACTGATCCAGTTTAGCAAAGTGAGAGTATAAGAGGGAAAACAGTTAAAGTCGCAAACCAGCTTTGCTGCCTCCTTAATATCACTGAATAGCTGGCCAGCAGAGCTTTTCTCTGTGCTGAGGGGACTGCCGACACCTGTCCCTGAAAACAGGCTGTTGGAACGATTAGGCACCTGTCGTGACACGTTTGTCAGGCAATTTGAGGAAAAGCTCCCTCATCTTCATGTTGAGTGGAATGCTGCCATTATTGCAGCGGCAGGTGAAGTATTTGACATGCTACCTTGCCAATCCTGCAGAATTGGTTTCAGTCAAAGAGGCCTGAGGAGGTGGACAAGAATGGTCCCTGTTTTACTTGTTAGAATTGCTGCTTCATTTGCTTTTATATAGTTGTTTTACTGGATTTCGGTTTCATTAAAAAAAAAAAAGTTTCAAAATAAGATTTGCAAATGCAATAAACAAAACATTGAACTAAAATACATCATAAAAGCAACCATAACGGAAAGAGGAGTAAAAAGGCATCATTATCATCATCATCAAGCTTCAAAAAGAATGAATAGTGTGATGAATGAATGTTGGGATACAACATTCATATTTATACAAAATATATCAGGTATTCATAAGTGTTGCCAGATAAAATTGTATTGAGTAGGAACATGCCAAACACAAGATTGTTTGGTCATATGAATCGCAAACAGCCTCAAAACAGGTGCAAAGTCTGAGGGGGCCACATCGCCCCTGCCAGCATCTTATTCTATGGGTCAATTTTTCAGAGATGGGAATAAACTCAATTTTTTCAAACCATAAGTTCCAAGAGTGAAAAAGATGAGTTCTTCTATCCTTGAGAGAGCATTAGGTGAGTGGGGACCAGCAGATATCAAATTAATAGTTGACGGAGTTTTCTTCTTTTTCTTTAATGGATATTGCTTCCATGTTGTCCATAGTATACACCACCAGGGTCCTCCCCCCTCCATATTAAGCTGTTTAGAAAAGCTTTAAAAGGAATAAATAAGCATAAAATACTGCTGGGGAGGTTGTGGGGTGGGATTTGCCTTTGAGGTAGTTTCTCATTCATTGTCATCTTTGATTTCTCTCCCCCTTCTACCTTTTGCTTCCACAGATCCCATTGATTTACCTCCAGGTAAGTGGCCAGTTCATCTTCACCTCTCATCATAGTAACCTATAGCTAGTTTGGGGGCGGGGAAACAACATGCAAAGCAGAATGCAGCTATCCTTTGACGTTCGCATTTATCTGAATTTTGCGATGAAGTTCTCCAGCCGATGTTACCTTGGATAATCTCAGGCAAATATTTGCTACAAACAGAAAAAAGGGGGTTTAGCTATTAACTGTGGCTACAGTCATCCAACTACCTGTCAGCAGGTTCTGTTTAACTCAACAGGGCTTGCTTTAGAGTTAAACAACTATGTGTCTTTTTGTCAACACCTGAGGTAAAGGGACCCCTGACCATTAGGTCCAGTTGTGGCCGACTCGGGTTGCGGCGCTCATCTTGCTTTATTGGCCAAGGGAGCCGGCGTACAGCTTCCGGGCCATGTGGCCAGCATGACTAAGCCGCTTCTGGTGAACCAGAGCAGCACAAGGAAACGCCATTTACCTTCCTGCCAGAGTGGTACCTATTTATCTACTTGCACTTTGACATGCTTTTGAACTGCTAGGTTGGCAGGAGCAGGGACTGAGCAACGGGAGCTCACCCTGTCACGGGGATTTGAACCGCCGACCTTCTGATCAGCAAGTCCTAGGCTCTGTGGTTTAACCCACAGCGCCACCCCTGTCAACACCTGAAGGCAGCTTTTAATGTTTGAGGCATTCCCCCCAGCCCCCCCCTCTGTATTTTGTCAGAAGCTGCCCAGAGTGGCTAGGGTAAACCGGTCAGATGGGTGGGGTTCAAGAACTGTTGCTGTTGTTGTTGTTTAGAGTAAAGATGCTTAGGAGGTTGTGCTGAATGTAAAAAGGACATGAAGAAGGATTTATCTTCTCCCTGGCCCCCTTGCAAAAATAAAAATCTATTAATCAGCTCGTTTTAAAATAAAGAAAAGTCAGGTTCTGGAAAGAACCAACTCAGCTGAAAACTAGCTTAGCCCCATTGCTTTGGGTTCGAGATCCTCTGGAAGGAGAGGAGAGGAGAGAACTGCACACATTATCTGCAATTTCTTTAAATCAGTATAACCCAGGCATAGGCAAGCTCAGCCCTCCAGATGTTTTGGAACTACAACTCCCATCATCCCTAGCCAACAGAACAAGTGGTCAGGGATGATGGGAGTTGTAGTCCCAAAACATCTGGAGGGCCGAGTTTGCCTATGCCTGGTATATCCTATAACACATCCAGCTTCCAGACTTGGTAGGTGGTCTTGTTGTAACTTGTCCTGGCAAAGGGCAGGTAAGAAATGATGGTGATGATGGGGTGATGAGGAGGAGTCTAGCTTCAGCAGGCTGTGAGGTTCTCTTTGCCTGCCTGCCTCCCCTTCTCCCAGCCCCTCAGGAGTGAATTTGTTTGCATGGTTCCTCAAACAAACCCTCTGTCTGTTGAAATTGCTGGTTAATTGTCAACGAAGCCCCTCTTTGGAGGGTTTGAAGTAGGGCTGTGTGCAAGCCTGTTGATCTGCCCCCAATTTGCAGCCCCTGGATCAGGCCAATGCTCCCTGGGGCTAGAAAACTCCCCTTCTGGGCTGACAGAGCAGCTCTGGGATCCTAGGAGCCAACTCCACGCCCAATAAAATATTTGAGGGGGCTGGGCTCCCCAAAGTTGATAGGCATTCAAATGGTGTTCGTGTGGCATGTCTTCTGATCAGTTATGTGGGGCAGAGCTTACCTGGGCCTCCCCAATATTTATGCATTGGCACCCCTTTCTGAGCTGCTACAGAATCCCTACTGCAAATATAGTAGCAGCAGACCCTCCAAATGTCCCTATTTTCCAGGGACAGCCCTCATTTAGAGAAGCCGTCCCAGTTTCTGATTTCATCCTGGAATGTCCCGCTTTTCCTTAGGACGTCTCTCTTTTCATTAGAGAAATGTTGGGGGTTATGGAGTTATCCTACCCCCGAGCTATATAAAGACAATCCTGTATAGGGTAGTTTCTTAAATGTTTAATGTTTTATTATTTTTTTAAATATATGTTGGAAGTTGCCCAGAGTGGCTGGGGCAACCCAGTAAGATTTGCGGGGTATAAATAGTAAAAATTATCATTATGGAATGGGACACCCCTATTTTCATCAGAGAAATGTTGGAGGGTATGTAGCAGGTGTTTGACCACCTGTGATCCTGAATGCTGGTGGCATCTCATAGCTTATGTACTGAACTGTTGACCCCAATACTCCCCTTTCATGCCTATTGCGTGGTTCTAGGGCTCTGGAGACAGGGACCTTGTGTGGTCCCTGCTGCAGAAATAGCAATTGCTTTCCAACTCACCTACCCCAGATCATTACACCACTGGATATGTCCCAGCCTTGTCCTCTTCTGGAGCCAGAAACAGCAGTCCCTCCTTTTAACCTGTGTGATTCCCTCCACCCTTAACTTTCTTGTGACTTCCAGGATCCCAAGAACAACCGCTTGATGCAGTGGACCGAAGTGGAGCTGAAAGGGGGCCTGGTTCAGCTCTCCTTCCCTCTCGGCTCTGAGCCCCCCCAAGGCACCTACAGACTGAAGGTGCAGAAAGTCACCAATGCATGGGAGGAGAGAGGCTTTGAAGTGTCGGAATATGGTGAGGAGGATGGAAAGGTCCCAATTGGGCACCCAGGACGCTGAGCAGAAGGGGGTAGGGGTTCGTGATGTATCTATCCCTTCATTTATTTTTCCTGCTGCCTTGTGGAGTTTGCACCTAACAGGGGCAAATAATAATGAGAAGTGAGGTCACAGGGAACCAGGCAGAGGGCCTTCTCGGTGGTGGCGCCCGCCCTGTGGAACACCCTCCCATCAGATGTCAAGGAAATAAGCAACTATCTGACTTTTTGAAGACATCTGAAGGCAGCCCTGTTTAGGGAAGTTTTTAATGTTTGATGTTTTGTTGTGTTTTTAATATTCTGTTGGGAGCCTCCCAGAGTGGCTGGGGAAACTCAGCCAGATGGGCAGGGTAATAATAATAATAATAATAATAATAATAATACAGTGGAGGAACAGGCGACAGACTGTTTTGGAATCTTAGAGAGGTGAGGTTTGCAAGTCCAGCGAAAGCTTTCCTTCACCTCCCCTCTTCTTTCCCCTTCTGTAGTATTGCCCAAATACGAAGTTGTGGTGAAGGCACCTGAGGTCATCACGATTCTGGCCGAGGAACTGGAAGTGACTGTTTGTGGAGTGTAAGTGGGACTTCTCGGTGGGACGAGGGTGTTGTTGTTGTTGTTGTTTAGTCGTTTAGTTGTGTCCGACTCTTCGTGACCCCATGGACCAGAGCACGCCAGGCACTCCTGTCTTCCACTGCCTCCCGCAGTTTGGTCAGACTCATGTTTGTAGCTTTGAGAACACTGTCCAACCATCTCATCCTCTGTCATCCCCTTCTCCTTGTGCCCTCCATCTTTCCCAACATCAGGGTCTTTTCCAGGGAGTCTTCTCTTCACATGAGGTGGCCAAAGTCTTGGAGCCTCAGCTTCAGGATCTGTCCTTCCAGTGAGCACTCAGGGCTGATTTCCTTAAGAATGGATAGGTTTGATCTTCTTGCAGTCCATGGGACTCTCAAGAGTCTCCTCCAGCACCATAATTCAAAAGCATCAATTATTCGGCGATCAGCCTTCTTTATGGTCCAACTCTCACTTCCGTACATCACTACTGGGAAAACCATAGCTTTAACTATATGGACCTTTGCTGGCAAGATGATGTCTCTACTTTTTAAGATGGTGTCTAGGTTTGCCATCACCTTTCTCCCAAGGAGCAGGCGTCTTTTAATTTCGTGACTGCTGTCACCATCTGCAGTGATGAGGGTGGTGGTTCCCAAAGTGAGCAGTACAGCCCCCCGGAGGGTGGTGGGATCACGGAGATCCTTGGAGGCAACGGGGTGGGGATGGTGGTGGTGGGTGCTGCAGGTGGTGAGCCAGGACTCCTGCTAAGTGACTTTAAACCAGAAGTTGGGAAACTGGCATCACTTCAAGTCCATCCATCACATTCAGAATTTACTTCATTGTGGTTACTAAATGTGGTATCTGTCAGGAGCTCACCCTACACTCGAGGAGGACCCTGGCAGAGACACATGCCAGACAGGCATGTTCCCTCCCTCCTGGTCGATCGTTCAGGAGCTTCAAAAGCTTTCTTCTGCCCGAACATCACAGCGACCGATGCCAACCGACACCGGCACACTTAGGGATCTGCAGAGTTTGCGCACCTTGCGTGACAGACCTCAGCAACTCAGCATTTGGGCTAATCTACTTTATTTACATATAAACACACACGGAGCACTGCAACATGGCTCCCTCTCTCTCTAGCATCAGACAGCAAAGAGAAAAAGAACAAAGGACAATAGTCCCACTTCACGGAAGACAATAACACAAACATCCTGTCTCCGTCACTTCCCAACATATACCGTCATGTGAAAGACAACAATCCCATGACTGCAATCATGGAGCAGGAATTCTAACAGTATCTAAGACCCTTTCTCTACCACAGACCCTGGAGAGAAGCTGCTACAAGTCAGAGTAGACAATATTGGTCTAGAGGGATGGAAAGTCCTATCTAGTACATATTCTCCTGTGTTCCTGTGAAAACTTCTTCACCAAACTCCGGACAATAAGCACCCACGAAAAATATACATATAAAGATTTTTTTTTAAAAAAAGGCAGTCTTGTCAATGTTCCCTATATCTCTGTATCCCTTCTGAGGGCTTCACCACACTAACTTTCAAACAACCAGGGCCGTCTTTAGCATATGTGGCACCGGGGTGCAAAAAGCTGCCCAGCACCCGGGTGCCCCACACCCCTAGTGCCTATGGGTAAGCTGACCCGGCACACAACTCTGTGTTGGAGCAGTTTTTCTTACACCCCAGAGTTCCCCCCAGAAAAACCTGCTCTTTAAAGCTGAAATGCAACAAATCTGGATTTTCTGTGGTTTGCCATTTGCTCTGATTCAGCGGTAGAGAGTGGGTTTTCACGGGGAAAGCGCTGGAGAAAAAAATAACCCCCAAAATGAGCACTCAGAGATTTAAAGCATAGATCCTGCCTGCAAAGCACGGAGGAAAAGTAAGTGTAAATAAGCCCTTGATCAATGCTATCTATGACTGTTTCTGTCTCCAGGTACACCTATGGGATGCCCGTTCCTGGACAGGTGAAGATACGCGTTTGCCGGAAATACAACGATGCCGCAAACCGACGGTACAGCGGTTACACAAGCTCATGTTCCTGGGCAGAGCTGGGGGGTGTATGTGAAGAGTTCAGTGGAGAGGTGAGTCTCCAAAATAAAACTTAGGCTCAATACAGATTTACTTTCTTAGCTGGGAAGGGTTGCAGCTCAGTAGAAGAACATCTCCTTTGTACGCAGGAGGTCTCAGGTCTGATTCTCAGCATCCCCAGTTAGGGCTGGGAGTTAAAGGAAGCTAAAGGAAGACTTGGACAGCCAAAGCCTTCTCAGTGGTGACAACCTGCTGGACTTTCAGTCCTGCAGCTCCAGCCATCTGGACTAAGTTACCAGTTGAAATTAGACAGCTACCCATCATCATGCCATTCGGGCAGCTATTTCACCCCCCCCCCAAACAACAGCAACAACAAGTCTTCTCCTGGAGTGAGAGTCCACCATTCTACATATAGCATATAGATGACCTTTGGGGTCCATTCCAGCTCTTCACTTCTATGATTCCATGTTCTTTGAATTCTATCCAGTGGTGCCTCGCAAGACGAAAAGAATCCGTTCCGCGAGTCTCTTCGTCTTGCGGGTTTTTCGTCTTGCGAAGCAAGCCCATTAGCGGTTTAGCGGATTAGCGCTACAGTATTAGCGGCTTAGCGGGCTTAGCGGATCAGCTGATAAGCGGCTTAGCGATCAGCTGTTAAGCGGCTTAGCCGATCAGCTGATAAACGGTTTAGCGGCTTGGGGAAAAGGGGGGGGAAAGGAAAAAAACCCCGCAGGAACTCGCAAGACATTTTCGTCTTGCGAAGCAAGCACATAGGAAATTCGTTTTGCGAAGCACCTCCAAAACGGAAAACCCTTTCGTCTAGCGGGTTTTCCGTCTTGCGAGGCATTCGTCTTGCGGGGCACCACTGTAAATGGCTTTGTTGTTGTTGTTTTTGTTGTTTTTTAATTTGGGATGATGTTGTTTATTTATTTAAATGACTTTTACAGCTTGTTTTCGCCCCACAAAAACCTCAGAAGTGGCTTGCTCAAAAATAAAATTCACTAATAAAAATAACTATAGTATTTAAAATATAAAACACAGCAGCATTAATACCAACATTTAAAAATAATAATTACACAGTGCTCTCTGAAACAAAATAAAAAGGGGGTGGGGAAGGAGAGAGACTTTCAGCATCTATCTAAAGATGGGAAGGGAAAGATTTGGATAAATTTCCCAGAGAAAATTCCAGAGTTATAGTGCCACTGTCAAGCAGGCTCTGTTGCTAGGACCCATCTATCAAATATCTGCTAACAACAGGCTAGAGAGCAGGTCCTCTGATGCCAAGCTGGAGACCCAGGCAGGTTCATATATTTCAAGGTGGTCCTTTAAAAAATCTGGTTCTGGGTCATTAAAGGCTTTAAAGGCTTGCAGCAGCCAGTTGGCTTGGGTAGGTCTGGGTTGCAGAAGTAGACCCAGAATGTGTTTCTGTCGTGATTCAGACATGGGTAGGGCTGGAATTCAGAGTCAGCTTTGTTCTTTTTGGAATTTGTAAAGATGGTTTTATTGTTCAGTTGTTTCCAGAGTTTGAAACACTGGCATGGTTTGCAGAGCTTACGTTCTTGTGTTTTATCCCACTGTTATCTCGTAAACAGCTTCAGCGGCTTCTAGCTATGGTTTATAATTTTGTTTAATAGTAGTATAGCAATAATAACACTAGGACAGGAAAAAAAGAAAGAAATTGTCGTTGTCGTTGTTAACAACCTTGCAAATCTTTGGCTTCCCAAATAGGCAGATGCAAACGGCTGCTTCTCTCAGGTGGTGAAAACGAAAGTTTTTCAGATGAAGAGGGATTCGTCTGAGATGAAACTTGAAGTGGAGGGCAAGATCATTGAGGAAGGCACCGGTGGGTTTTGTGGAACAGAAGGGCTGGGTGTGCTGATCAGAACCAGGTTGGGGGCAGCGTGGCCACAGAAAGTCCATGTTGGGGCATGTGCAGAGTGCCTATTCAACACAACAGCAGGTTGTGCTGACCAGTGGCTGAACATTCACTTTCCATTCAGAAGGACCAGGTTCAGCAGCCAGCCTCGGACAGCTTTTTTCCAATCATTGAGGGCTGGTTAGAGAATCCTTTCTGGAAGTCTGGAGAGCCTCTTCCAGTCAGTGTAGAGTCTGACTCAGCGCAAGGCAGCTTGCGTGGCAAGTCCCGCCTCCCCCCTTGGAAAATAAAGACACAGGACACAGAAAAGGCCACAACTTTATTGATTGCAGGAAATGAGCAGTATTGGCTCAGGCATTGGTCCTATCGACTAACCGGCTTCAGCCTGATTGCATGAAGGCCGGCAAGGGTTAATCGCCATTAGGGGGAGTCCTGCTGATGTACATCAACTAGGAGCTCCCCCGGGGTCACCGCTCGGGGGCATGCTTTAGGCCCACACCTCCATAGGCTTCGGACAGGGCAACACCCCCCGGAATCCTTTACCGGACTACCCTTCGCTTTGGGGGAAGGTGATGGCGCTTCCTTCCCCCCTCTCCTTTGCATAACAATACCCCTACCAATGCCTAACCGCCAATGCCAAGAAAGTTGTGGCGATTTGCTACGAGGTAGGCGAAAAACCAAATGGCTGGTGCCAATTTGCCAAGTGGAAAAAATTCCTATCAGGCCCCTTGATGGTGACCAACCGAAGTCCATAGCAATGTCAGAGAGCCAAACCTAAGGGTGGGTGCGGTGGGAAACCGGAGCAGCTGGAACGAAGAAGAGAGGGAAATCCTCGGCCGCGCCAGCCCTAAATAGCCCGGGCCACGCCTCCCTGGCCAGCCGATTGGCTGGACAGGGAGATGATGCGCCCGAGGATTCCCTCATTCTCACGGGGCCTGTGAGTCAGCCCCTGCATGCGTGGGGAGGGCGTGGGCCTGTAACCCCACCTCCTCTCCAGCTCGGAAGTGGCTTTCCTACATTCCTGTTTAAATAGAGGGCCATAGCTCAGGGTTAGAGCATTCGCCTCGCATGCGAAAAGATCGCCAGCTCAACATCTCCAGGCAGAGCTGGGAAATGTCCCTGTCCAGAAGCACTGCTACCAGCCAGTGTTGACAAAACTGGGCTTGATGGACCGTGAATCTGACTTATTGTATTTTTTTATTTTTCGAAACAGAAATTTATCTATTTGATTTTCCATATTAAAATTTACATTCACACCACAACCGATTATATAAAAAGCAAGATTCCCAAGAATCTCCTGGACTTCCCTCCTCCCCTTTGTGGATCTCATTGTTAAACTTTTCCTACTGCATCTTTTATAACAGTCCAGATTTTTATATCTCCATTATATCCATTGTTGTCATTACATTACAAGTGTTATTGCAATCCCGCTAATGGTTTTAGCTGTTTGCAATGGTTTTTAAGATAAATTATAAATTTTCCCCATTCCTTATTAAAATTTTGGACTTCCTGATTTCTGATTTTTCCATTTCAGCCTAGTCCATCAACTTGATCTGCCATTCTCTTGCGTGGCAAGTCCCCCCCCCCCAAGTGGAAATAAAGACATATGACACAAATATTAAGGTTAATGGGCTAAATAAGGCCACAACTTTATTGGTTACAGGTGATGAGTGGTATTGGCTTAGGCATTGGTCCTAACCAACTATATCCGACTTCAGCCCGTCCGCTTAAAGGCCGGGAAGGGTTAACCACCAGTAGGGGGAGTCCTGCTGATGCACATCAACTAGGAACTCCCCCGGGGTCACCACTCGGGGGCGTGCCTTAGGCCCTCGCCTCCATAGGCTTCGGTCAGGGCCACGCCCCCCAGAATCCTTTATCGGACTACCCTTCAATATGCGGGGCAGGTGATGGCGCTTCCTCCCCTCTTCCATCTACAGAACAATACCAATGCCTAACCGCCAATACCAAGAAAGTTGTGGTTTGCTATGAGGTAGGCGAAAACCAAGTGGCTGGTGCCAAATTGCCAAGTGGAAAAATTCCTACCAGGCCCCACAACGGTGACTAACCGAAGCCCATAGCAAGGTCAAGGAACGAAAACCTTATAGGGCGGGAGGGTGGGAAAAACTAGAACAGCTGGCAGGCGGCAAAGAGGGAGATCCTCAGCCGCGTCCTGCCTTAAATAGGGCAGGCCATGCCCCCAGAGCCTGCCGATTGGCTGGCCAGGGGATGACACTGCCGGGAATCCCCCAATTGCACGAGGCTAGGCCCGCAACTCCACCTCCTTCGAAGGGCGGAAGTGGCTTTCTGGTAAGGATTTTGTCTTCTTTCCATCTCTGGGCAAATAGCATCCACACAGCTGTCATGACATACATAAACAGTCTTTTCTGTTCCCTTGGAATCTCAGCACCTAAAAGAAAAGCTTCTGGCTTTTTTGTAAATGAATCTGGCTTATTGTAAGGCACCTCCCCACCTCTCCCACTAAATTTGTTGTTTCATTTTTCGCAGGGGTGGAACTGACCGGAAATGCTTTCTCCACAATTACTGCAACTCTCAGCACAGTTACCTTTGAAAAGGTGGACACTTACTACAAGCCTGGTATCCCACTTTTTGGGCAGGTATTATTATTATTATTATTATTATTATTATTATTATTAATCAATAAATTAAATTGGTATACTACCCTATACCCATAGATCTCAGGATGGTTCACAAGATAAAATAGCAATATAAAAACCATAAAATGCATAATAAAACTAAAGACAACCCAATAATCCCCCTGTACAATGGAATTTAATGGAAAATGCAACTTAAGCTATTCTGAAATAAGACACTGCAGTGCTCTCAATTTATTTGCCAATGTAGTTCCCTGTCTGAAATAAAAGTCTTTGCTGTGTATTGGCTTCTGCCCACCCAGGCGAAGCTCGTGGACGGTGCCAGTGTTCCGATGGCCAACAAAACCGTTGAGATCCGTGTTGATCAATCAGGACACAGAATCAACTACACAACTGACCACCAGGGGATTTTCCAGTTTTCCGTCAACACGACCAGCCTCACGGATAGTTCTATCAGGATCCAGGTAAGTGTTCCTGGGGACTGGAGGGGAAACAAGGGAGAGCTTTCACATTAACCAAGCCTGATGAGGAACAACTGAGGGAGTCTGGCATGTTTAGCCTGGAGAAGAGGAGACCAAGTGGAGATGAAATAGCCATCTTCAGATATCTGAAGGACCATCGGCACATGGAAGATGGAGCCAGTTTGTTTGCTGCTGCTGCTCCAGAGGGTAGTTAGAAAGGAGATTCTGGCTAAACATTAGGAAGAAGGATAAGAGCTGTTTGGCAGTGGAAGAGAGGACCCTGGAATGTGGTGGACTTCCCTTCCTTGGAGGTTTTTAAGCAGAGATCGGATGGTCACCTCTGCTGATCTCTTTAGAATCTTCGGGCATGATTTATCTTTTAATCTGCTTCTTTGTTGATTTTAATTGTTTTCTTCCAATGTTTTTAAATAGGTGGTTTTGATTTTATTTTATTTTTACTGTTGATTTCATTATTTTATTCTTTTGCTAAACTGTTTTGAGTGTGGGTTTTGTTTTGTTTTTTTACAGTCAAGCGGTATGTGAATTGTATGAAATAAAGAAAATTATTACTGTCGTACCTCGGTTGTCGAATGGAATCCGTTCCGGAAATCCATCCGACTTCCGAAAACATTTGACAACCAAGATGCGGCTTCTGATTGGCTGCAGGAGCTTCCTGCAGCCAATTGGAAGCCACATTGGACATTTGGCTTCCAAAGAACGTTCACAACCCGGAACACTCGCTTCCGGGTTTGCGGTGTTCAGGAGCCAAAACATTCGACTCACAAGACGTTTGGGATCCAACTACGACTGTATTGCATTTTGTTGTACGCTAACGTCATTGAGGCATCCGTGCCTTTCCACTCCCCTCTTTTTGTTTTTGTTTTTAAACCAGGCAATTTATAATTCAGGCTTGGTGTGCCATGAATGGGGCTGGCTCAGTCCCCATCACCAGAGCGCCTCTCATTCAGCCTCGCGCTTTTATTCACCAAGCGAAAGCTACCTCCACATTGAGCCCGTTCCTGGGACTTTAAGCTGCGGTCATACTCAGCCAGTCCGAGTTCATTACAGCCTGAAGCCTGGGCTGGTGGAAGATAAGAAGATTCACTTTCACTACCTGGTAAGCCCAGATGGAGAGATCTTTGTTTCAGTGCCTTGGGCTAGAACAGTGAAGGACCACCCAGGGGGCTGACTCTTAGGTCGTACAGCAGGGAAGGACCTCTGCCATTGACCAGTGCCATCGCTGTGTGTTGGTTGCTGCACGTGCAAATAGGTCAGAGAGGAAGCTGGGCATTGGTCTGATAACTGTTGATAAGACGGGGCTAGGTGGCTTGGAGCTGAAACGATCGATATTATAGCAGCCATATTTGCCATATACATATGAAGTCCCTGACATTGTCAGGTGGGGCACTATGGGCAACTTCTGAGATTTGGTTCGCCTCTGCCAGGGGCTGAACCTAAGGGTGGCAGAGACTAGGGCTGCCATACTTCCAAAATTTCCCAGACCCAGCTGGGATTTAGGCCCCGTAAACAGTGTCTGGGTGGGAAATTGCTGAAATGTCTGGGAAAATCCAGACGCATAGCAACTCATGTCGGAAGTATAGATTTTGGCAAATTTCGTTAAAAATAGCTCAAAACTAATTTTTGGCCAAAAAAGCTCGACGACATGCCTGGATTTTCACTTTTTGAACTATGTCCTGGTAAAGCCCTTGCCAAGAGAGGTTCTGCTTTCTTTCAGACATCCTTTAAAAAAATGCATTGTTCAAGCAAGCCCTTAGAACGTGAGGTGTTTCTTCTTCTACCAGTTAGCTTCTGTCAAAGCTTTTACAGTTCTTATCCTACTACTACTGTGTTCCTTGTGCTGTACCTCACCTTACTATATTGCCTATGGAAAATACATATTCCCAGAGTGTTTTTAGCAATCAAGCCCTCTTCCCAGAGAACTCTGAGGATTGTATCTCTGTGACGAGAATGGGGCTTTATCTTAATAGCTTGCAGCATGTGTAGAACCACGAGTTTTGTTAGGGGGGCAGGCCTTTCTTTGGGGGGCGGCAGAACCTCAGCTAGTTGTTTTATATTGACTTTTATTGATTTTTTTGGGGGGCAGTTGCCCCTCCCTGGCCCGCCATTGGCTATGCTCATGGATTTCAGCACCCTTAACAAACCAGTTTCCAGAATTCTTCAGGGGAAGCCACGGCTGTTTAAAGTGGTATGAAAACTGCTTTAAAGGTAAAGTGCAGATGGGGTCTCTTGTAAAACACAACAGAGAGATCCTGGAGAAGGGCATGCTCCTAGTGGGGCCTGCTCTAGTTATCTCTCGCTTGGACTACTGCAATGTGCTCTATGTGGGGCTACCTTTGAAGGTGACCCAGAATTACAACGAAGCCAGAATGCAGCAGCTAGACTGGTGACTGGGAGCGGCTGCCGAGACCATATAACACCGGTCCTGAAAGACCTACATTGGCTCCCAGTACATTTCCAAGCACAATTCAAAGTGTTGGTGTTGACCTTGAAAGCCCTAAATGGCCTTGGCCCAGTATACCTGAAGGAGCGTGTCCACCTCCATCGTCCAGCCCGGACACTGAGGTCCACCTCCAAGGGCCTTCCACTAGACAGAGGGCCTTCTCGGTAGTGGCGCCCGCCCTGTGGAATGCCCTCCCATCAGATGTCAAGGAAATAAAACAAGTATCTGACTTCTAGAAGACATCTGAAGGCAGCCCTGTTTAGGGAAGTTTTTAATGTTTGATGTTTTGTCGTGTTTTTAATATTCTGTTGGGAGCCACCCAGAGTGGCTGGGGAGACCCGGCCAAATGGGCAGGGTATAAGTCATCATAAATTATTATTTGCGTGGCGAGTTCCCGACCCCTCCCCAGTGGATATAAAGACACATAGCACAATTACAGTGGTGCCTCGCAAGACGAAAAGAATCCGTTCCGCGAGTCTCTTCGTCTTGCGGGTTTTTTCGTCTTGCGAAGCAAGCCCATTAGAGGTTTAGCGGCTTAGCGCTACAGTATTAGCGGCTTAGCCGGCTAAAGATCAGCTGATAAGCGGCTTAGCATCAGCTGTTAAGCGGCTAAAGATCAGCTGATAAGCGGCTTAGCCATCAGCTGATAAGCGGTTTAGCGGCTTGGGAAAAGGGGGAAGGAAAAAACCCCGCAGGAACTCGCAAGACATTTTCGTCTTGCGAAGCAAGCACATAGGAAATTCGTTTTGCGAAGCACCTCCAAAACGGAAAACCCTTTCGTCTAGCGGGTTTTCCGTCTTGCGAGGCATTCGTCTTGCGGGGCACCACTGTATTAAGGTTAATGTGCTAAATAAGGCCACAACTTTATTTGTTACAGCAGGAACAGCTGGCAGGCGGGGAAAGAGGGAGATCCCTGGCCGGCCGCGTCCCCAGAGCCAGCCGATTGGCTGGCCAGAGTGTGATGCAGCCGGGAATCCCCCCAATCGTGCGGGGCTGTGAAGCCCGCGACCCCACCTCCTTTGTAGGGCGGAAGTGGCTCCTTCTTCTTCTTCTTCTTCTTCTTCTTCTTCTTCTTCTTCTTCTTCTTCATTGCAGTTAATCCTGTTAATCAAGGGAGGCTGGTCCATTAGAGCAAAAAGGGCACAAGCCCACCAACCTCAGCCAGACCCCATCTACCTACTTTCTTCCTTAGAACCAGTCCAGGGCTTGTCACTGCTTGTCGCCTTCCTTCTACTTAGTTTAAGTGTTGCCCTTAGTCACAGCATGGCTAAGTACAGGACAGATTTATAACCAGCAGGTTCCATCTGCCATTGCCTCTGTCGCCCCCTACTGTTGGGCTCCCCACGTTCCACCCTGCCAGTTGCAAGGGCCACCAGCCACCATTGCCGTTGGTGCAGGAGTCGCTAACGTATCAGTGCCGCTAGACATTCGCCTCTTCCGCCCTCATCAGGGGTCTTCCTCTTTCCTTGCAGGTGATGGCTAAAGGGGGCATCGTACATTCGGGGATCCATGTTCAGCCTGTGGAACATAGGGAAGGTAAATGCCACCTCCTTTCCATTTCTCTACTTGAATGCCAACCTGGTGGGAGTCAGCCACATGTCCCACCTGGAATGGTTTTGCTTCTTCTTCTTCTGTCTGTTTTTAAAAATGCGCATTGTGTTGTTGTAACCCCCACACCCCTCTCGGGCCTCATGAGGGAGGCCAGGTAAGAAATCTTACAAATCAATAAATGGTGAAGATTTGACGTTTTCTCACCCCCGCAAACAGTTTTTATCTGGGCTTCCACTGAAATGAGGCTGCATTTTAAGTTGTACTTTAATCCTGTTTTTAAGTTGTATTTTAATCAATTGTTTTTATACCTGATGTTAGCCGCCCTGAGCCCGGTCTTGGCTGGGGAGGGCGTGGTTTCTTACCCCCATCACCAGAAGTTTAAAGGTTTTAATTTATTCCACGGAACCAACTTAGCATCAATATTACACTCGAATATTACTGCCATTTGTTTGTTTTGCCATATATGCATTATTGTACTAATACTGGTTATTGCTGTTTAATCTGGCATGCAAGACAGTAAAGGTAAAGGTAAAGGGACCCCTGACCATTAGGTCCAGTCATGACCGACTCTGAGGTTGCGGCGCTTATCTTGCTTTATTGGCCGAGGGAGCTGGCGTACAGCTTCTGGGTCATTTGGCCAGCATGACAAAGCCGCTTCTGGCGAACCAGAGCAGCACACGGAAATGCCATTTACCTTCCTGCTGGAGCGGTACCTGTTTATCTACTTGCACTTTGACGTGCTTTCGAACTGCTAGGTTGGCAGGAGCAGGGACCGAACAATGGGAGCTCACCCCGTCATGGGGATTCGAACTGCCGACCTTCTGATCGGCAAGTCCTAGGCTCTGTGGTTTAACCCACAGCGCCACCCGCGTCCCTTTATGCAAGACAGTAGTCATAGGTAATGAAGTATTTTGCATATTGAAGTGCAAGGGGAGGTTATTGGGTTGTTTTTATTTTGATTATGTATTTTGTGGTTTTATATTCTTATTTTATACTGTGAACCGCCCTGAGACCTGCAGGTATAGGGTAGTATATAAATTTAATTAAAAGAAGAAGAAGAAGAAGAAGAAGAAGAAGAAGAAGAAGATGGGCCAGTGGTCCATCTTGTCCAGCATCTTATTCTCACAGTGGCCAACCAGAGGACAGTTATGGGAAGCCCACAAACAGGATTTGAACTCAAGACCCCTCTCCCCTCCTGCTGCTTCCAGCTACTAGCATTCAGGAGCATCACTGCCTCGTTACAAGAAAATAACATTCTATGCAAATGCCCTCCAGAGTGTTGCTAGAGTTATGAGTGCCACATGGAACTGAGGGCTTTTGACTTCTGGTTCTCATGCCGACTCCTTCAATATTTCCTCAGTTTTATCCTCGTTGGTTGTCTTGAGAGCTGAAGCTCGGGCAAAGAGACCACATTGGAATTAATTCTCATAACCCCTCTCTCTCCTCTGCCTGCTTTTGTGATTCTCTGCTTACCAGCCAAAGGGGTATTTTCTCTGGACCTCCCTGTGGACGCAGACATTGCTCCCTTGGCCCGCTTGCTTCTGTACACAGTCTTGCCCAGCGGAGAACTTGTTGCTCACTCGGCAGACTTCCCTGTTGAGAACTGCTTCAGAAACAAGGTAAGGCTGTGGGGACTCTCTGAGGCCTGTTGGTTTCTGTTTCCCTCACTGAGCAGCTGCTGCAAGTCACAGGACTATGTTTATCATTCCACAGTCCAGATACTGTTGGATTCCCACGGGAAAGGGAGACGGGATGTGACGTTTCCTGTTTCCTTTGTACTGTCGGTTCTTTGTTGGAGTTGCTCTCTGCTTCTCCCAGAGACAAGATGTATATTTGTATGCTCTCTGCATAGAGTAGTAATAAAGTTTAGCAATGTAGCCATACCTGCCTCATCCTTTCCTTGCGGACTCTGGGTGTTTATACTCTGCTGGGCTCAAGCCATGATGAGCCGTATCAGCTCGGAGGCCAATAGCTAGTTCGTTCTCCAGGACATCACCGAAGATGTCATTTTGTTCACCCAATAGAGCATCACCTTTACTGGTTGGACCAGTAAATATCAGCTCATTGGCAATGGCAGAGGGCAACCCAATGAAACAAAACAAAAACAAAGAGGGATGATTTCATGCTGTTGTGTACATGAACAAATTCAACAAAGGCTTTTTTTATGTGTCCAGGTGGAATTGTGGTTCACTGAGCCCAAAGGACTCCCTGGCAGCCAAACTCGACTCGTTCTTGCATCCGCCAAAGACTCCCTCTGTGGCATCCATGCTGTTGATAAGAGTGTCTATCTCTTAAAACCCGAAGCTGAGCTCTCCCCTCGGACTGTGAGTCTCGAGCTGCCTTTAAAACTGTCTTCAGGTAGAACATTTCCAGAGCTGTTTTCTCTCCTGCTCCACCATCACCCATACTGCCTCTTTGGTGCCATTCTTGCTACTATCATTACTATTGAGAGCCAGTTGGTGTAGTGGTTAAGAGCGGTAGACTTGTAATCTGGTGAACCGGGTTCGCGTCTCCGCTCCTCCACATGCAGCTGTTGGGTGACCTTGGGCCAGTCACACTTCTTTGAAGTCTCTCAGCCCCACTGACCTCACAGAGTGTTTGTTGTGGGGGAGGAAGGGAAAGGAGAATGTTAGCCGCTTTGAGACTCCTTAGGGTAGTGATAAAGCGGGATATCAAATCCAAACTCTTCTTCTTCTTATAATAATAATTATTTCAATTCATTACTCATCCTTCTTCTTAAGGTCCCAGGGAGGGCTACAACAATTTAAACACATATTTGATATTAAAACAATATACAGTGGTGCCTCGGTTTTTTGAACGTCTCCGCTGACAAACGTTTTGGAACTCAAAAGCTGTAAACCCAGAAGTAAATGCTTCCGTTTTCGAACGCACCTCAGAAGTCGAACTTCTGAGGTGGCTTCCTGTTTGAGTTTTCCATACGTTTTGAGGCTTCCATATTTCAAACATTTCGGAAGTCGAACGGTCTTCTCGAACAGATTACGTTCAAAAACCAAGGCGCCACCGTATTGCACAATATTTTTAAAAGGTTAAAACAACTTAAAATTACAAAAGAAAATAAGGTAGCAGAGGCAGAAACATCTGGAAAGCCAAACAAACTTTGGAGAAACAAGCAATGGTTGGTTTGGTCAAATGTGGAACAGCCTGTGGTTAACTTGTGGTTTGTTAAACACACCATGGCATCAGTTCAAACCAGGCCAATATAAGTCAGGCAGTTTGAACACCCTAAGGTGCTCTTGTACATACCTTACCTGGGAGTAAGTCCCAATGAACTTAGTGTGACTGAAATCTGAATAGACGTGTCCAAGATTGCACTGTAGGTTCCATATAAAAAGGCTAAGCATTATTCTGATTATAAGATGAGCTGAGGATGAGGGATGAGTAGAACCGAAGAGCATTTCCACTTTTGAAAATGTGTGGGAGAACATGGAGCAGACCTATTTCCCTGTGCCAAAAGTCAGCAATAGATGGTGGCACCTGGAATCAATTTGGCAATAGTGTAGAATTATGTATCTACACAATTTGGCAATTAGTGTAGAATTTTCCCCTCCCCTCCCTAGATAGGACAAGTGCTGGGTATAAAGGACTGGGGGATGACCACCAGTATCAGAAGTATCGAAGCATTTTGGGTCGTGCTGAATTGTGACTACTTCATTTTCAGATTTATGACTTGCTTCCTGTGAAGAACCTCAAAGGCTATCCACATGATAACCCTCATTTGAACGAAATGACCACTCGTCCCTGTGTGACAAGGAAAGCAATTATTGTGGATGGCATCCGCTACAACCCTGATTCTTATACTTACGGTGAAGGGGACGCCTATGAAATTCTCAAGGTGAGCACTAAAGGTCACTGAAATACAGTGGTACCTCGGTTTCTGATCGTCTCCGTTGACAAACGTTTCGGAATTTGAACGCCGAAACATCACCTTGCCGACAAAAGTCCGTATAGTTAAAGCTATAGTTTTCCAAGCAGTGATGTATGGAAGTGAGAGCTGAACCATAAAGAAGGCTGATCGCCAAAGAATGGATGCTTTTGAATTATGGTGCTGGAGGAGACTCTTGAGAGTCCCATGGACTGCAAGAAGATCAAACCTCTCCATTCTTAAGGAAATCAGCCCTGAGTGCTCACTGGAAGGACAGATCGTGAAGCTGAGGCTCCAATACTTTGGCCACCTCATGAGAAGAGAAGACTCCCTGGAAAAGACCCTGATGTTGGGAAAGATGGAGGGCACAAGGAGAAGGGGACGACAGAGGACAAGATGGTTGGACAGTGATGTCGAAGCTACCAGCATGAGTCTGACCAAACTGCGGGAGACTGTGGAAGACAGGAGTGCCTGGTGTGCTCTGGTCCATGGGGTCACGAAGAGTCGGACACGACTAAACAACAACAACAATGTATTGCCACTTCTGGGGTTGGGTTTTTTTCTATTCAAAACATTTCAATGACTGTGGCAAAGCACTGGACTTTCTAGCTAGCTAGAAAGAGAGAAGGAGTGAGTCAGAATTCCACCTCACTACCATGCCTCTGAGGGACGTGGGTGGCGCTGTGGGTTGAACCACAGAGCCTAGGGCTTGCTGATCAGAAGGTTGGCGGTTCGAATCCCCGCAATGGGGTGAGCTCCTGTTGCTCGGTCCCTGCTCCTGCCTACCTAGCAGTTCAAAAGCACGTCAAAGTGCAAGTAGATAAATAGGTACCGCTCTGGTGGAAAGGTAAGCAGTGTTTCCGTGCGCAGCTCTGGTTCACCAGAATCGGATTAGTCATGCTGGCCACATGACCCGGAAGCTGTACGCCGGCTCCCTCGGCCAGTAAAGCGAAATGAGCGCCGCAACCCCAGAGTCGGCCACGACTGGAGCTAATGATCAGGGGTTCCTTTACCTTTTCACCATGACTCCACATATATCAAACCTTTTGATGTACAAAATCCCCACCCCCACCCCTTCTATGCGCTATAAAATGTTTCATAATGGCTCCTTGGCTTTTTTTACAGGACTTTGGCTTGAAAGTTTTCACGAGCACCAAGATACACAAGCCTCAGATATGCCAAGCCCAAAGACAAAGTAAGAACTGGCACTGGGATGAGGGGGCCGAACTGCAGTGATGATGAAAATACGCTGGTCTTGCTATGTAAAGCCCTGCGCAGCTTGAGACCAGGATCTCTGAACGATCACCTTGCCGTTTCTATCACTGTTTTCCAGATTTAAAGTTTCCGTTGTATATATTTTAACTGTAGCTTGTTAAGGGTGCTGAGAGGTGGCCCCTATTCCCCACCCAGACGTACAGTTCACAGGGAGGGGGATGTAACAGTAAACCCCTCTTCACAGGGAACACTGGGAAGCTCTGCGAGGGGAATAAGGATGTCCTAACAAGTCTCAGAATGCTTAACAAACTACACTTCCCAGGAGGCTGTGGGGTGGGGGTGGAGGCACCATGGCTGTTTAAAGTGCTTTACGCATAAACTAACATGTTTTCATAACCTTCCGGGACCTTAGGGTGAAGGGTAGGCAATAAATTAAATCAAAATAGCAACATTCATTACAATCATTAAGCAGTATGAATTATAAATTAAATAATTGATAGTTATCAGTAGTGGTACACTGGTACCTCGGTTTTCCAATGTAATCCATTCCGGAAGACCGTTCAGCTTCTGAAACGTTCGAAAACTGAGACGCAAAGGGCATTCTGCAATTTCAATTGAGAAAATTGAGGAAAAAGCACTCAACGGAATCCGTTCGACTTCCGAGGCACGTTCAAAAATGGAAGCGTTTGCCTCTTGGTTCTCGGCGTTCAGCTTCCGAGATGCTCGAAAATCAAGGTACCATTGTACTGATCGTTTTGTTAGTTAAAATTATTTCTTAATTTTTATTTTAACACTGGGGGGTAGGCGCTAAGTAGTGGCACAGAATGGCCAACATGACTGAGTAGGGAGAATGCCTCCGGTGCTTTTTAGCGGCGATAAGCGTGCGCAAGTCACTGCGCAGTTCAGAAGTCGGAAGAGAGCTTGAGTGGATAGCTGTGGGCAATTTCCCCCTGAAAGTCTGGCAATGTGTTTTGACACCAATTAATAATGTAAATAATATCCTCTCCTCTTAGGTTCCTTTGAACCTCAAGCTGGCTATGAATCAAGATATGGCCAGCCGGTGGCGTATCTTAGTGGTGTTGGTGGTGGTGTCTTCCTCGATTCCCCTGAAGCTACGAAGCCTGCCAGGAGTTTCTTCCCTGAGACGTGGCTGTGGCAACTGGTCGTATTGGAGTAAGTGGTATTAAGTAGTGGGTTGACAAAGCAGACGACACAGAGATTTCTCCAAGTGGTTCTTTATAGTAAGCTGGAACTGAACTGAACAGCAAACAGCTCAGCCGGCCTGCTTTTATAGGCAGCTGGCTGTCAACATTCTAACAAACACCCCAGGGTTTCCCGCCTAAATTAACTGACGTGGACCTGAGTGAAAACTATATACACACCCTTCCCACCGAGATAAGGCATTAGTTACAATCATAGTGGTTCCGTTATATACAGCAATACCCTTATTGGTTTCAGTAAGGCACATAAGCATATTAATTGACCCTATTCACCATACAGTTTTACATATGCAGTTTGTCTGGTGAACATAGTCTTTTAAATAAGCTGGGCTCTTGGAAACCCTGCCGGACCGCCGAGGGCCAGTACCAGAGCCCGATTCTGGCTGCAACTGTGGTGCGACCAAATGTGGCGTTGAGCCCGAGTTCCCGGGCTCTGCTGCTGTTGAAGGAACCGCCGCGAGCGGACTCGGGGGACGGTCAGGCACGGCGGTGGTCTGAGTCTCTGGAGAGCCAGGCAGACCCACTGAAACGGCTCGGCTCGGCTCCATGCCCTCAGTTTGTGAGGAAGATGTAGGTGGAGCCTCGCCTTCCATTAGCAACTGCTCTTTGAGCCTTGGGGAGAGATGGGGACAAATGATGTGGCAGAGGGCATAGGAAAAAGGTTTTCAGGCCCTATACCCGCAGGTCTCAGGGAGGTTCACAGCATAAAAATCAAAATACAGAAACCCCCTCCCCAACACCTTTTAAAAGGGCATTGGATGTCAATCAGCTATTAGACTAGCTCTTTAGCTACTAAGACACCATCAGATGTCAATCAGCCAAAGAGGAATGCCACCTTAGGGCATGCCTATTTTCACAGCAGGGTCATACCGCCCAACCTACTCGGGCTCGCGCCTCCTTCCCCAAGCCCGGGAAGCGTTTGCCCAGCTTAGGGGAGGAGGGGCGATGCTCTGACGGGGTCTGAGAGCCTCCTTCCCAAAGAAAAGGTGGTGGAACTGTGTTCCGGCGAATTCCACCAGAAAAACCCCCCACTTCATATAGGTTCTCCATCAAAGCATATACAGAGGTACCTCTGGATGCGGACGGGATCCGTTCCGGAGCCCCGTTCGCATCCTGAGCAGAACACAACCCGTGTCTGTGGGTCGTGATTCGCCACTTCTGCGCATGTGCGTGACGTCATTTTGAGCATCTGCACATGCGTGAGTGGCGAAACCCGGAAGTAACCCGTTCCATTACTTCCGGGTCGCCGCGGAACGCAACCTGAAAATGCTCAACCTGAAGCTACTTTAACCCGAGGTATGACTGTTCTATAATTCCCACTACATTAGTCTGACACGGTACCCCCAACAGCACCCTGGCTCTCTTGCAGCGGTAAACCCCTCCAGGGAGGCTACTTGAGTTCTCCCACCCACCCCAACCGCTTGTTGAAAGGTGCTGTTGTGATCCACACTAACTCCCCCCTCTCTTTTGTTCACCGGTGTCCTTCAGCGGCGATTACTCAGGTACAGGGGACCTCTTTGGCCACTCAGAGAAAGAGGGTGGCATCGTTCCAGGAGAAGTGATTATGCCTGTGACCATACCGGACACCATCACGGAGTGGCAAGTGGGAGCTTTCTGCTTGTCATCAGACCACGGCATTGGCATTGCCCCGGTCGCCACCGTCAACGCCTTCCAGTTGTTCTTCACTGAGGTCACCTTGCCCTACTCTGTGGTGAGGGGGGAAGCATTCATGATGAAGGCCACTGCCTTCTCCTACCAGAAAAACATGATGAAGGTGAGGAATCCCCAAACTTGTCTCCCGATTTCGGGGACCATCTTTCCTCTATGCTTGTGGGCATAGAGTATATAATAATAATTGTGGTTGTTGTAATCTGGAGGGTTTTTTGTAAAAAATATACATGTATAATAATAATAATAATAATAATAATAATAATAATAATAATTTATGTATACCCCACCCATCTGGCTGGGCTTCCCCAGCCACTCTGGGCGGCTTCCAACAAAATATTAAAATACAGTAGTCTGTTAAACATTAAAAGCTTCCCTAAACAGGGCTGCCTTCAGATGTCTTCTAAAAGTCTGGTAGTTGTTGTTCTCTTTGACATCTGGTGGGAGGGCGTTCCACAGGGCAGGTGCCACCACTGAGAAGGCCCTCTGCCTGGTTCCCTGTAGCTTTGCTTCTCACAGTGAGGGAACCGCCAGAAGGCCCTTGGCACTGGACCTCAGTGTCCAGGCAGAATGATGGGGGTGGAGACGCTCCTTTACAAACAATCAACAAGCAAACTAATAAAACAATTTCCATAAGTTCCCTTGGACTCCCCTCTCCCCTTTGTGGGTCCTTATGTTAACTTTTTCTCTTGCATCTTCCCTGTTAATCCAATTCTATTAAATCTCTGATAAAACCACAGTCCAACATTTGAGTGCAAGCGTTATTCCAGTCCCGCTAATAATTTTGATTGTTTACAATGATTTTTTTAGGTAAATTACGTATTTCCCCATTCCTTTTTGAAATTTTTGTCTTCCTGATTCCTAATTCTTCCAGTCAATTTTGCCCTTTCTGCATAGTCCATCAGTTTAATCTGCCATTCTTCTCTAGTAGGTACTGCGCCTTCTTTGGGCTAAAAGTGTCCAGACAGCAGTAGTCCTAGGCATGAAAAGTCTCTTCCAGTCACTTGGAATATCGGCACCTGCAATTCCTAAAAGAAAAGCTTCTGTGTTTTTTTTTAGAAAATGTTATTTCAAACATTTTTTAAAAAAATCCATTGTATATCATCTCCCAAAATTCTTTTACTACTTTACAAGTCCACCACATATGATAGAAGGTGTCTTCTTTTTCCTTACATTTCCAGCATATATTTTTGTTAATTTATTAGGAATTAAATACTATCAAGACATCATTTTCATATAACTTTATTTCAAAGAATAGCATGCTGTATACTTTAAATCCCAATTCCATAACCTATCCCATGCTGCTAATTGTATAGGTAAAGGTAAAGGGACCCCTGACCATTAGGTCCAGTCGTGGACGACTCTGGGGTTGCGCACTTATCTCACTTTATAGGCCGAGGGAGACGGTGTTTGTCTGTAGACAGCTTCTGGGTCATGTGGCCAGCATGACTAATCCGATTCTGGCGAACCAGAGCAGCGCATGGAAACACCGTTTACCTTCCTGCCAGAGTGGTACCTATTTATCTACTTGCACTTTGACGTGCTTTTGAACTGCTAGGTTGGCAGGAGCAGGGACCGAGCAACGGGAGCTCACCCCATCGCAGGGATTCGAACAGCCGACCTTCTGATCGGCAAGCCCCAGGCTCTGTGGTTTAGACCACAGTGCCACCCGCGTCCCTAATTGTATATTATATCCAAAATGCCTCACCCATCACTGATTTGACCTGTTCGCCTTTCGTATGCCATTCTAATAATAATTTATACATTTTTGAAAATAATTTAGTCTTATTTTCTGTCAGCTCCTTTTTAAATTTAGAGGTTTCACTAAAGAAACCTTTCTTTTTGTCCATCTTAAATATATCATTAAGTTGATGGTATTGTAAGCAATCAGTTAGTAATCCTCTTATATCTTCAAACCTCTTTAGTTTCAACTCATGATCTGCTTCCATTAATAGTTCTTTGAAAGATGCCCAGTCATTTCTCACGTTTATTTTTCACCCAGAGATATCATCTCCAGTGGGGAAAGCCACCGTGGTGTTTTTTGTTCTAATATTCCCTCCCCCCCATACTTCATAAACCACTTTCCTTACTACATGGTTTAGGAAAGCTCTATGTACTTTAACCTTCTCGTACCACAGATACGCATGCCAGCCAAATCTGTTATCTTGGGCTAGTCTGGTGTGAGAGAGTGAGAGAATTTGTTAAGAGGAGTCAGTCAAACAGTTGAGATAATCAGTCAGAAGGTATTAGGAAGGTATAGGCCAGTAAAGAAACAAAAGTTAAGATACTGACAGGAATATTATCTGAGAAACCATAAACTTGTTAATGTTTGTAAAATAAACTTGTTTTTTGGTTCACTTTTAACAACTGACTAGACTCAGTGTTTTACCAGAGAGTAACTGGTTGGTGGCAGCGGGGAAGCGAGCACAGTGGTGGCACAGGGATCAATAGACCGTTAAACGTCCGGGGACCCTTTGTGATCACTACAATGACCTTCAAGATCTAAAACACAGAGGTGTGTCTGCCTCCTTCATTGTACAGCTTTTGAAGTACAGCGAAGATGCAGCCCTTTCCCCAGGCTTCTGGGCAGCTTTTAGGACCCACCTTGTTTTTATGGCTCTAAGTGGTTTCAAATTGTTTTCTAATATCATTTTTAATGCTGTAATCCACTCTGAGACCTTATGGGTCATCTGACACCTCTCATGGCTTTCCGAGTGTCAACTTGATCTCTTCCTGCTCCTCCTTTGAATTCTGTTTGTGGTGTTCTGCTTCCTTCCCACCGTAACTTCTTTCCGTCCACGGACAGGTCACGATGTCTCTGGCTCCATCCCCTGACTTTGAGGCCATCCCTGTGGAGGAAGAGGCACCTTCTTGTCTGCCTGAAAATGGGAGGAAAACCATCTCCTGGTTGGTGACTCCCAAGTCTCTGGGTAAGCAGCAACGCTTCACATCTTGGATTTGGTGGACGGGGTGATGGGGTGGTGGTGGTGAGGGTGAGGGTGAGAGGAAGAGGAGCAAGCCTGTCCCATCCTCATGTGGTAGGAAGACCATCTTCCTTCACCTTGGATCAGGGATATAGGTGGATGGAGGGGACATTATGCCTAAAGCAGAGTACAGTGGTACCTCGGGTTAAGAACTTAATTCATTCCAGAGGTCCATTCTTAATGGTTCTTAACACTGAGGTCCAGTGCCGAGGGCCTTCTGGCGGTTCCCTCGCTGCGAGAAGTGAGGTTACAGGGAACCAGGCAGAGAGCCTTCTCGGTAGTGGCACCTGCCCTGTGGAAAGCCCTCCCAGCAGATGTCAAGGAAATAAACAACTATTTTACTTTTTAAAGACAACTGAAGGCGGCCTTGTTTATGGAAGTTTTTAATGTCTGACGCTGTATTGTTTTTAATATTTGGTTGGAAGCCGCCCAGAGGAAGCCCAGCCAGATGGGCGGGGTATTAATAATAATAATAATAATAGCAACTACTACTACTACTACTACTACCAGAGGCGTGCTTTTGCTAATGGGGCCTGCCACTGCACTGCTGGCAGCGATTTCCATTCTTATCCTGGGGCAAAGTTCTTAACCTGGAGCAACCACTTCCTGGTTAGCGGAGTTTGTAACCCAAAGCATCTGTAACCGGAGGTACCACTGTAATAATAATATTTATTTATACATACATACATACATACATACCCCGCCCATCTGGCTGGGTTTCCCCAGCCACTCTGGGCGGCTTCCAACAAAAAATTAAAAATACAATAAAACATCAAACATTAAAAACTACCCTAAACAGGGCTGCCTTCAGATGACTTCTAAAAGTCAGATAGTTGTTTATTTCCTTGACATCTGACGGGAGGGCGTTCCACAGGGTGGGTGCCACCACTGAGAAGGCCCTCTGCCTGGTTCCCTGTAACCTCACTTCTCTCAGGGAGGGAACTGCCAGAAGGTCCTTGGAGCTGGACCTCAGTGTCTGGACTAAACGATGGGGGTGGAGATGCTTCTTCGGTTATACAGGGCCGAGGCCATTGAGGGCTTTAAAGGTCAGCACCATCACTTGGAATTGTGCTCGGAAACATACTGGGAGCCAATGTAGGTCTTTCAGGACGGGTGTTATACGGTCTCGGTGGCATTCCTAGTCACCAGTCTAGCTGCTGCATTCTGGATTAGTTAGAGTTTCCGAGCCACCTTCAAAGGTAGCCCCACATAGAGTGCATTGCAGTAGTCCAAGCAGGAGATAAACAGAGCATGCACCACTCTGGCGAGGGAAGGTAGGGTCTCAGCCTGCGTACCAGATGGAGCTGGTAGACAGCTGCCTTGGACACAGAATTGACCTGCGCCTCCATGGACAGCTGTGAGTCCAAATTGACTCCCAGGCTGCGCACCTGCTCCTTCAGGGACACAGTTGCCCCATTCAGGATCAGGTAGTCTTCCACACCCACCCGCCCCCTGTCCCCCCAAAACAGTACTTCTGTCTTGTCAGGATTCATCCTCAATCTGTTAGCTGCCATCCATCCTTGTGGTATACACCACAAGCCACACCGTGTTCTCAGGCCACTCTAGAGACACCCTGGAGGCTGCCTGGATGGTGGTGACACATAACAGGGTCTTTTCAGTGGTTGCTCCCCAGTTCTGGAATGCCCTCCACAACTGGTGCTCCTGTCGTCATTATTATTAACTTTCAGGAGACATTTGAAAACATTTGTGTTTACCCAAGCATTTGATGGCTGAAGCATACTGTTGTAAGCTGCTTTAGGATTGTAATAATAATAATAATAATAATAATAATAATAATAATTCTGCCTTTTTCCATGACAGGGACTCAATGAGACATACAGATAAAACAGAAACAGCTAAAACATAGGAGGAAAAAAAAACAATAATTATAAAACAATTAAACATTAATGGAATTAAAACAATATTACATATATAAAAGGTAAAGGTACCCCTGACCATTAGGCCCAGTCGTGACCGACTCTGGGGTTGCGGCGCTCATCTCGCTTTACTGGCCGAGGGAGCCAGCATACAGCTTCTGGGTCATGTGGCCAGCATGACTAAGCAGCTTCTGGCGAACCAGAGCAGCTCACGGAAACGCCGTTTACCTTCCCGCCGGAGTGGTACCTATTTATCTACTTGCACTTTGATGTGCTTTCGAACTGCTAGGTTGGCAGGAGCAGGGACTGAACAACGGGAGCTCATCCCGCCGCGGGGATTCGAACCGCCGACCTCCTGATCGGCAAGTCCTAGGCTCTGTGGTTTAACTCACAGCGCCACCTGCGTCCCTCATTGCATATATAAAACATTCATAAAACATATGGATAATAACAATAAAAAAAACGCAACTCCAGCCCTTTCGTTTAAAACAGTGTTGGTATCAGGAAGTCTTCAATAGTTGCCTAGGAATATTTTAAGACAGCTGATGCTAAATAGCTCCATAAATGGCTTGAGGAGAAGAAAAGGCTACAGAAAGAGAGAGAGAGAGAGAGAGAGAGAGAGAGAGAGAGAGAGAAATGGGCAGGATGACAAGATGGACATTTTTGTTCTAGGGGACGTGAACTTCACAGTCAGTGCCAAGGCCCAGCCCTGTGGGAATGCAATAGAGGTGGCGAATATCCAAGAACAGCAGGACACTGTGATCAAATCTGTTTTAGTGGAGGTAGGAGAGTTGCTTTGATCTTGGTGATGGTGGGGGCTTGCATGCATGTAATTGCACATATTTATGCTGGGAAAACGACACCTTAAAGATGGCAAAGTCCTGCCTCAGGAGGTTACCCTCCATGTCTTCCAAGAGCACATGTGGGCTGCCTCGGGAGATGATGGACTTTCTTTCCCTGGAGGATTTTAAGCAGAGGCTGGATGGCCATCTGCCATGGATGCTTTAGCTGAGATTCTGGCTTGCTGGGGGTTGGACTAGATGGGCCTCAGAGTCCCTTCCAACTCTACAACTCTGTGATTGTATGATCATACAGCCAGTGTGGTGTAGTGGTTAAGAGCGGTAGACTCGTAATCTGGTGAACCGGGTTTGCGTCTCCACTCCTCCACATGCAGCTGCTGGGTGACCTTGGGCCAATCACACTTCTCTGAAGTCTCCCAGCGCCACTCACCTCACAGAGTGTTTGTTGTGGGGGAGGAAGGGAAAGGAGAATGTTAGCCGCTTTGGGACTCCTTCGGGTACTGATAAAGCAGGATATCAAATCGAAACTCCTCCTCCTCCTCCTCCTCCTCTTCTTCTTCTTCTTGAGCAATGATGGTTGCAACCTCCTTTTGATGCTTAAGGCAGTACAGTGTTCAACTAAAGAGTTGCACAGGTGCAATGGGAATGTCATTAGTGCAATGAGATTCTCCCTCCCCCCTCTTCTCCTCCATCCCCAAATCTGCTCTGGGGGGATTTAGCAGCAGACTGGGAGAGGAGAGGGGAAGAATATTATATCGCACAAAGAGAAATCCTTGTGCAGACGGATCATTGAAAATAGCCCTTAAGTTGAACGGATTATACCCAACTAACTCCTAATTAGAGAAGACCTATTACAGTTAATGAACACAGGTTTGGTCATGTCCATTAACTTCAATGGGCCCTGGCCACATTCATACCATACATTTAAAGTGTTACGATGCCACTTTAAACAGCTCCAAATAAGTTGAAGAGCTGTAGTTGGTTAGGCTGAGAGGATGCTGAGAGTTGCTAGGAGTCCCCTATTCCCCTTGCAGAGCTACAAATCCCATTGTGGTTTAATAATCAATTCCTCTTCTGGGAATTGTAGCTTTGTAAGGGGGGTAGAACTCCTTGCAACTCTCAGCAGAGTCCCTAACAACCTACAATTTCTGGTATCCTTTGGGTGAAGCCATGACTCTTTAAAGGTGTGTGATCCTGCTTCAAATGTGTGGTGCAGATGGGGCCTGTCCCCTGTCCCCCTCACACAATGCATTCATTTATTCTTCAAGTTTAGATCTTATTTCCTTCTCAAGGTAGGCATTAACTATTTTCGTTATCTCCTCAGAGTCTCTCGTTCTAACCTTTCCCCTTTCCCATTCTGTCTCCGCAAAGCCTGAAGGGATTGAGAAAGACGTGGTCTTCAGCAGCCTCTTGTGTCCAGCTGGTAAGTGCCTGGTGGTAGGGCCTTCTGCAGAAAGCTCACACTATTGGTGAGATGACAGTGGCGAAGCTGATCTACAGCCTGTTGCAGATATTAATACTGTGACTCCTTTTGGAAGAAATCATTGTCCAGGCCCATAAGAACATTTTTTCAATTTTTTACTTTCCAAAATCATCAGAAACAGAACATAAGCATCAAAAATACAACCCAAATATCCATACAATGTCTTGTGCTGTCCAGCACAGGTTCTGCATCTTACAAAATATACAATAATTCAAACAGACCTAGAAGCAGAGGTCTGTCTCTTCCCACAGCATCCATTTTTTGCCTGGAGCTGTTTTTCTCTCAGTCAGTGAGGGATTTTTACATGCCCTTACTTCACAAAGCCTTGAGACAAAAGACACAAAGGCAACTCCCTTCAAAACGGATGTTTGCAACCCAATACCTTCATCACATGATCTAAGGTTACAACACACACATGTTAGCTACCAGAGAACAACAATCAGTTAGCTAATTATCTACTCCGCAAGAGCTCAGAGTGCTCTCCTTGGTTTTAATAGAGCCCTATGGAAAATCTCCATGTTAAACCTTCAGCAATATACATTTAGCCATTTTTCATTTCTGTGTCAATTAAACCAGTTATACTTCACACGGCCTTCTATCCCGATCAGCTGGATACTTCATTGAAGAGGAAGGAGCTGGAGCATCTGTAAGGGGCATTTCATGGTCTTTCAGAAACTGCCCATGAGATTGATGGGCAAAGGCATGATCAAAACTCTCTCTTTCTCTCCTGCTTGCAGAAAAGTCACAATCATCAGCACCTATAGCTTTAGCGCTGCCAGCCAATGTGGTGGAGGGCTCAGCCAGGGCTTCAGTCTGTGCACTGGGTAAGTGGGGCAACCTTGGAGGGGCCCATGCTAGGGCTCCGGTTACTCTTGTAACCCCCCCCCCAAAAAAAAACCAGGCCCAAGGAGGACTGAGCATGCTCAAAGTTGTGTAACACTGAGGGCGCCTCTATACTAGTTTCTGGTGGGATTCAAACACTTACCTTCAAATTCAGGTTGCTGTGCAATTATAGGTGATTGGTAGGTCTCATGTGCAGCAAACCTAGTTCCCCAAAAGATCAGACTTATTTGCGATAAATAAAAGTGACGCACTGGAAAGCACGGGATGACAACTGCTTGGATGCAGCATAATCTAACCTCCCCGAAAACAAATCAGAACAAATGCTCGTTCAATGGCCAAGATCACCTAACCTCCCTGAAATCAAATCAACATGTGGATGGTCAATGAAGAGACAGACTGGAAGCACCCTGAGTGTCTGTTAGGGTGGGTAGGCGGGTGGGAGAAAATGGGGGGGGGTGGATGGCAAATGGAGTGAAGTGTCTTGAAAAGGGGCTTGCTGGAAGCCTGGATGGGAGCTCTCTGCACAATTCCACTTGCCAGTCAATAATGATGATGATGATAATAATAATAATAATAATAATAATAATAATAATAATAATAGTAATAATAATATATTTATTATTTGTACCCCGCCCATATGGCTGGGTTTCCCCAGCCACTCTGGGCGGCTTCCAACAAAGATTAAAAATACATTAAAATGTCACACATTAAAAACTACCCTGAACAGGGCTGCCTTCAGGTGCCTTCTAAATGTCAGGTAGTTGTTTATCTCTTTGACATCTGGTGGGAGGGCATTCAACAGGTCGGGTGCCACTACCGAGAAGGCCCTTTGCCTGGTTCCCTGTAACTTGGCTTCTCACAGCAAGGGAACCGCCAGAAGGCCCTCGGCACTGGACATCAGCGTCCAGGCAGAACGATGGGGGTGGAGACACTTCTTCAGGTAGACTGGGCTGAGGCCGTTTAGGGCTTTAAAGGTCAACACCAACACTTTGAATTGTGCTCGGAAACATAGCTTTCTTCCCAATTCCAAACAGTGCCTGGCTTTTCCATCTCCTCTCCTTGCATACCCAAGCACCCCCCTGCCCTATGGACTGCCTGAGTACAATGAATAACGAGACACGACAGTCAAATCAGGGCCCAATTTTATCAACGACAGGTGTAAGAGGTAGCCACCCGCTTCTGACCAGCCTGCCGGAAGGACTTAAATTTGGGATGAACCATAAGCAGAGGCTTGACAACCATATGTCAGGAGTGCTCTGGTGGTGTTTCCTGCTTGGCAGGGGGTTGGACTCGATGGCCCTTGTGGTCTCTTCCAACTCTATGATTCTAGGATTCTATGATTCTAAGTGAGGCAGTTCCTGACCTACATCGAGGAATAACCCGACCCCCCTGGATTGCACCTGGGGAGTGCTGTGGCCCTAGTCCCCTTCTGGACGTCAAGACAGGAGCATCTCTCCTAGATCCCTTTAATGGGATAACCGCTTTTTCAGAGGGGCAGGCAGAGGCTACAACCTCCAATCTGACCAAGACAATGCCTACGCAATGCCTAAACCACCACACAAGCAAATGCTCACCAAAGCTCCAAAATGTGGCCTGATCTTTCCCCTCCCCTCTCTTTCTCTCCCTCACCTCCCCTTCTCATACCACATCCCAGGAGACATCATGGGAACAGCCATAGAGAACCTCCACCAGCTTCTCCAGCTGCCCTACGGCTGTGGGGAACAGAACATGGCCCGCTTTGTCCCCAACATCTACATCCTGCAGTACCTGAATAACACAGGGCAGCTGACGGAAGAGGTCAAGTCCAAGGCCATCGGATACTTAGTGGCTGGTGAGGAAGACTCGTAGCTCTGTGGGGAAAATTCTACTTTTGTTGTCTTCCTTGGAGCTTTGGGGTGGGCAGGGAATGAAGTATCTGGCAGCTTCTGTCACTTTCTCATTTTCCCAATCTAAAATTCAGTTCTATATATTTTGAAACAATTTGCACTCTCTCGCTCTCATTAAAAATTTGTCAGCATTTTCACGTGAATGTCTCTAAATCAGCCTTTCTCAACCTGCGGGTCCCCAGATGTTGTTGAACTACAACTCCCATCACCCCTAGCTTGCAAGGCCAGAGCTCAGGGATGATGGGAGTTGTAGTCCAACAACATCTGGGGACCCACAGGTTGAGAACCGCTGCTCTAAATAATATACCTATATGCAGTTTTTTGCAATCAATTTCCCTGAATACAATGCATTTTTTGTATGATGCTTTCACTAATAGCTTATTTTTATGCTCTCTCTCTCTCTGTCTGTCTGTCTTTCCCTGGCAGGACTCAAGGCAGCATTTTTATGATTAATTATATAATTAACAATTATATAGTAATTCTATACTTAAAATATAATGCATTTCTGCAAACATTGATTGGTGAACTGCATTCCAAAATTCAGATACGTGCTAACTTTGAAGGGTTATGCATTCATTTATTTGAAGGGTTATTGTCAGGTTCAGGGAACAGGCTTCCTCCCAGCTTTGGCAGCAGATAAGCAGAACAAAGGGAAAGGAGTCTTCTTACCAGTTAGAACTTTCATGATCACAGCAAGAGAACAAAGAATCCATTTCCTAGGAATGAAGGTGCTCCCAATTAAGGGTTCCACCCACTTCCTCCCTAGTCACCCATGTCACTACCGCGCCTTGTAACCACTGTGCTTTCTGTGCTGCCACCTTATCAGCTCTTCTTGACCTTGGGCTGAGCAGATGAATGCTTTCCAGTGACAGTGAGTCTGTTAACTCTCTCCCTCCCGATTCTTCTCCTCCTAGCTGTTCCCCATCCAGTACTTCCCAGCTTCTGCCTTCTGAAGTATGTCCCTCTGCAAACCACTGTTCCAAATCTATACAGCCCTCCTCAGCACGGTCCCTGACAGTTACTCATTTATTTTTATATCCCACCTTTCCTCAAAGGAGCTCAAGGTGGTGTACTTCCTCTTTCCTGCTTTACCCTCACAATAACCTTGCGAGGCAGGTGACTTAAAGAAAATGCAATCCGTTGTGAAATGTAGAGTACTGAAGATAATAAGACTGGAAGAAGAAAAAAGAAAAAACCCAAAACTAACAGCACCCATCCATTTTCAACTACAGCATTAGTTGTTTCATTTCTAGGGGCCAGATTCATCACGGGGGCTGTAAATTCAGGGCATCATTTGAAGTCAAATAAGCGTAAAGGGGAGTGAAAAAGAAAACCATGAAACCTGACCTTTCAAACAGTGCGCAAGACCTTTATTAAGCAATATGTTGCCTTGCCACTTCCTTCCCAATGAGACACCTCCGTTGAAGTTAGGGTGAGATGCAAAGGTATTCCGACAGATGAAATTAAAATTTCGCCTTCCATTTTAGGCTACCAGCAGCAGCTGAACTACAAGCACTCTGATGGCTCCTTCAGCACCTTTGGACAAAATAACTGGGAGCCAGGAAACACCTGGTGAGATTGACAGTGCCAGAGTCATAATTTCAGCGGGGTGTGTGTGTGTGTGTGTGTGTGTATGGTGAGATTTGGCAGGATGTCTGAAAAGTTGCAGTAGTGAGGTAGGAAAGCTGTGGAAGGGGGAATCCCATCCGGCAACTTTGGGTTTCAGATAGTACATGGGTAGACAAGTGTAAAAAGCCCTGGACACAAATATTCATGGCCCTCTAGTGGTTCATTTACCAGAGGTACAGTCATAACTTGTGTTGCATCTGCTTCATGTTGCATCTTTTCGGGTTACGAACGTGTCAAACCCAGAACTCTTTACTTCCGGGTTTGCTGTGTGCTCACGCGCAGAAGCGGCGCTCTAGTTGTGGACTTTTTGGGGTGCAAACAGCACCCCAGAACAGATCGAGTTTGCAACCAGAGGTACCACTGTAATGTATTTTGAGTTAACTCTGGAAGTGTGCATTCGATTCTGATCAAAGAGCGCAATATACCATATTTTTCACTCCATAAGACACACCTGTCCATAAGACGCACCTAGTTTTTAGAGGAGGAAAACAAGAAAAAAATATTCTGAACGAAACAGTGGGTGTATGATTTTTGTGGTTCATGCTGTGGCCACAGACATGTGATTTGATGGTGAATTTGGGATGACCCAATGCAAAAATCCTGAGGATCCATGTGGATCTGTGCTTTGTAACCACATTTTTGCGCCATTGCGGCCCCTTGCAACAGTGGGTGAGTGATTTTTTTGGTGCAGGCTGTAGCCATGGACATGCTGTGCAATCTGATGGTGAATTTGGGGTCACCCAATGCAAAAATCCTGTGGATCCATGGGCTTTTACCTCCCCCCTCCTAGGCAGCACCCTTTATCGCTAGCCTCCCTTATCTCTCTCTCAATCCCTGACCGATCAGCTGCTTCCTTTCAACACCCCCTTCCCTCTTGTTTGCCTTAGTATCTTTTCCTTAGCTGGAGCAGTTTTTTGCTCCTCCTTTTCTTCGATTTTCTCTCCTCATTGCTTTAGTCTTCCTGTCTCCTCTCCTTGCCAGTTCGCTGTCTTTACCTCCCCCCTCCCAGGCAGCCTCCTTTATTGCTAGCGACTCTTATCTCCCTCCCTGATCGCTTGCTGATCAGCGGCTTTGTTTCAACACCCACTTTCCTCTTTCAAAAAAAAAATAAAAATGCATTATCTGCTTTTCGCCCCTGGGCAATTGGGCTCCAGGGACCACACATTCGCTCCATAAGACGCATAGACATTTCCCCTTACTTTTTGTTGGGATTTTTATCTCACCAGCTGCTCAGCAAGTAGCACTATGGTTGTTTATATCATGTGAGTGTCTGAGAGCGTGAGACAGGAAGTCTCAGTGCTGCTGGAGGATTGTTGGAAGTTAGTTTCACTTCTGATTGTGATGTCTGTTCTGTACTGCTGCTGAGAGAGAGCAGACATGCTGGTGGATTCTCTGTATATATGGACTGGAAATAAAGTAGTTTATAGCTACTTGTTAAGGGTATTGGGTGGTTGCTTGAGAGCAATCAGGCAAGATGCCTCACTGGTTTGTTCTGCTCCCCACGATCTTTGGGGGCTCTCTGTAATCCACCCACCCTTTCCCCTCTCGTCCCCGAGCCGATGGCAGTTCCCTGACACTACTGATTGTCTCTTTCTTCTGAAATGAGATGCCAGAAGACGAGTGTGCTCCTCTCAGGAGGGAAGGGTCACTTATCACTGGTCTCTCTGGACTGAGGAAGATTTACAGCCAGAGGGTGACCACCAGAGAGACGCCCTGGTGTCTTGGGAAGCTGGTGGCCTTCCTGGGCATTTTTCCAACACTTTTTAGGAAGAAAAAAGTGCGTCTTATGGAGCGAAAAATACGGTATACCAGGAGACTTAGTTTGGTCAGGCAGAGCTCCTGAGAAGGGTGACCAAGAGGATAAAGCAATCCAGAAACCAACCCTTATGAGGAACGCTTGAGGAAGTTTGGTATGTTTAGCCTGGAAAAAAGAGACTGAGAGAAGATAGGATAGCCATCTTCAAATATCTCAAGGGCTGTCACATGGAAGATGGAGCAAGCTCGTTTTATTGTGCTCTGGAGGGTAGGACTCAAACCAAGGGCTTCAAGTCCCAAGAAACACTGACTAAACACTAGGTGAAACTACGGTAAGAGCTGTTGGGCAGTGGAATAGACTCCCTCTAAATGTGGTGGGCGCTCTTTCATAGGCGGTTTTAAAGCAGAGGTTAGATGGCTACCTGCCAGGGATGCTTTAATTGAGATTGCTGCATTGCAGGGGGTTGGAATAGAGGACCCTCAGGGGTCCCTTCCAACTCTATGCTTCTTGAAAGCGGTATGCATCTACATTGGCTCCCAGTATGTTTCTGAGCACAATTCAAAGTGTTGGTGCTGACCTTTAAAGCCCTAAATGGCCTCAAAGGCCCAGTATACCTGAAGGAACGTCTCCACCCGGACACTGAGGTCCAGCTCCGAGGGCCTTCTGGCCGTTCCCTCACTGCGAGAAGTGAGGTTACAGGGAACCAGGCAGAGGGCCTTCTCGGTGGTGGCGCCCGCCCTGTAGAACGCCCTCCCACCATATGTCAAAGAGAAGAGGACCCTCTTCTCTTAGGACCCTCGTACCTACGGGACCGCCTCTCCTGGTATGTCCCACAGAGAAATTTACGGTCTGCAAATAAAAACATCCTGAAGATCCCAGGCCACAGAGAGGTTAGGCTGGCCTCAACTAGAGCCAGGGCTTTCTCGGCCGCGGCTCCAATCTGGTGGAACGCTCTGTCACAAGAGACTAGGGCCCTGCGGGACCTGACATCTTTCCGCAGGGCCTGCAAGACAGAGCTGTTCCACCAGGCCTTTGGTCAGGGCGCAGCCTGACCCCCTCCTCTGGCAATCTGCACAGAATTTTGCTTAATGGTTGCCATCAATTTGATTTTAATTAATTTTATAATGAATGTTTTTAGAATGTTGGATTATTTTGATTTTTGTTAGCCGCCCTGAGCCCAGCTTCGGCTGGGGAGGGCGGGATATAAATAAAAATCTATTATTATTATTATTATTAAGAACAACTACCAGACTTTTAAAAGACATCTGAAGGCAGCACTGTTTAGGAAAGCTTTTAATGTTTAGCAGACCACTGTACAGTGGATGCTCAGGTTGCAAACGTGATCTGTGCGGGATGCAAGTTCGCAACCCACAGCGTTCGCAACCTGCGCCTGCGTGTCTGCTCACACACGGGTTGCGATTCAGCACATGCGTGATTGCCGAAACCCGGAAGTAACCCGTTCCAGTACTTCCTGAAGCATCTGTAACCCGAGGTATGACTGTATTTTAATACTTTGTTGGAAACTGCTCAGAGTGGCTGGGGAAACCCAGACAGATGGGTGGGGTATAAATAATAAATTGTTGTTGTTGTTGTTTTGTTGTTGTATAATCAAGAACAAAAAAGCATGCTGCAGTTTGTTTGCTTTGATCGACTCTGCTCTGGGCTCACTTTCAGGCTGACAGCATTTACACTTGTATCCTTTGCCCGGACCAAGTCCATCATCTTTGTGGAAGAGAAGCACATCAGCGATGCTCAGGCCTTTCTGGCTTCCAGGCAGAAAGAGAATGGCTGCTTCCATAGCACCGGGACCCTCCTCAACAACGCCCTGAAGGTACAGAGGGTTGGAGGGAGACTCTATGGTGAAACATCAGCACAATCATAGGGCAAAACTTCTCAGCTTGTTTGGGTTAGCCTTTGGGACTTGGGGTTAAGTTGGAGAAACTCATAGAATCATAGAGTTGGAAGAGACCACAAGGGCCATCGAGTCCAACCCCCTGCCAAGCAGGAAACACCATCAGAGCACTCCTGACATATGGTTGTCAAGCCTCTGCTTAAAGACCTCCAAAGAAGGAGACTCCACCACACTCCTTGGCAGCAAATTCCACTGTCAAACAGCTCTTAGTGTCAGGAAGTTCTTCCTAATGTTTAGGTGGAATCTTCTTTCTTGTAGTTTGGATCCATTGCTCCGTGTCCGCTTCTCTGGAGCAGCAGAAAACAACCTTTCTCCCTCCTCTATGTGACATCCTTTTATATATTTGAACATGGCTATCATATCACCCCTTAACCTCCTCTTCTCCAGGCTAAACATGCCCAGCTCCCTTAGCCGTTCCTCATAAGGCATCGTTTCCAGGCCTTTGACCATTTTGGTTGCCCTCCTCTGGACACGTTCCAGTTTGTCAGTGTCCTTCTTGAACTGTGGTGCCCAGAACTGGACACAGTACTCCAGGTGAGGTCTGACCAGAGCAGAATACAGTGGCACTATTACTTCCCTTGATCTAGATGCTATACTCCTAATGATGCAGCCCAGAATTGCATTGGCTTTTTTAGCTGCCGCGTCACACTGTTGGCTCATGTCAAGTTTGTGGTCAACCAAGACTCCTAGATCCTTTTCACATGTACTGCTCTCAAGCCAGGTGTCACCCATCTTGTATTTGTGCCTCTCATTTTTTTGCCCAAGTGCAATACTTTACATTTCTCCCTGTTAAAATTCATCTTGTTTGTTTTGGCCCAGTTCTCTAATCTGTCAAGGTCGTTTTGAAGTGTGATCCTGTCCTCTGGGGTGTTAGCCACCCCTCCCAGTTTGGTGTCATCTGCAAATTTGATCAGGATGCCCTTGAGTCCATCATCCAAGTCGTTGATAAAGATGTTGAATAAGACCGGGCCCAAGACAGAACCCTGTGGCACCCCACTAGTCACTCTTCTCCAGGATGAAGAGGAACCATTGATGAGTACCCTTTGGGTTCGGTCAGTCAGCCAGTTACAAATCCACTGAGTGGTAGCATAGCAACTTGTTCTGTTTTGCTGAGTTTTACTTCCATTTTTGGTCCTGAGCTTTCAGGGTGGGGATTGCTCTAGATATTGCTGGAGCGACAATCTTGCAACTTAGCATTCCAACAGTTGTGGTGCAGCTTAGCTGCTGCCACAGCAAATAATAATAATAATATCAGTGCCCAGTGCAAGACACTGTGCCTTCTGAGGAAAGTGGGCTATTCCTCTTTTCCCCGCTTCTTCTCACAAGCGTATCTTTTAAAAAGCCTTTCTCAGTATCAACCACCTGTGGCCCTGAGATTTGCAGTTGAGGCCTTCAATCACCAGGAGGTGTTCAGAGGGTGCTGACCCACGGCAGGGCCTTCTCAGTGGTGGTACCCTGTTTATGGAATTTATTTCATAAAATGTATATACTGCTTGCTGTTGCTGGGAACCGTCTTGTCTTGGGAGACAATGGAAGAATGCGACTTCACAATGGGGTGAAGTCAAAATGCTGGATTGTAAGAAAGAAAGAAAAACATTTCAAAGTGGTTTACAAAAAGAATGGTTTGTGCCTTCCTTCCTCTTTACTGAGTTTCATGAGCGGTTGGAAAATGTCCCTGTTTATTCTTGCGTTTGATGGCTGAATGACACTGTTCCTGGCAACTCTTTCTTTCTTTCTTTCTTTCTTTCTTTCTTTCTTTCTTTCTTTCTTTCTTTCTTTCTATGTTTTTGCCATACTGGGCTCCTTTAGGAGGAAGGGTAGGATATAAAATTCAGCAATCAATAATGAATAATATTTGGAAAGCAGTAGATTGATCTCGCCGAAGAATTGATGCTTTTGAATTATGGTGCTGGAGGAGACTCTTGAGAGTCCCATGGACTGCAAGAAGATCAAACCTTTCCAATCTGAAGGAAATCAGCCCTGAGTGCCCATTGGAAGGACAGATCGTGAAGCTGAGGCTCCAATACTTTGGCCACTTCATGAGAAGAGAAGACTCCCTGGAAAAGACCCTGATGTTGGGAAAGATGGAGGGCACAAGGAGAAGGGGACGACAGAGGACAAGATGGTTGGACAGTGTTCTCGAAGCAACAAACATGAGTCTGACCAAACTGTGGGAGGCAGTGGAAGACAGGGGTGCCTGGCGTGCTCTGGTCCATGGGGTCACGAAGAGTCGGACACGACTAAACCACTAAACAACAACAACAACAGATTGATCTTGGGGTGGGGGGAGTTCCCTGGAGATTGCAAAGGGCTTTCCTGTACCACATGGGGGCTGAGCAATTCCCATCTTTTTTCTTACAGGGTGGGGTTGATGATGAGGTCACTCTGTCTGCCTATATCACCATCACCTTCCTGGAGATTCCTCTGCCTGTCACTGTAAGTAGCCATCTTTCCCCTTCTGCAAGTCATCAGGGACAACCATTCAGGATGGGTAGAGGGTATTATAGCCTGAGATAACTTCCCATGAAGCTAAACACTCTAGCAAAGGACCAATAACCAATCAAGCTCTTATTGGGCCAAAGTCTTGAATCCATTTAGCCTAATTCAGAAAAGGTTTTTCCAAAATAATTAGTCGACGGACTCTGCTTTTAAATGTTACTTGCTTTTTAAAAAAAATATAGATAGATGTAAAGGTAAAGGTAAAGGTAAAAGGACCCCTAACCATTAGGTCCAGTCGTGGCCGACTCTGGGGTTGCAGCGCTCATCTCGCTTTACTGGCCGAGGGAGCCAGCGTACAGCTTCCGGGTCATGTGGCCAGCATGACTAAGCTGCATCTGCCGAACCAGAGCAACGCACGGAAACACCATTTACCTTCGCGCTGGAGCGGTACCTATTTATCTACTTGCACTTTGATGTGCTTTCGATCTGCTAGGTTGGCAGGAGCAGGGACCGAACAACGGGAGCTCACCCCGTCGCGGGGATTCGAACTGCCGACCTTCTGATCGGCAAGTCCTAGGCTCTTTGGTTTAACCTACAGTGCCACCCGTGTCCCAATAGATAGATGTAGATGTTGCTATTAACCTATTTGGGTTTTTTTAAAACAACATATTGTCGTACCTTGGATCCTGAATGACTTCAGCATTTTGTTAGTGTTCCGGTTTGTGTCTGATGGCTTCCGGTTGTGTTCCGAGGCTTCCGGTTGTGTGCAGGAAGCTCCTGCAGCCAATCAGAAGCTGCGCCTTGGTTGTCCAACATTTTCAGAAGTCAAATGGATTTCCAGAATGGATTCCTTTCGACAACCAAGGTACAACTATATATATTTAAAAACAAACAGGATGCTGGGCAAGATGGGCTCTGTTCTGGTCCAGCATGCTCTTACGAGCCCTTTTGAGAGGGATGTTACTGAAGCTGAGCCCAATTCCCTATTCGAGCTCCTTGGCGTGCTGAGAGTACAGTATATATGGCTTGTGAATTTGGCCAGAAAAGTAGATTTTTCCCTGTTCCAGTCACACACAGAGAGATGCTTCTAGAGGAGCATCTCCACCCCCATCGTTCTGCCCGGACACTGAGGTCCAGCTCCGAGGGCCTTCTGGCGGTTCCCTCCCTGTGAGAAGCAAAGTTACAGGGAACCAGGCAGAGGGGCTTCTCAGTAGTGGTGCCTGCCCTGTGGAATGCCCTTCCATCAGATGTCAAGGAGATAAACAACTCTCTGACTTTTAGAAGACATCAGAAGACAGCACTGTTTAGGGAAGTTTTTAATCCTTGATGTTTTATCGTGTTTTTAATATTCTGCTGGGAGCTGCACTGGGTGGCTGGGGAAACCCAGCCAGATGGGTGGGGTAGAAATAATAAATGATGATGATGATGATGAAAGTAATAAAGTGGCTTATTATACACACCTTGGGTAGAAAAGGTTTCCAGTTCTAACCTAACTAATGCAGAGAAGACAAAGACAGCCATGCTTTCTAACTGGGAAGATAGATCCCTCTCACCTTTAGGTCCAAAGAGAAGTGAGATGAGCAGGAGGAAGCTGTAAACAGGATGCAACTTAAGACATTTCAGTATAAACATCAAAGCGTCAGGGAGGTCAGCAGAGAGGTTGAAGTTACAGGGATAGTCTGGGAATCTGGAGGTCTCTTTCTCGTTTCTTTTACCCCACACAAACCCATCTCAATGAACTGAGTTGCACCCAAACTTCCAGTGGTTGTGCTGAGACTTTGCTTTTCCCAGCAATATGTGGCCAGAAGGCCTGATCCTGCCACTCAAGCCACCTCCAGTAGCCTCCTGTCAGGTCTCTGGAAATGGCTGCAGTGGCTTGAGAGAAGTTTCTCCTTCCTTCTCTCCCCAGCACTCCGTGGTGCGCAACGCCCTGTTCTGTTTGGAGACGGCGACGCAGGCGAAAGAGATCAACACTTACACCAAAGCCCTGCTGGCTTTCGCCTTTGCCTTGGCGGGGAAAGAGGACAAGAAGCAGGAAATGCTGCGTTTGCTTGATGGGGAAGCTGTGGCAGAAGGTGAGAGGCAACATCTTTGCCTAATAATAATAATAATAATAATAATAATTTATTATTTATACCCCGCCCATCTGGCTGGGCCTCCCCAGCCACTCTGGGCGGCTTCCAAAAATATATTAAAATACTGTAATGCATTAAACATTAAAAGCTTCCCTAAACAGGGCTGCCTTCAGATGTCTTCTAAAAGTCTGGTAGTTGTTCTTCTCTTTGACATCTGGTGGGAGGGCGTTCCACAGGGAGGGCGCCACTACCAAGAAGGCCCTCTGCCTGGTTATCTGAAGGAGTGCAGCCTTATATAAGTTTGATACCTGTTTTAGAAAATGCTTTTGGAGCCACTGGTAAGCCGCGTTTATTAAAATGCCTGTAGTGGTGCCAGGATCGTTTGACTCGCATGCTAATTCACCTCTCCCTTTTTGAAGCTGATGGCTCTCTTCACTGGCAGCGGCCTGGAAAGCAAGAGGCGGACGCTGACCTTCCATTCCATCGCTTGCCGCGTGCGCCTTCCGCAGAGGTGGAGATGACAGCCTACGTCCTCCTAGCGTACCTGACCAAGCAGCCGGCGCCATCGCAGGAAGAGCAGGCGAAATGTGCCCGCATTGTCAAGTGGCTCGTCAAGCAACAGAACCCCACTGGCGGATTCTCTTCTACTCAGGTAAAGTTCCTCCCTCCCTTCCGGGGACCCAGGAGTGGAGGATGTTGGGAGGGAGACAATCAGGCTGTTTTGGTTCATTAGATACAAGGAGTCCCATCAGGGCAAAAACTCCTCGGAAAGACATAGGCCTAGAGAAAAATAAAGGTCAGAGAAAGTTGAAAATGTTGCTGAAGTTTAGGTTCCTTGGCTCTAGATACAAGCTACTCAGACTCCATATTCTCACCATAATTCCCCGTCTTACCTTAGTCACATGTTAATTTATCATTAATAGCTATATCCCATGAGGGACGCGGGTGGCGCTGTGGGTTAAACCACAGAGCCTAGGACTTGCCGATCAGAAGGTCGGCAGTTCGAATCCCCACGGCGGGGTGAGCTCCCGTTGCTCAGTCCCTGCTCCTGCCCACCTAGCACGTCAAAGTGCAAGTAGATAAATAGGTACCACTCCGGCGCGAAGGTAAACGGCGTTTCCGTACGCTGCTCTGGTTGGCCAGAAGCGGCTTAGTCAGGCTGGCCACATGACCCGGAAGCTGCACGCCAGCTCCCTCAGCCAATAAAGCAAGATGAGCGCCGCAACCCCAGAGTCAGCCACAACTGGACCTAATGGACAGGGGACCCTTTACCCTTTACCTTTAGCTATTTCCCACACCTCTTTATACCATTCTTCCATTTTATATTCTGCTTGCCCCTTCTACTTCCTAGCTATCATAATGCGTGTAGCTGTCAATAAATTGGTGAGCAAGTCCTTGGATGTTTTTTTTAAGGAAAGGGAGTTTAACCATGCTGTACTGTTTATATAAGTACAGCTGGAGAATGTTGCATCTGAGCCAATATCTTGGACCAAGAAGCCCTTCAAAGGGAGGGTTGTCCTCTTCCAGAGAAAGACACATGGCTCACACTCCCCTCCCTGTGGTCTCTGTTGCAGGACACTGTGGTGGCGCTCCAGGCCCTCTCTCTGTATGGGGCTTTAACCCACTCCAGAAGCAGCACAGGCACAGACTTGTCTGTGCACTCCGGAGCGAATGCCCTGGGAACTTTCCATGTGGACAACACCAACCGCCTGCTTCTCCAGTGCCGATCTCTTCCCCAAGTGCCAGGAGACTACAATGTTGAAGCGACAGGAGATCGCTGTGTCTATATCCAGGTGGGTAAGTGCCCAGGCAGGGTACCTGGGAGAGACAGAACATGTGATGGTGTCAGGCTTCGAGGAATCAGCTTCCTTCCCTGTGGCAGTAAATAAGAAGATCAAACGAAAGGAACGTCTTACCAGTTAGATTCTTTAATAATCACAGTGAGAGACAAAGATTGTGTCTCGATAGAATGGTGTTGCTCCCAATTAAGGCTCACTCCCCCCTCCGTCCCAATTAATCTATGTCACTCCTACGTCTTGTAATCTGAGCTTATACCCTCTGTGCTTTCTGTTCTGAGACTGTCTGAGCTGTTCTCGACCTTGGGGAGGGCGGTGGAAGAATGCTGTCCAACAACTGTGAATCTGTTGGCCCTCTCCCCCTTCTTCTAGCTGTTCCCCATTCAGTATTTCCCAGCTTCTGCCTTCTGAACTGTGCCCCTCTGCAAACCACTGTTCCAAATCTACGTTGTCCTCCTATTCCTGGGAAGATTCAGGATCAGGGGGAGGGGGTGGCTCCCACCATTCCTCCTCAATGCAGCCCACCACAGCATGGTCACTGACAGATGGTTTCCAAGCCACCATGTAGTCCCAAGTCATACGAGGGAAGAGAGTTCCTGGCTAAAGCAGAGCGTACCCTCTCTGCTTAGCTCACCCTTCTACTTTTTTTAAAAAAAATCATTTTTATTGATTTTCCAATAAAAACATCCAATTAATATATCCAATCATAATACTCCAATTAAAATAAAAAAAGACCAAATTATAGTCCAGATTATAATTATTAATTTTTCGGAGTTCCCCATGGTCTGGATCTCTGAAGCATATCTCCAAATCTCAGTCCTGCCTCTCTTCGTTGTTTCCGTATTTTCCACATCTCGATTTTAACGCTTTATATTTCTCTGTCCCTGAGTCCAGGATTCTCGATCATGTCAAACATCATATACTTTCATCCCTCAAATACAGCTTTATTAGTATATATTTTCCCAACTGTCTTTTTATCAGCGCAGCTTGCTCTGGCTCCATTCCAATCTGGGATGTTGTCCAAATCTGTTATCTGAAGTTTAATGGCGCAGCAACTCCCAATCATTTGCTCCCCCTTCTACTTTTAAGAACTTTCTGCCACCAGATTATAGAATTGTAGAGTTGCAAGAGACCCCGAGGGTTCTCTGGTTCAACCCTCTGCAATGCAGGAATCTCAACTAAAGCATCTTCAGCATTTAGCCGAGTTTCCTGCATTGCAGGGGGTTGAATTAGATGGACCTTGCAGTCCCTTCCCACTCTACAATTCTATGATCCATGACAGATGACCACCCAACTGTTTAAAAACCTCCAGGGTGTCCTGCTGCCAGAAACGCCTCACATACCTGAGTGCTGTTTCCCTTCCAGACCACCTTGAAGTATAACGTGCATCCGCGCCCAGAGGACTCGCCTTTCAAGCTGGACGTGTACACAGTCCCTGAGTCTTGTGTTGGACCCAAAGCTCACAAAACGTTTGACGTTGCTGTAAATGTCAGGTAATCCCTTCACAAAGCCCACTCTGGTTAGCTAGCTGCATCTGTACAGGAGCACAGCATCTCTGGTCCTTGGTTCGGTTGATACTTTGCTCTGTTTCTTGAACTGTCTTACAAATTGTTTGATAATCAAGTTGTGTTGTTGTACTATGTTCTGGGGTAGCTAGTGGAGTCCTAGCCATTACACAAGGCCAGTTATTCATAAGGATGAAGCGTAGTTTAAAAATATCCTTAATAATAAACCAGCCACTTGGAACAGGCCCCATCTAAGCCCCTACAAACACTGTGGGGCAAACTATGGTGGAAATCTCTATCTATATCTTTACAGTACAGTCATACCTCAGGTTAAATATGCTTCAGGTTGAGCGTTTTCAGGTTACGCTCCATGGCGCCCCGGAAGTAACGGAACACGTTACTTCTGGGTTTCACCGCTTGCACATGCACAGACACTCAAAATGACGTCACGCACATGTGCGGAAGTGGCGAAACACGACCCGTGCAGACGCGTCTTATGTTCTATTCAGGATGCGAACGGGGTTCCGGAACAGATCCCGTTCACATCCAGAGGTACCACTGTATATGTACTGTTGGATCGTAAAAAAAAACCCCACTAAATGAAACCTCAAAGCCATTTACAAAAATGATAAAATTATCAATTAGAGGAATTAATAATTCCTCTAATTACAGTGGTACCTCGCAAGACGAATGCCTCGCAAGACGGAAAACTCGCAAGACGAAAGGGTTTTCTGTTTTTGAGTTGCTTCGCAAGACGATTTTCTCTATGGGCTTGCTTCGCAAGACGGAAACGTCTTGCAAGTTTGTTTCCTTTTTCTTAAAACCGTTAATACAGTTGCGACTTGACTTCGAGGAGCAACTCATAGCACGCAGTGTGCATCTCCATAGGGGCATGAACGCGCGAAGGCGGGTTCTGAGGGAGAGGGAGCTTTGTTTCGGCGAAAAATAGCAAGGCGTGCACACTTCCCTCCCCACAACTCCCAGTTAGGGAGGCCAGGCTCCGGGGCTCTTCGGACGGGGCTCCTTCCTTCTCCCCCCCCCCCAGCGCCCCGGCGGTGACAAGAGCGCCTGCCCGGGCCCTCCGGCGCTCGCCCTGCGAGGGGCGCCCCCTACCTGCATCTCCGCGCTTTCCAACCCTGCGACGTTGACAGCTGCGGCAAGTTTGCCTCTCGGTGTGTGTGCGCGCGAGTGTGTGTTCTCCTCACCCCGCTCGAGTTAGTCCCGGCGCAGCGCAGGCAGCAGGTGAGTCGCCCTTTGGCAGCGCGGAAGGCGCCGGGCCAGGCAAGGTCAGCTCGGGAGCCACCGGGGACGCGCCCCCGCGCTCCTCTCCAACGGGCTGGATGCACCCCTCTCCGCTCGCGCGCTTCTGGCTGGCTGGCCGGCTGCAGCAGCAACAGGGGCAATAGGCATCCACCGTCGCCGACGCTCCCTCCCTCCCTCCTGCCCGCGGCGGGCGGCTGGCTGGCTGGCGCTCTCGCTTTCTTTCGGGCTGCTGCTGCAGAAGGGATTTTGCACCAGATAACTTTTAGGCCGGTAGGAGTTTTGACTACCGCGGCGACAGCAGCAGCAGCAGCAAGACGGCGCCGACTGTAGTGCAAAGGGTCGGAGCAAGGCGAGCCGAACCGATCCCGTGGCTCAGGCAGCAACCTCCGCCCCGCCTCCCCCTAAGCCCCGCGCCCGCCTCTCCCTCCCTCCCAAGCACCCCCCTTTTTTGAGGTTTTTGAAGACTTTGGTGATTGGCTGCAGGAGCTTCCTGCACTAAATCAGAAGCCGTGGAAGCTGTGTTGGACGTTCGGCTTCCAAAAAACGTTCACAAACTGGAACACTTCCGGGTTTGTGGCATTTGGGAGCCAAAACATTCGAGTCACAAGGCATTCGAGAACCAGGGTATGACTGTAATATGAAGAAAAATTGTTTTGCAAAAAAAGTATGCATTAGGAAAGATTGGAATCATAAAATTTTGTGTTGGAAGAGACCCTGAGTCCAACGCTCTGCAATGCAATGCAGGAATATGCAGCTGTCCCATATGGGTATCGAACCTGCAACCTTAGTATTATTGGCACCACGTTGTAACCAACTGAGCTATGCAGGCTGCTCAGGGACCACGAGAATCATCTAGTCCAACTCCCTGAAATGCAGGCATCTTTTGCCCAATGTGGGGCTCGAACTCACAACCATGTTCAAATATATAAAAGGCCATGATAGCCATGTTCAAATATATAAAAGGATGTCACATAGAGGAGGGAGAAAGGTTGTTTTCTGCTGCTCCAGAGAAGCGGACACGGAGCAATGGATCCAAACTACAAGAAAGAAGATTCCACCTAAACATTAGGAAGAACTTCCTGACAGTAAGAGCTGTTCGACAGTGGAATTTGCTGCCAAGGAGTGTGGTGGAGTCTCCTTCTTTGGAGGTCTTTAAGCAGAGGCTTGACAACCATATGTCAGGAGTGCTCTGATGGTGTTTCCTGCTTGGCAGGGGGTTGGACTCGATGGCCCTTGTGGTCTCTTCCAACTCTATGATTCTATGATTCTAACCTTGAGATTAAGAGTCTCATGCTTCACCCAACTGAGCTATCCTGGACAAGTAGAGCCAGGGGGGCCAGGAAAGATTCCTACCTGAAACCCTGGAGAGACACTGTCCCTTGGTGTAGACAATATTGAGCTAGGTGGACCAATGGTCTGAACTCAGTATAAAACAACTTCCTATAAATAAAAAAATGTGCCTAGTGGGAGATATTCACACTAGAATACTGATGAATTTTCATGAGGATTTTATTTTTTTAATTTGCAAGCTGATGTAGAAATGTGGACAACTAAATTGAGGAAAAACAAGAAACTGAAAATGGACATATTCATCCATGCTTAACCATAATAAAAAACATTGAATTTGTAACCTGCCTTAAAAACACACGCACAAATGTACAGAAGGCAACTGACATAAAACTGACACACAGGACAAAATGGTGTTCCTTTTTTATCCAATCAACAAGCCCATTATGGAGGTTTCCCTGACAATTGGTGACTTCCGCAAGGACAAACATTTTGTCTCCAGCTGCAACACAGTTGGGTCCCTTGCGTTGCTTTGCTTTGAATGTACAGTGGTACCTCTGGGTGCGAACGGGATTCGCCACTTCTGCGCATGTGTGTGATGTCATTTTGCACATCTGTGCATGCGCAAGCAGCGAAACCCGGAAGTAACCCGTTCCATTACTTCCGGGTCGCTGTGGGACGCAACCTGAAAACGTGTAACCTGAAGCAAACGTAACATGAGGTATGACAGTATTATAAGCCAGATTGGGTGGCTGTGGGAGGTCTGGTGGTCAGGAATGACAAGCATTGGAGTTCTGGTGTGAGAATTTTTTCCTTTCCCTCTTTGATCTCTCAGTTACATTGGCAAGTGGCCGACCTCTAACATGGTGATCCTTGATGTGAAGATGCTTTCAGGATTCATCCCGGTAAAATCGTCCGTAAGACAGGTAATGGCTGTTTGTGTGGCAGTGCCAAAACTCCCTTGGCTATGTTGTTGTTGTTAGCATCCGTCTGACTTGAGAGACAATGCAGTGCACCTCTGGGGATGAAGTCAAATAGTTGCATTAGCACAGGGGTCCCCAAACTAAGGTCCGTGGGCCAGATAAGGCCCGAGGGACTCGTTTATCCGGCCCATAGTGACCCCCGCCACACCGCTGCCACCACCCGCTCTTACCAGCACTGCGCTGCGTGGCTGCCCACTTCCAGGTCAGAGGAGCACCAGAAATAGCTTGTGCGCATGGGCAAGCGTTATTTGCGCATGCACAAGCGTTATTTGCTGTGCACATCTGGTCGGACGAGGCCCATGCACATGTGCACAAGCTATTTCCAGTGCTCCTCCGACCCGGAAGTGCGCCGGAAATAGCGTGTGTGCAAGAGTATGGGCACGTGCTCCCCCGCCCTCCGGCCTGCTACGCGATCGGCGCTGGAGACACCGGCCTGAGGCGCAGTAAGTCTGCTGACCCCTGCATTAGCAGCACCAAAGTGATCTCCCTGAGGCGCAAGCCTGGGCAGTGTGTATAGAGATCCTGGGCTGCCCAGAAGACAAGAGCCCCTCTTGGCCTCGCAGATGTGGTTCAATGGAAAGCAGAGCAATACATTTGGCACCAGCTTGGAGTTGCAAGAAAGAAGGGCCTTTTCACTGGCTAGGTTCAATTCTAATCCTTCTAACCTCCTTTGGGGTTGGTTTGTGGGTTTGACAGAAGGAGATAGGATCTGCCCATGCGATGCCCACCTGGTGGAAACTCTAGCTCACATGGCCCTTAACTGTAAAATGTATGATGATCTCTGCCAACAATTTCTAAACCATCTATGTATTCCGACATGGAAACCAGAGATGGAGGTTAAGCGCTTCTTATTACAGGGAAGAGACCAGGAGCTCACCAAGACAGTAGATAAGTTCCTCTATTTGATTTTTTTGTCGCCAAAGTATGCTACAGGATCCTGCCCTTGCTGGAAACCCTCAGAGATGAGGTGGATTGCTTGGCCCTTCTGCCCTTTGGTGGGTGACTGTGCCGTTGGGGTGGTGAAGAGATTGCACTGGCCTATCTATTCTGAATGTATTCTGAATGTTCTTATGTGATGCCAGTAAAGGGTACTTGACTTGAGTTGCCTGAAGGGGGTGTACTGTTCACTGTCCTCGCAGTGGCCAACCAGCTGTCTGTGGGAAATCTGCAAGCAGGACCCAACCACAAGAGCGCCCTCCTCTGATGTAGCTTCCAGCAACTGGTATTCAGAAACATTTTGCCCAAAGCCATGGACACAAAGCATAGCTGTCCTGGCCGGAAGCACTAACAGTAATCCTTACACTAACAGGCACCTGATTTCTTTCTTCTTTGGTGATCACTCGTAGCCAAGTAAGATTGTCTTCCATAAACACGGTTTTAACAATGAGTCCGTAAGTGTCTGTGGAGGCCAATTCTGGATCCACACGCCCTTCCACAGTGGGGACATAGGTTTCCAGGCAGGAATTAATCACGGTGAGGGTTTGCCAAACGTGCCTTCCTCTTAGCACGTTTCTCCCCTTCATCCTGACTTCGAGCGTCTTCAAAACCTATGACACCTTTGGTAGAAGCTATTCTCCAACTGGAGCGCTCGCAGGCCAGTGTTTCCCAGTTGTCAGTGTTTATATGATTTTTTTAAAGATTTGCCTTGAGAGGGTCTTTGAACCTCTTTTGTTGACCACCAGCATTACGCTTTCCATTTTTAAGTTTGGAATAGAGTAGTTGCTTTGGAATACGATCATCAGGCATCCGCACAACATGACCGGTCCAATGAAGTTGATGTTGAAGAATCATTGCTTGGACACTGGTGGTCTTTGCTTCTTCCAGTACATTGGCATTAGTTCACCTGTCTACCCAAGTGATGTAAACACCTCCTTAAAGACCTATTTAGGCAGGCATTCACAGGCTCACAAGATTCATCACATTGCTCTGTTTCGTTATTTATTGATATTTATCAAATGTTTTATTGATGGCCTCTCTGTTTTTACTTATGTATTTCTTTGTATTTTTTGGATTTGAGTGCTGCATTTTGTTGGTGATGTTGATGATGTTGGCATTAGTTCACCTGTCTTCCCAGGTGATGTGTAAAATTGTTTGGAGACACCGTTGATGGAATCTTTCAAGGAGCTGGAGCTTGATTTAGCACTATGTTGAATACAATATTTACACTCCAAGGGGCTTCAGGCAGAAGCAATGATGGTGGTTTGTCACAATTACTCGGGAATAATAAATCTCTCTCTTCTCCCCCCCCCCCCATCCTCACCTCCAGCTAATGGGTAAAGCACAGGTCAAACGGACAGAAGTGAGCACCAGCCACGTCCTTTTGTATTTGGAGAAGGTGAGTGAGGAGATGGGAAAGCAAGAAGTGCATCCTTTGGGGAATGCCAACAGCTAGAACCCTCTGCCTGCCTGATGGCACACTCTTGCGAGGTCTTGCTTTGCTGGGTGTGTGATAGCTTATAACAGCTTATCCAACCGGCTTGCCCACAGGTGGACAATGTGACCCAGAGCCTATCCTTCACGGTGGAGCAGGATGTCCCTGTCCAGCACCTGAAGCCTGCCCTGGTGAAAGTCTATGATTACTATGAAACAGGTAAGAATGGGCTCTGGTACCACACTCGAGAGCCAGTGTGGTGTAGTGGTTAAGAGCGGTAGTCTCATAATCTGGGGAACCGGGTTCGCGTCTCCGCTCCTCCACATGCAGCTGCTGGGTGACCTTGGGCTAGTCACACTTCTTTGAAGTCTCTCAGCCCCACTCACCTCACAGAGTGTTTGTTGTGGGGGAGGAAGGGAAAGGAGAATGTTAGCCGCTTTGAGACTCCTTAAAAGGGAGTGAAAGGCGGGATATCAAATCCAAAACTCTTCTCTCTCTCTTGGTACTACAGAACTGCTCAGTATATAGTAGCGTTACAAGCCACCCAAACTCTGAGCAGTGAGAGATTACAGGGGTTCCAACCACTTCTCCAGGGTTCAGTTACCTTGGAATGAAGGCCAGCACATGCTGTAGTTTCTTTAAGATATGTTGTTTTCTCTACACACATATATACAACCTAAGCCTAAGCTGGAGGGGCTCACAACATTAATCCCCCCACCCCCCAAAAAATATTGCTTCTCCATCACTCATAGCTTGGGATCTAGCACAGAGCAAGCATGTCTCTGTGTCTCCATCTTCCAGCCAGCTTCCAGCCCAGTTCACAAACACCACACTGGCTATTGTTCTCTTACTTAGGTGAAGTCCACCCAGAGGGCACGATTAGTTAGTTGTATCTCTCACAGCCTGCCTCATTCTTTTGGGATGCTGAGGAGGACACTTAAGTGGCCAGCTAAGTCATTGTTTTACAAGCAGACTTGTTTGACTGGTTCAGCAATAGAATCCTCTATTAGAGTCTAACTCCCACTGGGTACAGGACCCCAAGATTTGGAAAAGACTCAGACTGACCTTCCGAACCCACAACAGTATTGTCATTAAGGTTCATCTCACGCTTCTTAGTTAGCTCTCAAACTGCCTTCCCAAAAAAAACTGTAAATCCGCCATGTTGTTGTTGTTGTTTAGTCGTTTAGTCGTGTCCGACTCTCCATGACCCCATGGCCATACAAAAGTAATAGTTCTAAATGTTCTAAAGCCAACCCACCGAAAAAATCCACCAGACCAAAAATCTGGTGGCAGTTGGCACTGATGCAGGAAGTTGGAGGAGCCAGAGTCTTTCCTGACCATCTTTCATTGTATTTCCAGGTGACAGTGCCATTGCAAAGTACAGCACCCCCTGCAGTACAGGTAAAGTATGAACAGAGATTGCCTCTCACCAACCCTACATGTGAAGCAGATCGAAACCACAAAAGGCCTCTCTAGGCCAGCACCCATATTTCTTCTGTGTCCAACCCAGATGCCTTTGTGGAGGCCCATAATCAGGACATGATTTAGGGTCCTGCACCAAAGTCTCTAACACTGGCAGCTACATCAAACAAAAGAGGTAGTGGAATGGAGGACTGGACTCCCAATCTGCAGGATGAGGGGTCCCCAACCTGGGCTGATAGAGTTGGGAGAGGGACATGAAAGGGGGACAAACTGTAAATTCTCTGACTTATGGGGTGGCTGGTCACCATATGGATGTTCTGTCTCTGACCCCTAAAACATCTTGGGCCATTTCTGGTTGAATGCTTGGCCAAAGGAGATTCTTGTGCTTTCCCCTCCACTGCAGATGACATTAAACAGGGGAATGCGTGAGGAATGAAGCCCATCACCCCCAGTAGACTCTGTTGGCATCTTCCTTCCACCATCAGACACAAGTGGACAGAGCAACCAGGACAGCAACACAGAGAGGGAAGCATATATCCCGACACAGCCAACAAAAATCTTCTCTGCTTTGCTTGCTTATTCCACCATTTGAATAAGTCCTGTATCCACCTTTTCTCATTTTGAGATCCTTTTCTACATCTGCTACTACTTCCCTCTACTGGATGAAAAAGAAAATAAAAGGAATCCATTCATTTCTTTTTAACCTGTCTGGCCTCATATTTTCTTCTGGCCCAAATCCAATACAAAATTAGGGCTTGAGCTACATGTTTAGCAGCAAACTCATGTCTTAGAATGATGCTGAATGGCTGCAAAGTGGGGGGGGGGGTTAAGAAGGATCTGTCAATTTCGTTTCTCTTGGGTTCTCATTTTTTCAATCTTAAATCCAGTTCTCCAAATTTCTGCAGCAATTCACAAATTTTCTTTTATAAACAAATCATCATGAAGGTGTTGGAATGCCAAGAAAATAAGGAGGTGCTCTTTAATGAGCTGTCAAGATGGTATACATCTAAACCAACTTTCCAGGATGCAATCCCTGTGGGGTGAAGGGGGTCTTGTCTCTTGAGGAGAGAGGGGTCGGCTGAAATTTCCCCACACCTAGAGGGACCCACAGAGTCCCAGTCAACTTCTTTACTGCCTCCAGCTGAATGAAACCAGCTGTCCAGATAACTCCTGCCACCCCAAAGTACAGCTTCTCCAATGTCCCATACACAGCAGAATCTCATGACACAGTGCCTTGACTTCCTGACCTAGATGTTCTGATCATTAGTTCCCAAAACTGGGTATTTGTAAGTACAGGGTGCAGAGTGTAGCACAAGAGAGTTTGGGTCTCAGGTTGGCAGAATCCAAAATTCCCAAGTCCGTTTGACTCCTCCCCCCCCCGCCCCAGTCATATCCACAATCCCATATTTAAGATAGTGGTGCAACTCCTCTTCTCCACGAGAGGGATTACCTGAGAACAGTCTCCAGGATCTGGGCAGACACCCAGCTCAGGATCAGCTCCAGCAGTTCCTCTGGCACAGAGTCCCACAGAACAAGACTGGTATTCAATAAAGAGAATTATCAGGTATCTTAAAGGTACTATTGCTTACAAGCTGAAATTGTCAGCACAAGGTTCAGGTGAACTGGAGGTATATGCTAATGCAGACTAGGCACCAGATCTTAGTGATTGTAAATCCACTTATGACACACTATTTCTTTACTAGTTACAGGTAGGTAGCTGTGTTGGTCTGCCATAGTCGAAAGCTCATACCAATAACAAACTTAGTTGGTCTCTAAGGTGCTACTGGAAGGAATTTTTTTTATTTTATTTCTTTACTATAAAGCTACAGTTGAACAATACTGCAGTAAGCAGAATATTGTGTCTGTTTCAACTTTTGAAGCTGAATATATTAGTTTATCTACAGCTTTTAATGAGAGAATCTGGTTTAAGCAAATATTATTTGAAATGAATTTGGACATGCAGAAAGATGTCACAATATCTGAGGATTATCCAGCTTGTATAAGTATGGCAGAATCTGAAAAGATTAGCAAAAGGACAACACATATAGACATCAAATATCATCATGTAAAGGACAGACGTGATCAAGGAGTAGTAAAAAAATTCAGTATACTCCAACTGTAGATATGCTTTCAGATATTATGACTAAACTACTGGCAAGACATAAATGTGTGGATTACTTATTGTAACTAGAATTGAAGACTGTTCTGCAGTAAAGCTTTGAAGTGCATTCTTGTAACGGAGAGATTTCATTTCTTTCTTTTCCTTTTTTCTTTTTTTTAAGCTTTATACATTAAAAGTTACACATAATAAAACACATTGAAACACATTGATCTATTATACAATAAAAAAAGAAAAAGGAAGGAAAAATAGAAAGAAAAAAGAATAAAAAAGAGCATTCAACAAATCATCTTGTCAAGTACATACAGTAATTTAAGGAATGCAAACCGTCATTGTCATTAATTATGAACACATATTCAATATGAGATTCTTTTCACATCACCTTATATTTTTCTCCTTGCGACTTTCACTTTCCTATCTATGTCTAATCTCTGGTTTCATTCCCGTGATTTATTTGATGACTTCCTTCTGCCTCCATGCGGTTCTTAATTTTTCATATCTTAAAATTTCTACATCCATTTTAACATGGTGGAGAACCGTTCTGTTATCTCTGTGGAATTTAGTCTGTGCTCAACCAATTGTGATCGTTGGAACCATAATTTTTAAAAACATCCCATTCTTTTCTGATATTGTCTCCAGATTGATTTCTTATTACTCCTGTTGATTTTGCCAACTCAAGATACTCACATAACTTTAGGTGCCATTCTTCTTTTGTCAGTATTACATTACTTTTCCAGTACTTTGCTATCAGAATCCTGGCAGCCGTAATTGCATAAAGAAATACTCTTTTATTAATTTCTGGGATATTTGTTATAAAGATACCTAATAAAAATAATTCCGGTTTTTTAGGAAATGTGTATTTTATCATTTTCTTTAATTTGGGTCATAAATTGTGACCCAAAAAGATTTTTTTTGGGACACATTCACCACATGTGGAAAAAGTTTCCATTTTCATGATAACACCGCCAACACTTAATACTTTTTTTGTTGTTGCCAATTTTGATGGGCTCGAATACCACCTGTAAGCCATCTTCATAATATTTTCTTTAATCAGTTAGCATGCTGTGAATTTCATATCTTTCCCCCAAAGGTTTTCCCATTTCACCAATTCTAGTGGATAACCAAAATCTTGGGCCCATTTAACCATCACCTCTTTAACTTCTTCATCTTTTAGATTCCAATCTTATAATAACATACATTTTTGAGAGATTTTTATTATTTAATAGCAATTCACTTTCAAAATCTAATAATTTAGTATCAAATCCATTTATTATTTTTTTCCCTTCCTTAAAAATTTCATTTAGCTGATGCTATGGTAACCAACTTATGCCCATTTGTTTAAGTATGTCATATTTTTTCAATTTAAGTTGGTTGTTCTCTTCTTCCAATAATTCTTTGTATGAATGTTTAATAGGTTATTGTATTGAAGCCGCCCAGAGTGGCTGGGGTATAAATAATAATTTATTATTATTATTATTTTGTCATGTGTACATTTTGGTGTCCATTATACATCCAACCAGCCAATGCACTCTGCAGGGAGGGTTCCTTATGAACCCAGGGCCTTTAGCGTGGTGGCACCTTCAATATGGAACTTGATGCTTTTGAATTATGGTGCTGGAGGAGACTCTTGAGAGTCCCATGGACTGCAAGAAGATCAAACCTATCCATTCTGAAGGAAATCAGCCCTGAGTGCTCACTGGAAGGACAAATCCTGAAGCTGAGGCGCCAATACTTTGGCCACCTCATGAGAAGAGGAGACTCCCTGGAAAAGACCCAGATGCTGGGAAAGATGGAGGGCAGAAGGAGAAGGAGACGACAGAGGACGAGAGACAGTGTTCTCGAAGCTACCAGCATGAGTTTGACCAAACTGCGGGAGACTGTGGAAGACAGGAGGGCCTGGCGTGCTCTGGTCCATGGGGTCACGAAGAGTCGGACACGAGTAAACGACTAAACAACAACAACAATCAGTTATATATCATACCTTTTGGTGCTTTTGAATACCTTTCTTCCTGAACCAGCCACTTAAGCAGAGAACTTTTTCACAGTCTGTATCTGTATTGGATTTGAAATTGTTTTTATATATAGGATTGTTTTTGATTGTTTTCAGATATGAAAGACTTTTATTTATTTCTTATTGTTGTTTCGTAGGAAGAAATTCGTAAGTGAAATGAACCAATAAGAGGAAGTTTCATGTGTGCGTACTCTTCAGAAATGACCACACCATGCTGAGTGTGTAATTGAAGTACATGCTGGTTATCATGACCCTTTGGACAGTGAGTTCTCACAGATTTAGGGGGCACATTAAATGAGGAGGTGGGAAGTCCCATCACATGAGGGATTGTTGCATCCATGTATGCAACAAGTTCATTGAATCCCACCCAATGAACCAAAGTTAATCATGCATCTTCATTTCAATGGGTCTACTCTGAGTAGGACAAACATTGGTAACACCCTAAAATAATACCTCACTCTAATGAAAGTGTTTTGTCAGGAAAGGCCAGGCCAAGCTTACATGTCCTCCCCACCCTCCCAAACTGACCCATGTTGAGACCAGAGAGCCACCTTCTGCAAGTTCTCATAAACATGTTTTCCTCCAACTTTGCACTTGGGCCTTAAGCCCCACAGAGACTCCAGGATGTTGCCAAGGTGATGCTTCTTCCCCTTATAATTATTCTTCTTCCTGCCAAAGCTCCGGGGATTTAACTAGAGATCACCTTTGAAAACAATCAACTAAACATCAGACTCAAGAGCAATATGAGGTAACTTCTTGCACTGGACCTGAATGGTTTCCTGCCTAAACATATGTGCTCTTGAGAGCCTGTCTCCCAGATTCCCAAGTGCCATAACTTCCATGATATTGTCTGAGCACCTGGGGTCTTTCCTAGTCCTAGGATTTCAGTAATAGTAGTCATAGCTATTTAAGTGCTACCTTTCTTCTGACATGCCCTCACAGCCTCAGTTGGTTCGTGCACCCAAGAGGGCATCTCCCATTATTCCTCCACATCAGCCCTCCATTCCTCCTTCTAACTCCCACAGCAGAACTGCCTCCAACTGTCACTTTCCCAGAGTTCCAATTTCCTTGGCAACCATTGTCAAGAATGCCTAAAACTATTCTGACTAGATGACTTCCCTCCACCTTTCCCTGAGTTCCATATTTGTCCTTTTCTACTGCGTAATTTATATCAATAAGATATTCCATTTGTTCATTATATCCCAAGTCTTTGTTACCTTCAAGTGCTAGATAAGCCCTGTTAAAGGGATCAGTTGTTTAGAGTGGTCTTCCAAATACACTATAAATTTCCCCCACTCTTTATTAAAGTCTTGATCTTCCTGGTTTCTGATTTTCCCAGTCATTTTTTGACATTTCAGCCTAGTCCATCAATTTAATTTGCCATTCCTCTATGGTAGGGACCTTGTTGTCTTTCCATCTCTGGGCCACAAGCATTCTAGCAGCTGCCATTGGGTACATAAACAGCCTTTTTCTGCTGCTTCAGTATTTCTGCACCTATAATTCCTAATAAGAAAGCTTCTGGTTTTTTAACAAACATTATCTTAAACATTTTTTTTTTCAATTCATTATAAATCGTTTCCCAGAGTTCTTTCATTATTTTACAATTCCACCACATATGATAAAAGGTAGGGAAGGCCAATTTCTAAGTCCTGTGTCTGGTTGGGGGATAATTTTGTTTTGCTCTGTGCTCATAAAGGAGCCCTGAGCTGTGATAAAGCAATATGTTTTAGACACAACTATGTGTGTTTGAGTTCTGTAGTACTGGGTATAATCAATTTTGAATATTTTAAAATATAAATGGCATCTTAATCTTTTGTTGTCAGGTGCTCCTTTGTATTCAGATCAGGCCTCAGAAAAATAATGTAGCATTTGGGAATGAAGATGCAGCCCAGAAGCCCAGCACTGGAGGCCAACATAGAGAAAACCTGAACACCTACCATGTATTTCCCCTTTGTGCTCAGGTAGGTGGGCACAAAGGACACCCAAACACTGCAGAAGACCAGCATGCTGAAGGTCAACTTGGCTTCATTGAAGGCCCCAGGCAGCTTCCTGGCTAGGAAAGCCATTGTGAAGCAGATGGCAGCCAGGAAGTCCATGTAGCCAAGGACAGTGTAAAACATGGCAACAGATCCTTCATTACACTGCAGGATGATCTCTCGGGGCTGGGAGTGCATGTCAGACTCCGGGAAAGGGGGAGACATGCCCAGCCAGATGGTGCAGATGACAACTTGGACACCGGATCAGGAAATGACAATGGAGTTGGCCAGACCCCAACCATCTCCTCACCCTGCTTCTGGGTTTGGTGGCCAGGAAGGCCAGCACCACAGTGATATTTTTTGCTAATACAGAAGAAACAGCAGCTGAGAAGATAAGGCTGAAGACTGTTTGTCTGAGAAGGCAGGTCACTTTCCTTGGCCAGCGTATGAAGAGACAAGAGGATAAAAAGGAAAGCAGGAGGAAGACTAAGAGGATGTAGGAGAGGTCCCAGTTGTTGGCTTTGACTATTGGAGTTTCCTTGTATTTAATGAAGATTCCTAACACCATGTCTGGCATTACAGACAGGAATAGGGCAATGAAAGCTAAGCTGATCCCCAGATGTTCTTCATAAGCCAGGAAGCTGATAATCTTGAGAACACATTGATCTTGGTTCTTATTTGGATGCTGATCTTCTGGGCATTTTGTGCAATGTTCACCATCTGAAGAGGACCAATTTGGAATGCCTTCACCCATTTTTATGCGAAGGGTCCAAATTGCACCGCTTTAGATGCATCTGTAGATCTTGGTCTTGGTGGCTCCATGTTCTGACACAGAAGGTGCTGATGTACGCAACCATATCTGCTATCACTTTGGTGCCTATTTAAAACCTTACTTTCTGAACATGGGTTGTAAGTAGAGACAGCGCTGGGTCAAGACATTTTGATGACTGAGCTGAAGGACAAGTTGATGCCCTCTCACAAGGCACATGCAGAAGCTAATCAGAATGGCAATTGAATCTTATTCCCAATACTGGTGAACGTAGTGTATCTTCCACTGCACTTGCGGGCAGCCAGCTAGTGTAGGGGGTACAGGGCAGGACAGCTGGCTCTCACAGCTCTGTCCTGTCTCTGCCCCATGGCATCTGCCCCCTTAGGCAGCTGCCTCATTTTTGTGGTGACCTTGAGTAGAGATCTTTCAAACAGTCTGCATATGTATTGAATGTGAAATTGCTTTTCTATATGGAATTGTTTTAATATAGGAAATGGTCCTACTATATATTTATTATTGTTTCATAGGAAGAGTTCACAAATGAAAGGAAGTTTCATGTGCTCATGATGTTCAGAAGTAACTACCCCATGTTGTGTTTATATTCAGATACAGCCCAGATATTGTAAAAGTGAGTTTTCACAGATTTAGGATGTGTGTTCGTGGGGGAGAGGCAGAAGGTCTGTCATGAGTATACTTTGCTTCACGCATGCAACATGTTCTCGTGTTCTCAAGTTAGTAGAATCCCACCCAATGAACCCAAGTTACTCATATCTATTAATATCAATGGGTCTACTCTGAGTAGAAATAAGGTTGGTTACAACCCTAACACTCCATATTGTGCATGTATATTCATATATGCTCTAAAATAATACAGTGGTACCTTGGGTTAAGAACATAATTCGTTCCGGAGGTCCGTTCTTAACCTGAAACTGTTCTTAACCTGAGGAACCACTTTAGCTAATGGGGACTCCCGCTGCCACCGTGCGATTTCTGGTCTCATCCTTAAGTAAAGTTCTTAACCCAAGGTACTACTTCCGGGTTAGCCGAGTCTGTAACCTGAAGCGTTTGTAACCCGAAGTGTTTGTAGCCCGAGGTACCACTGTATATTGGTCCTCTTGACTATTATGAAGCTGTTTTGTCAGTAAAGGCCAGTCGAAGTTCACCTTTCCCCTCACATTGAGCCATGTCAAGATCAGAGAGATACTTCAAGTTCTCGTAAACATGTTTTCCTCCAGCACTGCACCTGCTCCTCAAACCACACAGAGACTCCAGGACTCCACTGCCTAGCCAATGCTACTCCCCCTTATAATTTTTCTTCTTCTACTCAGGGATTTAATCAAAGATGGACTGTGGAAAAAAATCAACTAAACAGCATTTCAAAGCGCAAGGTGATGTAACTTCTCCTTGCGCTGGGCCTGAAATGTTTGCAATTCAGAGTCTATGTTTTGCATTCCCCAGTGCAATAACTTCCATATTGTTTGAGCACCTGAGGTCTGAGCCGCTAAAGTTCATGTCACTTTTTGTCTGGTTTTTTCCATGTACAATGACAATGAACAACTTCCTATTCCCAGGATTTTGGTCATAGTAGTCATAGCTTTTTTCATGCTCTTTTTCTTCTGACGTGCCCTCGCAGCTTCAACTAGTTGGCAAACTTAAGAAGGCATCTGCCACCCTTCTTCACTAGCCCTCCATTCCTTTTTCATCTGCCCCTGAAAAACTGCCCCCTGCCCCAATTGTCCCTTCCCCAGCATTCAAATCCTTGGCAACCGTCACCAAGGCTGCCCAAAACTATCTCGCCTTGGTTAGATGATTATGTTTCTTTTTAATATAAGATACACAGAACTCTTAAATCAGCCTTTCTCAACCTGTGGGTCCCCAGATGTTGATGAACTACAACTCCCATCACCCCTAGCTAGCAAGGCCAGAGCTCGGGGATGATGGGAATTGTAGTCCAACAACATCTGGGGACCCACAGGTTGGGAACCACTGTCTTAAAGTAACCAAAAGTCTTGTGGCATCTTAAAGTCTGAACAATTATATTATAGAGCAAACTTTCATTGACTATAGTATGGCTCTTCAGTTCTAGGAAATGTTGAACTGGTTCCTTGTTTGCGGGTGGGGGGTGGTTCTCATTTACTCTTTAAGATTATATTTTAATTCTTGTTTGGTATAGAGGCAGCTCTTCTCCCACATGTTGCTGTCTGCCTTGCACTGCACTTTTAGACCTACATAGCTGCCTTGGATAACACAGCTCTAGATGAGCAAAAAGAACAAGCGTGCCCACCTCTACCTTCATTTAATGAACACCTTCAGACTGGTGTTTTATTGAGGGTCTATTCTGCAACATGTTCTTGACACAGTATTAGGGGGAAGGTGCATTCTGCATTAGTTTGTCCTGTGACGCTTACCCAATGGTCCCCCAATGCTTGAGAAGGCTATAGCAGGAGAAAAATATACCATCCACTGAACACATTGCAAGCACATCTAAATCTCTCTAAGAGTCACGGCTTCAAATAAACCTGGATACTGTACAACTCCACTGTCATTTCCTGTTCCAGTGTCCAAGTTGTCATCATGTTCAAATATGTTCAAATATATAAAAGGATGTCACATAGAGGAGGGAGAAAGGTTGTTTTCTGCTGCTCCAGAGAAGCGGACACGGAGCAATGGATCCAAACTACAAGAAAGAAGATTCCACCTAAACATTAGGAAGAACTTCCTGACAGTAAGAGCTGTTCGACAGTGGAATTTGCTGCCAAGGAGTGTGGTGGAGTCTCCTTCTTTGGAGGTCTTTAAGCAGAGGCTTGACAACCATATGTCAGGAGTGCTCTGATGGTGTTTCCTGCTTGGCAGGGGGTTGGACTCGATGGCCCTTGTGGTCTCTTCCAACTCTATGATTCTATGATCTGCACCATCTGGCAGGCAATTTCTTCCTCATTCCCAGAGTCTGATATCATCATCATCATCACCATCACCATCATCATACCTTTTATTGGCATCACATACAACATCCAAAACAAATCAATACAGAATTACCACTTCCCCAGTGGCACATTTGCTAAAAGAAAGGAGGCTGAGCAGTTTATCGTCACATCTCTTGGTCTCCAGGGAGATCAGATGTCTGCAGTGTATTTCGATGACAAAAATCCTTCCCTGGACTAATCACCCTGCAGTGCAATGAAGGGTCTGTTGCCATGTTTTATTGTGCTCTTGGTTACATGGGCTTCCTGGAAGCCATCTGATTAAACAGTGGTTTTCCTAGCCAGCGCCCTTTCCTAGTCTGTGCCCATCAATGAGGCCAAGCTGATCACCTTCAGCATGCTGGTCTTCCGCAGTGTTTGGGTGTCCTTTGTTCCCACCTACCTGAGCACCAAGGGGAAGTACATGGTAACTGTGCAAGTCTTTTCTATCTTGGCCTCCGATGCTAAGCTACTGGGCTGCATCATTATTCATCAAATGATACGCTGAGGCCTGATCTGAGTACATTTGCCTGAGTTCCTGTCATCTTTACCTGTGATTGGAGGTTAGATTAGCACCACCACCACCCCATCCCGCTGACCATTTGTACTAGCAATAAATTCAACAGATGATCATAATAATAATAATAATAATAATAATAATAATAATATTTATACCCCACCCTCCCCAGCCAAGGCTGGGCTCAGGGCGGTTAACAAGCAATAATAAAAACAAGTTGAATGAATACAACTTAAAAACAAGAATTAAAATACAACATTAAAATATTGAAACATTAAAATATTAAAATGCAGCCTCATCACAGGAGAAAGGAAAGAGAAAAAAGATCTGTGACGTGAATGTTGTTCCTTAAAACTAGCATTGTAATGCATTTCTTGTTTTTCCACATAAATAAGAAATCACTCCTTAATAATAAACTGTGAGAAACTGAATTTTCAATGGTTTCATTTCTTTGGGGTTGGGATGCATGCGAAGAATTTTTCCTCTTCTGGAAAAAAGCCAAATAAAGGTTATGGGAGTCTGAGGTATAAAAGGTCCTCGAGAGATCCAGCAGAACTAGGAAACAGCTCTCACCTTTGTCCCTAGCACACTGGAGATCATCGACCAGCGCGACCAAGGCAGTTTCTGTCCCATGACGAGGCCTGAATCCCGATTGGCATTCCTACCAAAAAACCAGAACAAGTGTCGAGAGGATCCCGATCCTGCACAGAAGCGCCAGATTTGGGGGCTCGGTTAAAATACAGCCTTGCTTGAGGATAGGTGCTCTAATGAACACCCCCCTGTGGCGTTTGCCTCCTAGGTAGGTCATAAGGAAAGGGTTAAAATGGGTATGATGTGACTGGCCAGTGAGAATGCAAGGGGGGAGTAAAAGAGTGGGAGGTTTTGAAAGTCAGTTGAGGTTTGGGAGTTGAGAGTTGAGTTCAGTTGGGTTGAGGTTTGGGAATTGAAGAAGGAAGAGGGAGGATTAGGTGTGGGTTGGTAGAGTTGTATTGTGAGAGAGTGAGAGGAATTGTTGGGTGGAGTCAGATAGATAGTTGGAATAATGAGTTTGGAGTTGTTAGGAACTAAGAATAAGAAACTGACAAGAGAAAAAATAACTGAAACCATAAGCTTGTTCCTGCATTTAAAAATAAACTTGAATATTTGTTTATGTTAACAACTGACTGGACTCCGTGTGTCCCCGTAAGATACGGGGTGGTGGCAGCAGAAAAAGCAATGGCAGAGGTGTGATTACTAGCTGAACCACTTTCCACACTGCACACGTTTAAATGCTTTTTCATCCTGTGTGAGTTTGTTGATGTTTTCTAAGTCTTCCTCTTTGACTGAAGATCTTCCCACACTCCATACATTTAAATGATTTCTCCCCTGTGTGAATTCGTAGATGGTTTTTAAGGTTTCCACTGTGACTGAAGCAGTTTCCGCACTCCGTACATGTAAATGGTTTTTCTCCTGTGTGAATTCGTAGATGTTTTATGTGGGATCCTTTATCTGCGGAAGTCTTCCCGCACTCCACACATTTAAATGGTTTATCCCTTGTGTGAATTTGTAGGTGTTTTTTAAGGTTTCCACCTTGATTGAAGCACCTTCCACACTCATTACATTTAAATGGTTTTTCTCCTGTGTGAATTCGTAGATGTTGTGTATGGGATACACTATCTGAGGAAGTCTTTCCACACTCCATACACTTAAATGGCTTCTCCCCTGTGTGAATTCGTAGATGTTTGGCATAAGATCCACTATCTGCGAAAGTCTTCCCGCACTCCATGCATTTAAATGGCTTCTCCCCTGTGTGAATTCGCTGGTGTGTAGTAAGGTCTTGCTTCCACCTGAAACATTTTCCACACTCCATGCATCCATATGGTTTCTCCCCTGTGTGAGTTCGCTGGTGTAAAGTAAGGCGTTGCTTCCACCTGAAACTCCTTCCACACTCCATACATTCAAATAGCTTCTCCCCTGTGTGAGTTCGTTTGTGTTTTGCATGGGTTCCACTATCAGTGAAAGTCTTTCCGCACTCCATACATTTAAAGGGTTTCTCCCCTGTGTGAGTTCGCTGGTGTGTAGTAAGGTATTGCTTCAACCTGAAACACTTTCCACACTCCATACATTCAAATAGCTTCTCCCCTGAGTGAGTTCGCTGGTGTGTAGTAAGGTAATACTTCCACCTGAAACATTTTCCGCACTCCATACATTTGAATGGCTTCTCCCCTGTGTGAATTCTTTGATGTGAACTAAAGAATGTACGATCAATGAAGCACTTTCCGCACTCCAAACATTTAAAAGGTTTCTCGCCTGTGTGAATGAGTTGGTGTTTTGCAAAGTTTCCACTCTGACTGAAGCTCTTTCCGCACTCCATACATTTAAATGGTTTTTCTCCTGTGTGAATCCGTTGATGTGTTCTACGGCTTCCAGAATTAGCAAATGTTTTTCCACACTCCATACATTTAAATGGTTTTTCTCCTGTGTGAATCCGTTGATGTGTTCTATGGCTTCTAGAGTTAGCAAATGTTTTTCCACACTCCATACATTTAAATGGTTTTTCTCCTGTGTGAATCCGTTGATGTGTTCTATGGCTTCTAGAATTAGCAAATATTTTTCCACACTCCATACATTTAAATGGTTTCTTCAATGACATTCCAGGTGAATTCTTGGAATTCTGACTATTGTTTCCATTACCTGCTTGGGGAGGAAAGAAAATCCTGTTAGGCTTCCAAGGAAGAGAAATAAGTAACATAACACACATCTGGCAAAAATAGCACCTCTTATTTCTCTTATGTTCTCCCTTTTCATGTTCCAATTTTTTAAGAATACACCTAACATAATGCCAAAATATAGTAATGCCAGGGTCCCTGGTGAGCACCACCAGGTAGAGACGGGCCTTCACACATCTAGTGAAAATAGCACCTCTTATTTCAATATATCTTACGTTCTCCCTTTTCCTTTTCCAATTTTTTTTAGGAATGCAGCTATAATAATGTCAAATTATTATAATGCCAGGTGTTCCTTTTTAGGCAGCAAATAAAAACTTTCCTCTTTGCCTAATTAAATCGTCTCTTTAAATTGGGGGAGGGGTTCTGTTTCGGTTGTTACAATGTTTTGTATTTTTCTATTTTCTGTGATGCTTAGATGAAGGGTGGTATATGAACAATTCTATGTACACTTGGAAGAGACCACAAGGGTCATCTTGTCCAATTTCTTCTGCAGTGCAGCAATCTCGACTCTGCATCCAACCTCTGCTTAAAAGCCCCCAAGGAAGGAGAGACCACCACCTTCAGAGGGTGTCTACTGTCAAACAACTTTTACCACCAGAAAATTCTTTCCGACGTTTAATTGGATTCACATTTCTTGCAGTCTGAAACCATTGGTTCAGGTCCTACTCTCCAGAGATGAAGACAAGCTTGCTCCATCTTCACATGACAGCACTTTAGATATGTGAAGACAGATATCTGAAGATGGCATATCTCTTCTCAGTCTCCTTTTATCCAGACTAAGCATACCCAGCTTCCTCAGAAGGCTTGGTTTCCTGACCCTTGACCATGTTAAGCTTGTGGTGTACTAAGGCCCTGAGACATGTACTACTGGCAAGCCAGGTTTTCTGTTTTTATATTGTAAGCTGTGCAGTGATGCTTAGATGAAGGGTAGTATATGAGCAATTCTATGTAAACTTGGAAGAGACCCCGCGGGCCCTCTTGTGCAATCCCCTGCAGTGGAAATAGCACCTAAAATTCAAACGCCTGCGGAAAGGTTTTCCTCTTCACCATCTATTGATCCATCTATGTCCCCATCTCCATTCCCCTGGAACTCACCAGATGTCTCTGAGGGTCCTGGGAGAAAATGCCCAGAGGTTTTGGGGAAGGATGCAGGAGGCAGTCTGACAAGGTCACCTGTCCATCTTCCTCCTTCCATCCTTGCTAGGTTTGCAGGTTCAGGCGCTTTGGTCCTTCCTGAGGAGCTCGGAAGATGCAGGTTCCTGGGAGGGAGGAAGAAGCAAAGGGAGCCTCAGAGGCCCTGCAGGGATTCTCCTGCCCAAAACATTCTGCGGCCTCTGGAGAAGGAGAAGAAGGGGGAGAAGGAGAAAAAGAGGAGGAGGAGGAGGAAGAGTTTGGACTTGATATCCAAGGAGTCTCAAAGTGGCTAATCATCTGCTTTCCCCTCCTCCCCCACAACAAACACTCTGTGAGGTGAGTGGGGCTGAGAGACTTCAGAGAAGTGTGACTAGCCCAAGGTCACCCAGCAGCTGCATGTGGAGGAGCAGGGACGCGAACCCGGTTCACCAGATTACGAGACTACCACTCTTAACCACACAGACTCTCCAAATGGGGAACCCCCGTCCCAACAAGAGCCCCATTTTTAAAGTTTCTTTGGTGATACCAATTCAATCTGTGCTCTCCCTGTCAGGGCTTGCTTGTGAGTAAATCTGCACAGGGCTGCTCTGCATATTCCTCCTCTTCGGACACTCAAAACATGCACCAGGTGAGGGACTTTGGAGAAGACTGCTCCACTCCCTTCCTCCAGCCAGGGCTTTCTTGATTTTTCTGCTTACTTGGGGGGCTGCTTTCCCTTCCAGCCTCCACCCATCCATTTCTCCTTCTTCACCCACAGTCCCTTGGAAATCAGCACACCTCTCCCAGCCTCCGATAGTGATGATGATTTCTGGATTGCAGATGCAGCCTCTTTTAGACCATCACGCAGAGCCCAAAGTTTAAACAAGTTGTGATGTTCTGGGAGTGGGGGAGAAAAGCCAAGGCAGCCCCAAACCCCTGCAGAGATTTATTTCCCTAAGTGGCACCCCAGCAACTCCTCCTACAGGAAAAGAAGGGTGACTTCCTCTTGAACCCCAGCAGAGGATCTTCTTTACTCCACCATTAAAAAACACTCCTTTCCGGACTACCTTTTCTCTCTGCCATCTTGGAACTCTGGCACTGCAGTCTCCCTCCCTCCTTCTCCCCCTACCCGTTTAGGGGAAGGGGATGCAACTCTGAAGAACATCACCAAAGTCTTCCTGGATCAGGCCAAATGGCCCACCTAGTCCAGCCTCCTGACCTCAGGGTGACCAACCAGATTTAGGTGGGAAGCTTCTTTGCATGCCTAAAATTCCCAGGATCAATCCCCAGGCAGTTAGGGCTGAGAGGAACTCCCTGCCTGCGAAACCCCAAAGAAACATTGTTGCCGGTCAGTCAGCAACACTGACCCAGGTGGACCAATGGTCTAATTTGGTGTCACGAAGCATCCTACCTTGGGAGTCCCAGTCCTAGAGGGAGATGCGGTTTCCACGTAGGAACGGGGAGAAAGGGAATTGGGACCCCCCCTTCCCCCCCGTTTATGGATGTGACTTTAAGGAGACTCCTGGGTAGGAGGGAGAAGCCAAGGCAGCCCCTCCGGATATTTCCTCGTCCAAGATGAAGCCCCTTCTCTCAAGCCCCGCCCCACACATCTGATCACGTGACACAAGCCCCCTCAAGTGTTTTATTGTGGTGGCCCAACCCCTCACGGCCCCATGGATTTGGCTCCTATGCTCCACCCCCCAGAACCAGAGAACTGTGGAGCTGGAAGGGACCCCTAGGGTCATCTAGACCATCCCCGCGCAATGCAGGGGTCGCAAGGAAAGTGTCTGCCACAGATGGAGGCCCACCCTCTTTCCCCACTTGGAGCCCCTCCTCTCAAGGGGCACCCGCTTCCGAGCCCCCCAAACAACCCCCTACTCCCTCCCCCGGGGTCATGGGTGGGTGGGGTGTGCTGGGACCTCAGAGGCCTTGGGAACCATGGCTTCCCTTCCCCCCACCCACCCAGGGGATCCTCCCATTCATCTCTCAGCCCCGCAACTGCCTCCTCTGCACCCCGCGTCGCCCCACAGCCTCCCCTTCGCCCAAAGGACTCACCGCCCCAGAGGCCTCCAAGACAAGCGGAAAGAGGAGGCGAGGCGGAAGGAAGGAGAGAGAGAGGGGCCTTTCCCAGGCCGCTCTAGGCAACCGGGCTCTCTCGCTCTCCTTAACCCTTACGTGGCCGCCCCTTCTGATCTCGCCACTTACTAGCTTTTGCAGAGTGCGCTTCGGGAGGTTTTCGCGCGCAGACGACGCAGCAGATCTGGCAAGAAGGGAACAGGCTACACTTCCCAGAAACCTCTTTGTCTTTTTTTTTTTCCCATAAGGCAACAAGAGACTACAATTCCCAGCAGCTCTTTATCTCCCAGGCTCCCTTGCAACTGCAATGCGGGAGGTCGGCTGCCTCTGTTGAATGGGCAGGAAGGATTTGCAAGATTTGCAGCGTGGTCGGCGCGCAAAAGCCTGTGGTGTCCACTTTGCAAAAGTTGGTAAGGGTGGGATCAGAAGGGACCCCTTTATTTCTGGGGGGGGGGGTGCGTTGACCTTGGATCATGAAGACGGGGAGCCCCTTCTCGAGTGATCCGAGTTCTTGCTTTCGTTTCTCTCTTGCATGATTTTGCAGCCGCAAAGAAGGGGAAGGGGCCTTGCAGTCCCGCTTTGTGCTCTTGGAAGGCGACCGAGAGTAAGGATAAGGTCTTTACAAATTACAAATTATGTTGTGTAGGGAGGTGGGGCTCGACTGAGGGAGATTCGCCTCTTGCTAAGGTGGAAGAGACAGGAAGTGAACGGTGGCGAGCTGCAAGGCGTTCTGCTTTTTCTGATCTAGCAAACTTTTTGAAATGTTTACGGTAATGGTTTTGTTGAACTTTGCTGCGTCAAATGTGCGGTCTGTATTTGACCGCCTTTGCAATGTTTTCTTTTGAATTTTTTAAAGATAATATACGTTGCTTTGAATGTGTATTTTATATACAGTATTACTTTACCCAGTAATGTTTTATTCTGAACTTAATGCGTTGCAAACCGCTCTGAGATTTTTTTTCTTTTTAAAATATATAAATCAGTATGACAATGACATGAATTACAGTAATAATTCTATACAGAAAAATATTTTGCAGGGTGCAAAGGGCCCCACTTTTCTCTTTATTGATTGTGTGATTTTGCAGAACTGTGCGTTGCCCATATTTTTAAGAAAGATCCTTTGGGCCTCTCCAAATAATTTTATATGCACTTGCAATCGAAATTATTCAATCCCCATTGCAAATCAGGTTTATTATCAAGGTTTACAGACTTTCAGCTGTTTGCAATGAGCAAATCAAACAAAAGCAATTGAAATAACGCAATGCAACTACGGTTGTACCTTGCAAGTCGAACGGAATCCATTCCGGAAGTCCATTTGACTTCCAAAACATTCGGAAAGCAAAGCACGGCTTCTGATTGGCTGTGCGTAGCTTTTAGAAGACATCTGAAGGCAGCCCTGTATCGGGAGGTTTGTAATGTTTGCTGTTTTTGTTATATTGTTTATAACATTGTTTATATATTGTAAGGTATCCAGAGTGGCTGGGGAAATCCAGCCAGATGGGTGGGGTATAATAAGAAGAAGAATAACAACAACTACAGTGGTGCCTCGCAAGACGAAATTAATTCGTTCCGCAAGTTTTTTCTTCTTGCGAGTTTTTCGTCTTGCGATGCACGGTTTCCCATAGGAATGCATTGAAAATCAATTAATGCGTTCCTAGGGAAACCGACTTCAGACCAGGTCCGGGGACAGTCTGTCCCCGACCTCTTCTGAAGGCTGGGGGGGACAAGGGCTTTTCTTCCCACCCACCCCAGCATTTTAAAACCCCGGGACAGCGGAGGGCTTCTCCGCTGTCCGGGCGATCTTAAAATGCTGGCGGGCGGCATTTAAAATTGCCCGGGACAGCGGAGGACTTCTCCGCTGTCCGGGGCAATTTAAAGCCCCTGGGAAGGCAGGCAGGGGGACAAAGACTTTGCCCCCGCCAGCCTTCAGAAGAGGTCCTGGACCTCTTCTGAAGGTTGGCGGGGGCGAAAGTCTTGTCCCCCCACCTGCCTTCAAAAGCTGTCCAGCCAAGGCTTCGCGGACCTCTCCGCAAGCAGCGGCAGCACTGCCGCTGCTTGCGGAGAGTTGCCGGCATGCCGAAGCCTGCGCGCGCTGAGATCAGCGCGCCCAGGCTTCGCGGACCTCTCCGCGAGCAGCGGCAGCGCTGCCGCTGCTTGCGGAGAGTTGCCGGCATGCCGAAGCCTGCGCGCGCTGAGATCAGCGCGCCCAGGCTTCGCGGACCTCTCCGCGAGCAGCGGCAGCGCTGCCGCTGCTTGCGGAGAGTTGCCGGCATGCCGAAGCCTGCGCGCGCTGAGATCAGCGCGCCCAGGCTCGCGGACCTCTCCGCGAGCAGCGGCAGCGCTGCCGCTGCTTGCGGAGAGTTGCCGGCATGCCGAGCCTGCGCGCGCTGAGATCAGCGCGCCCAGGCTCTCGCGGACCTCTCCGCGAGCAGCGGCAGCGCTGCCGCTGCTTGCGGAGAGTTGCCGGCATGCCGAAGCCTGGGCGCGCTGAGATCAGCGCGCCCAGGCTTCGCGGACCTCTCCGCGAGCAGCGGCAGCGCTGCCGCTGCTTGCGGAGAGTTGCCGGCATGCCGAAGCCTGCGCGCGCTGAGATCAGCGCGCCCAGGCTTCGCGGACCTCTCCGCGAGCAGCGGCAGCGCTGCCGCTGCTTGCGGAGAGTTGCCGGCATGCCGAAGCCTGCGCGCGCTGAGATCAGCGCGCCCAGGCTTCGCGGACCTCTCCGCGAGCAGCGGCAGCGCTGCCGCTGCTTGCGGAGAGTTGCCGGCATGCCGAAGCCTGCGCGCGCTGAGATCAGCGCGCCCAGGCTCGCGGACCTCTCCGCGAGCAGCGGCAGCGCTGCCGCTGCTTGCGGAGTGTTGCCGGCATGCCGAAGCCTGCGCGCGCTGAGATCAGCGCGCCCAGGCTTCGCGGACCTCTCCTGCCTTCAAAAGCAGTCCGGGATAGCAGGGAAGCGCTTCCCGCTATCCCGGACGGCTTTTAAAATGCTGGCGGTGGGGAGCAAAGCCTTTCGGCCCCCGCCAGCCTTCCTGGACCTCTTCTGAAGGCCGGAGGGGGGGGGAAGGCTTTGCTCCCCACCGCTAGCATTTAAAAGAGGTCCCCGGAGATTTCCCTATGGGCTTTCGTCTTGCGAAGCAAGCCCATAGGGAAATTCGTTTTGCGAAGCGCCTCCAAAACGGAAAACCCTTTCGTCTAGCGGGTTTTCCGTCTTGCGAGGCGTTCGTCTTGCGGGGCACCACTGTAATGTACTTTATTGCATTTATGATCCTATTTTTCCCTCCAAGGACCTCAAGGTGTGATACATGGTTCTCCCTCACCCCATTTCTTCCTCACAATGTTCCTGTGAGGTACCGTTAGGCTGAGAGAGAGTGGATTTAGTCTAGCACTGTCGCAGGAACCCCCCCCCCCCCGTCATTCAGTTTGTACAAACTTCACACACGCTCACACACTACATACGCTACGCTTCTGTTATAAATTCATAGAAAATCAACCATACATTGGATTTGCACTGTTCCACTTTTATTTTATTTTATTTTATTTTTTAAATGATTTTTATTAAGGTTTCAGTAAAAAGTTAAACAGAAAAACATAAAAAAGAAATACACAAATACACAGTACATAATCCAAAAAAAGAAAAAAAACGCAGAGAACAGAAAAAAAAAAAAGAAACAGAACAATTAAAAACAATATCACCTTTTCATTTCCATTTTTTAAATTTACTTATTTTCTGGACCTCCTCATACCTCCCTCTTTTGTATTCCAGTCCAAATTGTTTGTCCAGCAATTTCTTTTCCACTTTTTTAATCCCAATCTTTAATCTTAATGTTATATAGCATTAAAATTTTACCTCTTAAGTACCAAATTTCCATTTCCTTAAACTTCTTTAATCCTAATCTTTAATCTTACTCTATCTATAACTTTAAATCCTGTACAGCTGGAAACCACTTATTTTCAATCCAACATCACTCTAACATTCTTTAATTTTGCAGTGTTTCTGTAGATAATCTTTGAATTTCTTCCAATCTTCCTCCACCGACTCTTCTCCCTGGTTACGGATTCTGCCAGTCATTTCCGCCAGTTCCATATAGTCCATCAGTTTCATCTGCCATTCCTCCAGCGTGGGAAGTTCTTGTGTCTTCCAATACTTTGCGATGAGTATTCTTGCTGCTGTTGTTGCATACATAAAGAAAGTTCTATCCTTTTTTAACACCATTTGGCCGCCTATGCCCAAGAGAAAGGCCTCTGGTTTCTTGGGGAAGGTATATTTAAATACCTTTTTTAATTCATTATATATCATTTCCCAGAAAGCCTTAATCTTTGGGCACGTCCACCAAAGGTGAAAAAATGTACCTTCAGTTTCTTTACATTTCCAACATTTATTATCGGGCAAATGATAGATTTTTGCAAGCTTGGCTGGGGTTATGTACCACCTGTATATCATTTTCATAATATTCTCTCTTAAGGCATTACATGCCGTAAATTTCATACCTGTGGTCCACAACTGTTCCCAGTCAGCAAACATAATGTTATGTCCAACGTCTTGTGCCCATTTAATCATAGCCGATTTTACCGTTTCATCCTGAGTGTTCCATTTCAGCAGCAAGTTATACATTCTTGACAAATTCTTAGTTTTGGGTTCTAACAGTTCAGTTTCTAATTTTGATCTTTCCACCTGGAAGCCAATTTTCTTGTCCAATTTAAATGCCTCCATTATCTGAAAATAATGAAGCCCGTCTCGCACTTTGTTGTTTAGTTTTTCAAAACTCTGCAATTTCAGTCTATCTCCATCTTGTTCCAAAATTTCCCAATATTTCGGCCATTTGACCTCCATATTGAGCTTTTTCAAGGCTTTCGCTTCCATTGGTGACAGCCACCTTGGGGTTTTGTTTTCTAACAAATCCTTATATCTTATCCAAACATTAAACAGCGCTTTCCTGACAATGTGGTTTTTAATTTATTTTACTCCATGAAGGAAGGACTACAAAATGGGGAAGGTTTGATACAGGGCAGCCATAATCCCTTGAGCATCCCAGCACATACACAGGAGCCCTGCCCAGTTGCTATGCCAACCCTGATGGTCCTAGACAGAAGACCATCAAGATCACAAAGAACTTGCATATGGGAGTGGATTTAGCACGGACTGGAACAAAGGACAATAATCAGCTCTTCCCTCTGGGGGCGGGAAACTGCAAACTCCCCTCTGTCACTTGGAAAGTACTCATGGGGAGGGGGAAAGAGGGAACCAGCCAGGTGACAGGACACTCAGGTTACCACCACAACTCCTCCCTCAACCCCTCCTTTCTGTGATGTAGGTATGATGTATCTGAGGGGTGGTCTTGATCTACAGGGTGGCAATTTCAAAAGTCTTTATAAGGCCTTGCACACCATTTTTCTGGGTCCTTCCTCTCTCCTGCAAGTGAGGGGAGCAACCTGTTGCAACAGATCAATAAAGGCCAAGCCTACAGGCTGCTGTTTTGCTCCAAGTTATCCTGGTTGGTGTCTTTGTTTTTGTCCAAGGGAGCCCTTGGATTTTTCCGTTAACAGCACTCTTACAACTACCCTGACACCATTCTACCCCACACTGGTAATCTGAACCCCGCCCCCTCCAGGCCTTAAATCTGAAGATAATGTACTCCAAACTCCACCTTCTTCCTGATTACTGGCTTTGAGCTGTTTATTCGGGGGAATATGGGGATTCAGCAAGTTCTCTCTTTCTGTTTCCTTCTTTCCTAGCATCCAATGACCTTGCAAGATGTTGATTGGCTTTTTCAGAGATGAGGAGGGATTCCTGCTGCAAAACTGAGCCTTGCATGGGAGCGTCATGGAGGGAAACGACGAGAACATGAGCTGCCTAGGTAATACACACACACACACACACACACATATATATATATATATAAAATGGCACAACAGGGAAAAGGAAAAGGAAAAAGCATACTCAGTTCTTACATGAGCTGGTATAAAAACAGCCCACAGCAATAACACATTTTGGGTCTTTCAGTAGAGTGGATGGAATGAGTCGTTGCTTCCCATATCTATCTACCATGGGGGCAACCACAAGGATCATCATAATGGAGTGAATTAACAAGGACACACTGTGCCTGTCTCTCCCCTGACACAAGTCATCATACAGGGTGAGAAAAGCAGGAAAACCAGTTTCATCCAAGAGCACCTGGATCTAGTCAAATATATCGTATTTTCCTCAAATTCATTTTGTCCTTAAGGCAGCATACTTTTTTTAAAAAAAAAAAGTACTGCACTGACGTAGTCGTGATACAATTAAAATTTAGTTACCATATTTTTCTGTGAAAAAGACGGTGCTTTTTAAGGGGGTTTTCTTATACACAGATATTGAAGAGAGGGGACACATGATTGGTGGCAGTTGCAAGCAAGAGATTGTCAGCAGCAATTAGGCATGTGATTGGTGGCTGCAGCAAGGCCTGCTGGCGATTGGCTGGTGCGACAATTTGGTGGGCGATTAGTGGCTGCTGGCTGTGAGCGTGCTTGGGATTGGTGGCTTCGGAGAGGCGTGTGATTGGCAGTGGCGGTCAGGCGGATGAGCGATTGTCGGGAATCCTCCTCACCCAAAATAGCTTAACAACTCTGGGCAATCTCTCCCCCCCCCACTTCCTTTATTTGTGGTCCCTAAAAATAGGGGTTCTCTTATACACGGGGGCGTCTTATGCACTGAAAAATACAGTATCTGTGTACAGTGGTGCCCCGCAAGACGAATGCCTCGCAAGACGGAAAACCCGCTAGACGAAAGGGTTTTCCGTTTTGGAGGTGCTTCGCAAAACGAATTTCCTATGTGCTTGCTTCGCAAGACGAAAATGTCTTGCGAGTTCCTGCGGGGTTTTTTCCCTTTCCCCCCCTTTTTCCCAAGCCGCTAAACCGCTTATCAGCTGATGGCTAAACCGCTTATCAGCTGATCTTTAAGCCGCTTAACAGCTGATGCTAAGCCGCTTATCAGCTGATCTTTAAGCCGCTTAACAGCTGATGCTAAGCCGCTTATCAGCTGATCGTTAAGCCGCTTATCAGCTGATCTTTAAGCCGCTTATCAGCTGATCGTTAAGCCGCTTATCAGCTGATCTTTAAGCCGGCTAAGCCGCTAATACTGTAGCGCTAAGCCACTAAACCTCTAATGGGCTTGCTTCGCAAGACGAAAAAACCCGCAAGACGAAGAGACTCGCGGAACGGATTCTTTTCGTCTTGCGAGGCACCACTGTAATGCTAAATATCTAATGATTAACAGTTCATTTAACATACATATCAGATTTTAAGTCGGCAAGAAACTGGCTAAAAGGTCGGGTAAGTGCAGTTTTTAGAGCTCACCATGAACACCTCCCTTGTTCTCTTAGAATGGCAATGGCACCCACCTGAAAGGTGCTGGAACGGAATTCTGGCTGGAAAAAGGCCAATATATTAGTGCATGGGAGCTCCGCCCCTCCTTAAAATAAGATGTTTTATACTTCTCAGTTCTTTTGGCCGTAGCTCTTAAAGGCCCCCTCTTAAAGGTTCAGAGAACTGGGGGTTGAGCAAGTCAGATGATTCCACCCCTTGCATACACACACCCTTTCTTAGCTTTGTGCAGCATTGAGTTCCATAGATGAACAACACAAATATTCATTGTTTCCAAAGTTCACGTTCTCATTTTCCTGTTTACCATTTGTCACAGGAAATGGCATCGGGGAGAAGAACATTTGTAGTTCTTCTGGGAAGTGTTTTACTGGGAAACTTGATCTTGTCAAACACCAGAGAGTCCATCATGGACACAAGCCGCACAAATGCCTGCAATGTGAGAAACAGTTTGCTCTACGGTGTCAACTAGTGAGACACAAGAGAATCCACAAGGGAGAGAAGGAATACGAATGCCCTGAGTGCAAGAAGACGTTTACCTGCTCAGAAAACCTTATGATCCACCAGAGAGTCCACACAGAGGAGAAACCTTATGAATGCAGGGAGTGTGGCAAATACTTTTCCCAAAAATATAACCTTGTGATCCACCAGAGATCCCACAATGGAGAGAAACCTTATGGGTGTGGGGAGTGTGGCAAACGTTTTTCTCAAAAAGCTTACCTTGTGATCCACCAGAGATCCCACACTGGGGAGAAACCTTACAGATGTGGGGAGTGTGGCAAATGTTTTTCTCTAAAAGCTCTCCTTGTGATCCACCAGAGATCCCACACTGGAGAGAAACCTTACGAGTGCATCGAGTGTGGGAAATGGTTTGCTGAACCATCTACTTTCAGGCGCCACCAGAAAGACCACACTGGAGAGAAACCTTACAAGTGCATAGAGTGTGGCAAATGTTTTTCTCGTAAAGTTCACCTTGTGAGACATCAGAGATCCCACACTGGAGAGAAACCTTATGAGTGCACTGTATGTGGAAAATGGTTTGCCGAACAATATCCTCTCAGGCGCCACCAGAAAGTCCACACTGGGGAGAAACCTTACAAGTGCATAGAGTGTGGCAAATGTTTTTCTCAAAAAACTAACCTCGTGTCTCACCACCGGAGAGTCCACATGGGAGAAAAACCTTACAAATGTATGGACTGTGGGAAGGGCTTTGCTGAAAAAGGTGATTTGATGAACCACCAGAGAGTCCACACAAGAGAGAAACCATACAAATGCATGGAATGTGGGAAAAGTTATGCTTTCCACTCAGCCGCTTTGTTACACAATAAAATCCACACTGGAGAGAAACCCTATAAATGCACAGCGTGTGGGAAATGGTTTGCCAACCAATCTTCCCTCAGGCAACACCAGAAATTCCACACTGGAGAGAAACCTTACGAGTGCATGGACTGTGGGAAGTGTTTTGTTGCCAACTCTACATTGGTGATCCACCAGAGAGTTCACACAGGAGAGAAACCTTACAAGTGCACCGAGTGTGGAAAATGTTTTCAACGCGACTCACACCTCGCGAAACATCGGATAATCCATACAGAGGAGAGAAATCATAAGTGCCCTGTGTGTGGGAAATGTTATCCTGACAAGTCTACCTTGGTTGTCCACCAGAGAGCCCACACGGGGGAGAAGCCATATAAATGCACCGTGTGTGGGAAATGTTTCACTTACAGTGCGAGTTATAGAAAGCACCAGATAATTCACACTGGAAAGAAATGTGAGAACACCGTCTCTTGAGAATGGGGCATACACTATCTGGCATAAAGTCCAGTGTTCTCCCCCACCACCCATAACAGTAAATTTTAGAAAGTACCAGGGATTAAGGTGGGGGTTAATTTTCTCACTGATAACACCATTTTTAACAAAGGGATACAGGGTGGATCCAGGAAATTACAGGTGGGTTCCCAGAATGTCTGTACATGGAAAACTGCTGGTAAGTTTTAAAAATAGAACAACTTTGCATACAGTAAGAGAGCTCAAGAGACTCTTTTGAGGCTCAAGTTTTATTTCTTGATGAGCATGGGCCACACAGACTTTTCTTTTTAATGCATTACAAACACACATTGCAGGATGGGGGTACCTTGAAAGAAGTTACTGCTATTCCCACCTTGTATGTTACTCAGATGTAGATCCCATGGAGTTTAATGGAGCTTTCCCCCTGAGAGCTGTAGAAATGATGGCGAAAATAATAATTTCATAAAACTATCATTTTGATTATTCCATTTTGTTTTGAGTCATTGCCCAGCCACATTGAAAAGGCCCATTGCTAGGCATGCGGATTGTGATTCATCTTGAATTGTTATTCAGGTAGATGAAAGAAGATATTGGGAGACATTTAATGAATAGGAAAATCAGTGTCTCAACAAACGAAGAGATGATATTATGATGAGGGCTGATCGGAAGAGCTATGTGATATTTGATTGGCTCAGGATGGTGACAGTGGGTTGGTGACTAGTCAGATTGCTGCAATACTTTGATGGTGAAATGAAATCACATATGTAATCTAGAAGTGTATATTGAACATTTTTGAGGCTGTCCCTTTGTGCATTTGTACTTCAATAAAGGCCTGTCTTTTCACTTGGAGCCTGCACCTTTTTCTTTTTATTTTCTGGGTGGGAGACCTTCATTCGCATCTAGACACATCAAAAAAGTTTCAGCAAAACATGTTGTGAAACATTCATAATGGGAAATCACATTGGCGAAAGATGGAACTCCACAGCGCCATCTGGTGTCACAGTGTTATAACACATTTAACACGCTTAAAAAAACACTATTGTCCCAGGTATAGTGCTTCATTTGTCTAGGGGCAACAGCAGCATTTGAAACGCCCTAAGGATTCAGGTTCATTTTGCAATTTGCCACGATTCAATTGCTACCGGTTTTGGATGCATGGGCACATGTATTGCGACTGAGCCCCGTCACCATTTGGCCTGCAAGCACTCTCTGCTGCTGGAGGAGGAGGGCAGGTGCAGATATACTTTCCCCCTTCTCAAATGCTTCACAAACATCAGCCAGACAGCACAACCATATCCTCACAGCCAGCCTTCTCTTCTAACCGGTCAATCTGCGAAATTCTACCTTCTTCCTGGTTTAAAAGACTGTTGGGGTGTCAGTCATGGTGGAATCCAGTCCTACAAATATTATAGAAAGGGTTTCATAAATAAGAGAAGACATCTCACCATGAGGGAGAGAACAATGAAGGTTACTTCCCTTTTACTGAAGAAAAATGTCGGAGAAGTCTAATCACTTCCTCGTAATTCATCTTACCCAGTTTGGTTGCCACAGTTTTAAATAACATTGTGTTGCCCACCTTAAGCTGAGCTGCTAGGAGGCACAAGTGTGTGTGTGTGTGTGTGTGTGTGTATAAGACAGAGACAAAAATAGACTTTCTATGCATGCTTAGGTATATGCTTTTAGGACTGTTTAGTTAAACTTTCCCGCTGAAGAAGGTGCTAGGCCTCCTGCTGCATGATATGAAAAGTGAACATGAGATTTTAGCTGAGGTTTGTTCATTTTCAGCTTTGTAATACATTTTTTTAAGTGCCTAAATGTTCTGTTATTGTGCCCATAACCTAGTTTTGAGGTGCCATTTGGTGCCTAGCTAAGCCAGTAGTTTTGGATTCAAACTTAGATTGCATTACATGAAGAACCTGGGCCACACACAGACTTTTCTTCCTCGTTTTTGCACTACAAACACACATTGCAGGATGTGGATACCTTGAAAGAAGTTACTGTTCTTCCCACATTGCATGCAGGAGTGAGGAGAGGGCAAATACAACCCTATAGCAATGCCCACATTGCAGATTGGAGCTGAGGCTGATGGTGCAGTCCTTGCATGTTTACTCAGATGCAGATCCCATGGGTTTTAATGGAGCTTTCCCCTTGAGATGTGTACAGAAACCCTGGGATCTAATCTATTGCTATTATTAGTAGTAGTAGTATTTATTAAATTTCTGGACTGCCCTTCATGCAAAGATCACAGGGTAATTTACAATATAAAAACACAAAGATACATACCATAACAACTAACAAATCAAACAACCCCATAGATTTTTCAATTAGCCAAAAGCCTGGGAGAAGGGGAATGTTTTTACCTGATACCTAAAGATATGTAATAAAGGGGCTGGCCTGTTCAGCTGCTAGTTTTGCCTTTTCTTTCTCTGCTTCAACCTTATGTCTTTCTCTGTTTCAACTTTAGCCAATTCGAATCTTAGCCTCATCATTTCTAATTCAGTATTAGTATTCTCAGATCCAGCAGCAGCTCCCTGCACTGGGTCATGACCTGAGTCTCTTTTGCTTGGTGCTTGCTGGCCATTTTCTGACAGAAACCTTTTTTTTATTTTAATAAAATATTCTCAATACTTTATTAAATTGGTTGTTCTGTATCTGTGAGCCTGTTTCTGTGTGGGTTTTAACTTCGTATCACGGCGCTGCCACAAATTAATATGCAACGAGGCGATGGCCCTCTCTCTCCCTTGTGCCGCTGTACCCGCCCTCTGTTTTGCTTCCCTCAGGTGTATTCCCCCATTGGAGAATGAATCATGAGCAATAGTGGGTTTTTCTTTTGGGAAAACTGGTTGCAAGCAAACCTTGTTATAACAGGTGTAAACAAGGAGTTTTGGCTCTTCCACAGAAATGTAACAAACAATGCTGTCGCTATTTATTTAAATGTACAGTGGACGCTTGGGTTGCGAACGTGATCTGTGTGGGATGCACGTCCGCAACCTGCAGCGGTGCATCTGCACATGCGCGGGTCGTGATTCAGCACTTCTGCACATGCGGAAAGCACGATTTAGCACTTCTGCGCATGCACGACCTCCAAAACCCAGAAGTAACCCGTTCCGCAACCTGAAGCGTCCGTAACCCGAGGTATGACTGTATACTGTTTCAAGTTATAGGCTGTATGCTGTTCAAGCTTACAGTTACTTTCTTTTATACACCTTCCATAGATCAGACTTCACACACACACTGTCTCTTCAGGAACTTAGGTTTTTAAGTGGACTGTTTCCTTACGGACCCCCAAGTCCTCCTTGGCCTTGGAATCAGTACTGCCCTTTCCTGTCAGAGTATTCCCTCTGAGGACCCTTTTTCCTTTAAACACCGTGTGGGACTGTGTCTTTTCTATTTTAACAGTGTTTTGTGATTCAGACCCTGAGAGCATGTATACTGAGAGTCCTCAGCTCTCCCTCCTGTCAGAACGAACCCCTCACAGACAGAATATGAATCTCTCACCCAGTCTCTCACTCCATTCCAGCTGTCTCCCTTGGAACTCTAGCCAGTCAGGAGCTTTTGCTAGTTAACTGTTTGCTGGCAGTGACTCAACCTGCTCAGTAAACAAACTTCCATCACATGCCCCACACCTGAAAATCATTGCGTAGGCAAGGTTGCATATGCCAGCCTCGATGCAGCGATGGGCAGGAATTGTAAAAAAGTATTCTGGGGTTCCTGTTTCAATACGCAAATATACGTGTATCGTACACACAGAACCTTATATACTTCGTAATACGATTAAGCTATAAACACTATAAAGTTCTAAACATAACTATATAGCATAACACTTGACTATATTCTTTTACATCTTTAGATAAGCATTGCACTTTAAAAACAGGATCTAAATACATTTTAACCACTTTTAAATTTGCATTTTAACTAATTGCATTTCAAGCAATTACATCTCATCAAATAAACATATATACAGCATGATTGCCCCTGTACTTATCTAAATGTTTCATTGTGACAGGGCATCTGCAATCACATTATCCTTCCCTTTGATGTGGGAGACATCAAAATTGTTGTCTTGCAGTTGCAGACTCCACCTTATTAGTTTGCTATTGGTACCTTTCATTTGGTTTAACCATTTCAGAGGGGAGTGGTCAGTACAAAGGGTAAATGTTCTTCCCCACAATATGGCTTTAACTTACCAATAGCCCATACAAAGGTCCGTATAGCCAACAAAGGTCCGTATAGTTAAAGCCATGGTTTTCCCAGTAGTGATGTATGGAAGTGAGAGCTGGACCATAAAGAAGGCTGATCGCCGAAGAATTGATGCTTTTGAATTATGGTGCTGGAGGAGACTCTTGAGAGTCCCATGGAGTGCAAGAAGATCAAACCGATCCATTCTTAAGGAAATCAGCCCTGAGTGCTCACTGGAAGGACAGATCGTGAAGCTGAGGCTCCAAGACTTTGGCCACCTCATGAGAAGAGAAGACTCCCTGGAAAAGACCCTGATGTTGGGAAAGATGGAGGGCACAGGGAGAAGGGGACGACAGAGGACGAGATGGTTGGACAGTGTTCGCGAAGCTACAAACATGAGCCTGACCAAACTGCGGGAGGCAGTGGAAGACAGGAGTGCCTGGTGTGTTCTGGTCCATGGGGTCACGAAGAGTCGGACACGACTAAACAACAACAACAAGCCCATACAATGACTAAACATTAACTGAAAGGTGTTCCCTCTCCAAGAGTTTCCTACTTAAGTATAGGACGGGGTGCAGATGTCCCTCCTCCCCATTCTGGGAAAGAATTGCCCCAACTCCTATATTGGAGGCAACCATTGCAAGGGGGCGGGGAGAAGTGTGTCAATCTTTCACAAGACCATTTGATGACAACCTGTCAACAAACTTTTTTTTCCTTGAGGGCCAAGAGTTCCTCATCTGCATTCTTTAAGAACAGCTTGAAGAGAAGACCTGGAGAGGCAAAAGTGAGTGATCAAGTGAAGTGCATTCTTGTGATCCATTATGCAGGGTGGAGCTTACCTGGACCCTGCAAAATTTTATTCAGGTTGGCACCCCAGGGCACCCGTGGTGCGGCTGCGTGGGTCCCTTTTGGAGGGAGAGGGAGAGTGGGGACGCCATGTAAAGTTTAAACAAAGCAAGAGAGCCCGGCTGCCTAGAGAGGCCTGGAAAGGGACCCTCCCTCTGTCCCCTTCCCCTCAATGTTACGGTCACAGCTTCTCTTAACCTCTCTTGACTCAAAAAACATTGTTATACTTCAGTTTCTGTTAGTTATGGCAGGTGGTTCAGTTAAATAATACAACACAGCTTCCTTCCCCAATCAATACCCTGGTTCATGAGTGAGGGACACTTTTCCTCAGCCCCCCTCTCTCTAAGCAACCTCCTGAGGTAATTCCAAAATGGCATAAGAGACCCAGGGGATCCCCTCCCCCCTTGTGACTGGCTTGGGGGCATAGCTGTCAAGCGTCCCTTATTTGAAGGGACAGTCCCTTATTCCAGCGCCATGTCCCGCTGCTGTCCCTTATTGATGGATGTCCCTTAAATGATGTCCCTTAAATTTCAAAGGAAGCAGCTCCTCTCCCTCCCTCCTTGCCGGCTCCAACTGTGTTGCTTGGCTGTGTTGCTCACCCAATAAGAAGTCTAAGAACGACTGGGGAGCTTGCATGCCTTGTGCCCAGCTGCGTTGCATGGGGACTCGCCTTTGCTCAGCGCTTCCCAGGGGAGAGGTGACGGTGGTTTTCCTTGAGGCTTCGTTTGGCTGCTGGCTGGGCTTTCTGCCTTTGGCTCAGAGGGGCTCAGAAGTTGAACATACCTGTGCTGAGTGCTCAGATCGGAATCGGACGGATACGTCATCGACGGCCCACTCACTCTTTCCGGCGAAAAGGTCTGTCTGGAGTGGGGGCACATGGTGGGGGGAAAGGAAAGGAGATCTCGTGGCGAGGGGGAGGCTGTGTGTGTGTGGCTAGTTAATGCAAGCTGAGGGGGTTTTTGAATGCTGGACGCCATTTAGTTGCACGTGCTGCTGCAAACTTTGCAGTGCAAAGCCAGGCCGGGGAGCCATCTTAAGTTGAGGCTGCATAGGCCTTGTGGTGCATGTGATTCAGATTCTGTTCAGTTGAACCTCTGGTTACAAAGTTGGTTGGACAGTGTTCTCGAAGCTACCAGCATGAGTTTGACCAGACTGCAGGAGGACAGGAAGACTGGAGTGCCTGGAACAGGCGAGGCTGCAGGTCCCTTATTTTGGCTGCTGATCCCTTATTTTCAAGGCTGCTGGTCCCTTATTTTCAAGGCTGCTGGTCCCTTATTTTCAAATCTGTAAGTTGACAGCTATGCTTGGGGGTCTTCTCTCCCTAGAAGAGCTGCCCCCTTCTGACTGGAAGGTGACCCAGGGGGAGCCTATGTTCCCCCAAGATCTGCTTCTCCTGCCTCACACTCCTGTCTGTAGACCTTCCCCAGAGCCCAACCGGCTCTCCCTATCCAAGCTGGGAGGGTCTTTCCTCTCACTATGGGCAGTCTCCTCAGGGTGGTTGTTCAACTCTAATCAGAACCAGTTCTCCTCCCGTCAAATCCTATCCTCCTCCCCAACTCCCATCTTCGAACAATCCCTCTCCCTCTTCTCAAATCCAGTCCTGTCTCCTCTCAAATCAAGCTCTTTCCCTCAACCTGAGCCCCGTCTCTTAACTTCTCAATTCAATTCAATTCTGTTCCAACGCTCTGCCTCAGAAACGGCTCCTGTTATTTTCCCTCCAAAAGTTCTGGCTCCGCCCCCTCTTGTCTGTCTGTCTGTCTGTCTGTCTTGGGAGCCAATCAGAGAGAGGCCCCAGCCCTCTGGTGGAATTCCAGGGGAACTGCATCACCAGGCTCTGCTGTCCATTCCATCATGGCATTTTGATGTCAATTAATTTTTTTATAGAGACATCACGTTACCAACAAAGGTCCGTATAGTTAAAGCCATGGTTTTCCCAGTAGTGATGTATGGAAGTGAGAGCTGGACCATAAAGGCTGATCGCCAAAGAATTGATGCTTTTGAATTCTGGTGCTGGAGGAGACTCTTGAGAGTCCCATGGACTGCAAGAAGATCAAACCTCTCCATTCTGAAGGAAATCAGCCCTGAGTGCCCATTGGAAGGACAGATCCTGAAGCTGAGGCTCCAATATTTTGGCCACCTCATGAGAAGAGAAGGCTCCCTGGAAAAGACCCTGATGTTGGGAAAGGTTGAGGGCACAAGGAGAAGGGGACGACAGAGGTTGAGATGGTTGGACAGTGTTCTCGAAGCTACAAACATGAGCCTGACCAAACTGCGGGAGGCAGTGGAAGACAGGAGTGCCTGGCGTGCTCTGGTCCATGGGGTCACAAAGAGTCGGACACGACTAAACGACTAAACAACAACAACATTTTTTTTATTATTATTACTTTTGCGTAGGTCAAATGGCAAAAGTAGTAAATAATGGCTAATTCGTGAGGGCGTCAGTTTGCCTGCACTCCAGTTCATTTCAACATCACAACGTGTCTTTGCTGAGAGAAGACACTTTTCTCTTCTCTTCGCCTGTCCATGCTTTTCCCAATCCTCCCCTCATGTTATGTACTGAGTTGAATAGGATCGAAAATGCAGCAGTCTGATTGGTCCTAGAACAATAGGATCCAGAAGGCAGCCTGTCTGATTCGTCCTAGAACCATAGGATCCAGAATGCAGCAGTCTGATTGGTCCGCAGGAGCCACCCAATCCAGCTCCAGGTGGAAGTGAATCCGCAACCTGATTGGCCATAAAGAGCATGGAATCCACACTCAACTCTGAGTATATTTCACCCCAAGATATAGGAATAAAGGAAGCGCACATTCCCCTCAGAGAGAAAGGAGCAGGCTTTGGCTGAGCGTCTGCTGAAAGGGAAGGAGGGCAGAACAGGTGTTTCCACCCACTACACCACACAGCCCCTTCTTCAGGACACAGTCGGCTTCTGCATCTCACCTTGTTGGGTCTTTTTTGGAGAGCCCACCTCCAGTCTAGAGGCCCGGGCATAGCCAGGATTTATTTGAGCGGGGCAGGATTTATGTTAGGAAGGGGGGTAGAACAGAGCTATCCGCAACCTGATAGGTCAGTTTGTTAATTCTTTTTATTTATTTATTTACTTAGTGGGGGCGGTTTGCAGCTGCCCTCTGCCTGCACCCATGTCTGGAGGCTGACAGAAGCGAAGGGGTTTTTTTTGGGGCGGGGGGCGGGTGGAGAATATTCCCTTTCCATCGGCAGAGTTGCATCGACTTCCTCCATCCCACCCGCTCCCCCCAGGGAGAGAACCTCTTGCTTTGAAAGGGGGCCAGACACGGCATCCTCCCTGGACCAGGTGGGTAAAGACTGGCAGGTGGAGGCCGTCTCTCGTGGATGCTTCCGTGGAGAGTCCAGCACCGCAGCGGGTTGGGCTGGATGACCTCGGAGGTCCCCTTCAAACTCTCCCATTCCCCGATTCTGTTTTTGTAAGCCAACCTGCCCCCTATGGGGCCCGAGGTCCTGCAGCCTGGCCCTGTCCCCCCCCCCCGCCCCTGCACAAGTCTTTGGCGGCGCCCCTGAGAATCATAGAATCGTAGAGCTGGAAGGGGAGCCGAGGGTCATCTAGCCCAACCCTCTGCAATGCAGGGCTCTTTTGCCCAACATGGGTCTGGAACCCACAACCCTGAGAGGAAGAACCCCCAGGCTGTACCCACTGAGCCATCCCACCTTTCCCAGCGTGGGAGCCTAGCTGAGCGTGTCCTGAATCTGGCGGGATCCAGATGCTTTCTCCCTAGGACGTGATCACTGAGCGGCGAGGCCACGTAAGGGTTAAGGAGAGCGAGAGAGCCCGGTTGCCTAGAGCGGCCTGGGAAAGGCCCCTCTCTCCATCCTTCCGCCTCGCCTCCTCTTTCCGCTTGTCTTGGAGGCCTCTGGGGCGGTGAGTCCTTTGGGCGAAGGGGAGGCTGTGGGGCGACGGAGGGGTGCAGAGGAGGCTGTTGGGGGGCTGAGAGATGAATGGGAGGATCCCCTGGGTGGGTGGGGTTAAGGGAAGCCATGGTTCCCAAGGCCTCTGAGGTCCCAGCACACCCCATGACCCCCGGGGGAAGTGGGTTGTTTGGGGGCCTCGGAAGTGGGCGCCCCTTGAGAACGGGGGGGCTGCAAGTGGGGAAAGAGGGTGGGCCTCCATCTTTGGCAGACGCTTTCCTTGCGACCCCTGCATTGCGCGGGGGTGGTCTGGATGACCCTAGGGGTCCCTTCCAGCTCCACAGTTCTCTGGTTCTGGGGGGTGGAGCATTGGAGCCAAATCCATGGGGCCGTGAGGGCTTTGGCTACCACGATAAAACACTTGAAGGGACTTGTGTGTGTGTGTGTGTGTGTGTGTGTGTGTGTACACACATGCACACACACTGTGTCACGTGCTCAGTTATGTGGGGCGGGGCTTGAGAGAAAGGGCTCCATCTTGGGTGAGGAAATATCCGGAGGGTGTGCCTTGGTTTCTCCCTCCTGCCCAGAAGTCTCCTTAAAGCCACATCCATAAGGGGGGGGGGTCCGAATTACTTTCTCCCCCTTCCCACTTGGAAACTGCTTCTCCCTCAGGGACTGGGGGCTCCCAAGGTAGGATGCTTCATGACACCGAATTAAACCAAAGGCCCACCTGGGTCAGTCTCTGCAGGGGTCTGGGGCTACCCATCCCCTCCAAGATGCCATAACTTGTTTAAACTGAGCTGTGCAAAATAATTTAAAAGAGGCTGGATCATCATCATCACTATCCGAGGCTGGGAGTTGTGTGCTGAGTTCCAGGGGGTTGTGGGAAGAGAAGGAGAAATGGTTGGGTGGGGGCTGGAGGGGAACCCTCCCCCCCCACAAAGTAAGCAGAAAAGTCAAGAAAGACCTAGCTACAGGGAGGGAGGGGAGCAGTCTTCTCCAAAGTCTCTCACCCGGTGCATGTTTCTGGGTGTCAGAAAGCAGCCCTGTGCAGATTTATTCATAAGTAAGCCCCGGTGGGTTGCTCGGTCCCTGCTCCTGCCAACCTAGCAGTTCGAAAGCACGTCCAAGTGCAAGTACATAAATAGGTATCGCTCCAGCAGGAAGGTAAATGGCGTTTCTGTGTGCTACTCTGGTTCGCCAGAAGCGGCTTAGTCATGCTGGCCACATGACCCGGAAGCTGTACGCCGACTCCCTTGGCCAATAAAGCGAGATGAGTGCCACAACCCCAGAGTCGGTCACGACGACCTAATGGTCAGGGTTGGACGTGCTTTTGTACTGCTAGGGTGACAGGAGCAGGGACAGAGCAAAGGGAGCTCACCCCGTCACGGGGATTTGAACTGCCGACCTTCTGATCGGCAAGTCCTATGCTCTGTGGTTTAACCCACAGCGCCACCCGCATCCCTATGGTCAGGGGTACCTTTACCATAGAATCATAGAGTTGGAAGAGACCACAAGGGCCATCGAGTCCAACCCCCTGCCAAGCAGGAAACACCATCAGAGCACTCCTGACATATGGTTGTCAAGCCTCTGCTTAAAGACCTCCAAAGAAGGAGACTCCACCACACTCCTTGGCAGCAAATTCCACTGTCGAACAGCTCTTACTGTCAGGAAGTTCTTCCTAATGTTTAGGTGGAATCTTCTTTCTTTCTTGTAGTTTGGATCCATTGCTCTGTGTCCGCTTCTCTGGAGCAGCAGAAAACAACCTTTCTCCGGGGGGGGGGGGGGGGGAGAACAGATTAAACTGGTATAACCAAAAAAACCTTTAAAAATGGGGCTCCTCTTGGGAAGGGGGTACCCTATTTGAGCTTCTCTAGAGGCTGCAGAATGTTTTGGGCAGGAGAATCCCTGCAGGGCCTCTGAGGCTCCCTTTGCTTCTTCCTCCCTCCCAGGAACCTGCAGCTTCTGAGCTCCTCAGGAAGGACCAAAGCGCCTGAACCTGCAAACCTAGTAAAGATGGAAGGAGGAAGATGGACAGTTGACCTTATCAGACTGCCTCCTGCATCCCTCCCCAAAACCTCTGGGCATTTTCTCCCAGGGCCCTCAGAGACATCTGGTGAGTTCCAGGGGAGTGGAGATGGGGACATAGATGGATCAATAAATGGTGAAGAGGAAAACCTATTCCTAGGTATTTGACTTTTAGGTGCTATTTGTTGGGATACTGCCAGGGAGACAAAATCCATCATGGCCCCCAAGTCGTCTCCAGACGTCCATCGATCTCCCGTAGACACGCAGTATCAGCAATTAGCGACACGAGCTCCAGAAATAGCTTGCCACATTCCAGAGCTGATGCACGCTCTATCAGCAGATAATGCACAGCGAAAGATGCACTCAGGAGAGCATTATTTACAAGTTTATTCAGCATTGATCAGAACAAAGAAAACATGACTGCCTGCTTCATGTTTCAGACACACAGAGAGAAACGAAAGCAAAGACACAACAGAAACATCCTGTGAACAGGAAATACGCAGACTCTCTGACTCACAAAGCCTGCTCCCTTTTAAGATGGAACGGAAATATCCTAACACCCTCCCCCTTTCCGTGTAACCTGTAGTACCTGTGGTTCAACCCAATTGCAACCTCTGTACATAAACCTTAAGTTGTTCTCTGTTAACAACCTTAGACAACAGATCAGCAGGAATTTCATTTCCTGGCATGTAGGACACCTGAATGAGTCCTTTCTGAATACACTCTCTTGCACGATGTAGCTTAATCTGCAAGTACTTGGTTCTTTGCTTGCAACTCTCTGAGTGAAAATGACAGAGCATTGAGTTCTGCTTCACAGGAACTTAGGCTTACTGTTGTCTGCTTCTTGCACAGCCAGTCAAACAGACAGTGGTTGTACATGTAGCATACTCCAGAAGTGCTTGTACCATCCGTGGTGTCACTTCCAAAACTAGCATCTGCAAAGATTTCAAGACCTCCAGTCTTCTGACTGGTGAACCTCAGCCTGTAGTGCAAAGTCCCTTTCAAATAGCAGGCTGTGCGCTTCAGAGCTTTCCAATCCTGAACAGTAGGATTGTTGGCATGTCTGCTAAGCAGGTTACAGCTTACAGCTATGTCAGGTCTTGAACATCTAGCAATGAAATTCAACTTGCCTAGAATGCATCTGTACAGCGTAGTGTCAGAAAACGCTTCAGCAGTACTATCTACCTGGTAACCTGTCACCATCGGTGTGTCTGCTGGGTTTGCATCAACCAAATTCAACCTGGTTAATACATCAGCAATTTTCTGTGTTTGGTGTACCAGAAAATTACCTGCTTGGTCCCTCTCCACCTGCAGAGAAAGATAGTTGGATACCTCACCAAGACCCTTCATGTCAAAGTGCTCCTTCAGCTGAGCTAGGGTGCTTTGGTACAAAGCCTGATTCTTCTAAAACATCAGAAGATCATCAACAAAACATAAACAATACAGTTTGTTTTGCCCCTCCTCCTTGACAAACACACATGGATCAGCTTTGCCCTGGTGAAAACCTAGAGAAAGCAACGTCTCAGTGAGTTTTGTGTTCCAACACCTGGCACTCTGCTTGAGACCATATAAGGATTTCCGCAGTTTACAGACCATTCCCTTCTGTATCTGCATCCCGTCAGGTGGAAGCATATACAGCTCCTCCCCCAAAACTCCATACAAAAAAGCTGTATTAATGTCATGATGGGAAACATGCAGTTTCTCTTCCGCAGCAATCTTGAGCATCAGCCGAATGCTCTCATACTTGAAGGTGGGTGAGTAGGTCTCGTGGTAATCCTGTCCTGGTACCTGTGAAAAACCTCTGGCAACCAATCTGGCTTTGTGTCTGACAACCTTGCCATTCTGGTCTGTCTTGGCCTTGAAGACCCATTTGCTGCCAACCAGTCTCATTCCTGGGACTACCGGTACCAGCTCCCAAGTTTGGTTCCTATTCAAGGAATCAACTTCAGCCTTCATGGCTTTAAGCCAAGGCTCAGCATCTTTAGAGGTTAACTCCTGAACCTCTTTGAAGCTTGAAGGTTCCCACACCTTCTCTGAGCTAGTAAGAACAGCAGTTGCTGTCTTAGCAAACTCATCAGCAAATCTCTTTGGAGGTTTGCCCTTCGTCGCCCTTTCAGATCTGCGTACTAGACGCAAGTCTTCTGGACTCATCTCCTCCTTCTTAGGAGAAAAGTGACCAATGGTGAACAGTGGTTCTTCCAGTTCATTGTCAGACGCATCAGATGGTCTGACTGAGGCCTTTGCACTCTTGTAGTCTGCTGTGTCATCACTGTCACTGACACCAGCAGCAGCACCGCCCAATGAACTGGAATCCGAACTCTGATCATCCTCCTCCTCCTCTTCTTCCTCAACACCATCTGCTTTTTTCACATCACCTTCATCCTCCTCTGGGTAACTCTGGAAAATTCCCACATTTCCCCCCCACTTAGGATTGTACTCAACACTCTTTGTGAACTTAATGGACTTAGAGTCAGTCATCCATACCCTGTATGCACCTTTTTCGTACCCCATGAACAAACCATGTGCCCCACGCTTCCCAAGCTTGTTGCTCTGTGGGGTGTGTACCCACATGTCAGAACCAAAGATTCTCATGTGCTTGATGCAAGGTTTCTTACCAAACATCTTCTCAAGGGGGTACAACCAATAGGTGATGACAGTCTGCGATTATGAGTGTAAACAAAAGTCGACAGAGCCTCCCCCCAATACTTATCAGGGAGATTGGCATCATGCAACAAGGTTTTTAGGCCTTGAAGCAACGTTTGATTTGCTCGCTCTGCAAGTCCATTCATCCATGGTGATCTAGGCGTTGACAAATCATGCTGGATTCCCTTCTCAGTCAGGAAAGCTTCAAACTGCTGAGAAGTGAATTCCCCGCCTCGATCAGTAAAGAGACAGCTGATACGTTTACTTTGAACATTCTCCAACCAAGCACAGAATGCCTTGAACTTCGGAAACGCTTGCGATTTCTGCTCGAGCATAAACACATGAATGTACCTGGAAAAAGAATCAATTAGAACCATGAAGTACCTTGCTCCACCCAAAGAGGGCGCAAGTGGACCAACCGGGTCTGTGTGGACTAGCTGGTAGGGTTTAGAAGCCTGCCTGCTAGACTCCTTGCCTTTTGGAGCAACCTTCACCTTGTTCTCTGCACAAGATACACATTTCATGTGAAACTTACAGGGTTTGATGTTCAAACCCTGAACCAATCCTGGCATCTTGGCCAGTGCCTGCCAAGACATGTGACAAAATCTTCTGTGTGCTTCATGAATGCATCCTGCATGAAGAATTTTGTTAGTTAGTGCAACACAACAAGAATCAACATTAGACACAACCGCACCATTGTCATCATAAGTTATACAGAACAATCCATCTATAAACTTTGCGTGCAAAATGTCCTCTTTGCCTTTCCTGATGACACAGACGCTCCTCTTGAAGGAAATCTCAAAACCACGCCCAGTCAGCTGTGGGACACTGAGCAAATTGTCTGCAGCACCTGGAACATAAAGTACACCTTTGATGGTTGTGTGCAGACTTGCCAGTCTCACAGTCCCTTCTCCTGCGATTCGCAACGTCTTTCCGTCAGCCAGGTGGATCTCACCATCTTGAGGTTTGAAGGAGATAAAGAGATGCCGGTCTTTTGTCAAATGGCGGGTGCATCCAGAATCTACAATAAATCTGGCCTTGGACCTTTGGAGCAGCTTTTGCAGCAAGCAAAACCTTGTTATCCACCGGCGTGGGCTTTTGCTGCTTGCCCCCCCCCGCTCCTGGCCATCAAACTTGCCTTTAGCCTTTGGTGAGGCTGTGCCAGCAAACAAAGCCTTGTTTGCCACTGGCATGGGCTCTTCACCCCCCTTCTGCTTTGGGCCATCTGCAGGTATCGGTCTCTGTTTACCTCTGGCCTTCCGGCCTCTGTGAGGATGACCTTGGCTCCCATGAGAAACAGAGCTCTCAGCTGCCGACTCCTTGGCTCCCCCTGGAGGCTGGAATGCTGCCTGGGATGACATCACAGTCAGCTCCCCCTGCAGCTTGCAACCGGTGCCCTCGGCATCCCTGCATTCACTCGCATTCTGGGAAACAGCCAGTACCTCCGATGCAGTCAAACTCTGGGCTGGGATGACTGGCAGATGGGCTATCTTCAAAGCATTCCACATCTTACGTGCAGTTGTGTTACCAGCTAACATGGCAATTTCCTCCAGAGAGACGGAAAAGACTATTACGTCTATGGCCTTTGAATTTTGGGCCCTCCATCTGTCTGTCAGAGGAACTGGAGGGGCTTCAGACACAGTATGCCACACTCCAAACTGACGCAGCAAACTTTCACACCATTTTGCCCAGGTCTCATAATTGTGCCGATTTAACTTGGGGCACTCAGCAGCTTCAGAAGCTTGTAAAAACTCCATTCCAGCTCTTCACTTGAGCCGTGAGCCTTATTCACTTCAGAGGCTCCTTATCTCGGCAGCTCATAAATCTTGAGGCCTGCTTGGCTTGACTCCCAGACCAATTAGTCGGCCGGAGTTCAAAGAGGCTTTGCCGTGGCAACGAAAACCCTCACTTTCACTTTTCCCCTACATACCTCTCTCGCAGTCTTACTCTCCTGTAAGTGCCGTGAATCTGGGCCCGAAACCTGTTGTTGGGATACTGCCAGGGAGACAAAATCCATCATGGCCCCCAAGTCATCTCCGGACGTCCATCGATCTCCCGTAGACACGCAGTATCAGCAATTAGCGACACGAGCTCCAGAAATAGCTTGCCACATTCCAGAGCTGATGCACGCTCTATCAGCAGATAATGCACAGCGAAAGATGCACTCAGGAGAGCATTATTTACAAGTTTATTCAGCATTGATCAGAACAAAGAAAACATGACTGCCTGCTTCATGTTTCAGACACAGAGAGAGAAACGAAAGCAAAGACACAACAGAAACATCCTGTGAACAGGAAATACGCAGACTCTCTGACTCACAAAGCCTGCTCCCTTTTAAGGTGGAACGGAAATATCCTAACACTATTTCCTCTGCAGGACTCCTGGCTAGTTGCTGATCTTTTTGGGCAAGGTTCTTGACCGTGTGGTTGCAGACATAATCCAGGTGGTTTTGGAGGAAGCTGATTTTCTAGATCCATTGTAATTGGGTTTTGGCCCAGAAACTGCTTTGGTTGCCCTGTATGATGACCTCTGTTGGGAAAGAGACAGCAGAACTGTGTTCCTACTAATTCTTGACCTTTCAGCGGCTTTCGATTCCATCTACCATGGTATCCTTGTAGAGCAGCTGTTTGCGTTAGGGGGTGGGTGACACCGCTTTGCTGTGGTTCCTATCTTACTTGGATGGTTGTTTTCAGAGGGTGTTGCTTGGAGAGTATCCTTCAGCCCTGTAGAACCTTCAATGTGGGATTTCTCAGGGTTCAGTTTTATCCCCTATGCTGTATAACATCTATATGATACCACTAAGTGGAGTTACCCAGAGGTTTGGAGTATGTTGTCAGCAATATGCTGATGACACTCAGCTCTATTTCTCAGTTGCATCTACAGGTGAGGCAGCAGGTGTGCTAGACCATTGTCTTGCCTTGGTAATAGACTGGATGAGAGGCAACAAACTGAAGCTGAATCCAGCTAAGACAGAGGCCCAGTTAATGGGTGGTTCCCTAGACTGGATGGCTGGGAGGTTGCCTGCTCTTGATGGGATTACACACCCTCTGAAAGAGGAGGCATGTTGCTTGGTGGGACTTCTGCATCCATTGCTGGCTCAGGTGGCCATAGCGGCGTGGCTTCAGTTGGCGGCCCCAGCTGCACCCCTATCCTATTCCAACAAGAAAGACAAGTGGGAGGTACATAAAGAAGCACATGTGGCTGTATAAGGAGCTTTCGGATGAGCTGAAATTTAAGAAAGGCGGGAGTAAGAAATGGAAGAAAGGGGAAATCATGAAGGAATAGTATAAATGAGTAGCCAGCAGTAACAAGGATAAGATCATGCAGACGAAAGATAAGAATGAGCTTGGGCGTACAAGAGAGGTAAAAAATAATAAAAGTCCTGAGTCTGTTGTTGTTCGACATCTTTATAAACAACTTAGATGAAGGAATTGAGGGGATGGCTACTCATCCAATGTGCAGATTATGCCAAAGTGGGAGATTCAATATTACCATAACAGATTGGAGTACTGGGCAAAAATGAATTTCAGTGGGGACTGAATATCAGATTCTACAATGAGGCCAGAAGAACCAACTGCACATATATAAGATGGAGGGCACCTGGGTTGTCAGTAGTACCTGTCTCACCACAAGCTTAACATGATCAAAGGACTGGAAACCAAGCCTTATGAAGAATAGCTGAGGAAGCTGGGTTTGCTAAGCCTGAATAAAAGGAAACTAGGAAGAGATATGCCATCTTCCTCGTACACCTCGTACCTACGGGACCGCCTCTCCCGGTATGCCCCACAGAGACCCTCAAGGTCCATAAATAGCAAGACCCTAGTGGTCCCGGGCCCTAAGGAAGTTAGATTGGCTTCAACCAGAGCCAGGGCCTTTTCAGCTCTGGCTCCGGCCTGGTGGAACGCTCTGCCTCATGAGACCAAGGCCCTGCAGGATCTGATTTCTTTCCGCAGGGCCTGCAAGACAGAGTTGTTCCGCCTGGCCTTTGGCTTGGAGCCAATTTGATTCCCTCCCCCTCTTTCTTTTTTCCTTTCTCCTCCTGCGATGAGGCTACATCTTAATATTTTAATGTTTTCAATGTTTTAATGTATTTTAATTTTGTTTTTAAGTTGTATTCATTCAACTTATTTTTATTATTGCTTGTTAGCCGCCCTGAGCCCGGCCTTGGCTGGGGAGGGCGGGGTATAAATAAAAATTATTATTATTATCTTCTGATATCTTATCTAAAGTGCTGTCACGTGAAGATGGAGCAAGCTTGTTATCTTCATCTCTGGAGGGTAGGACCTGATCCAATGGATTCAGATTACAAGAAATGTGAATCCAGCTAAACAGTAGAACAGACACCCTCTGAAGGTGGTTGACTCTCCTTCCTTGGAGCCTTTTAAGCAGAGCTTGGATGCTTAAGTCGAGATTGCTGCATTGCAGAAGTTTGGACAAGAGGACCCTCGGGGTCTCTTCCAAGTCTAGATAGAATTGTTCATATACCACCCTTCATCTAAGCATCACTGCACGGTTTACAATATAAATGAAGAAAAATACGTAACATCGTAACAACCAAAACAGTACAACCACACACACAATTTAAAGAGGCAGAGATGATTTAATTAGGCACAGGCAAGGGAAAAGAGGAAAGTTTTCATTTGTTGCCCAGATTGTAACACCTGGCATTACTATATTTTGACATCATTTTAGGTGTATTCCTAAAAAAATGGAACATGAAAAGAGAGACCGTAAGAGATATTGAAATAAGAGGCGCTATTTGCACCCGATGTGTGTTATGTTACTTCTTCCTCTTCCTTGGAAGCCTAACAGGATTTTCTTTCCTCCCCAAGCAGGTGATGGAAACAATAGTCAGAATTTACCTGGAATTTCATTGAAGAAACCATTTAAATGCATGGTGTGCGGAAAGTGCTTCATCCAGAAGACAAAGTTTACTTTACACCAGCGAACTCACACAGGGGAGAAACCATATGAATGTATGGAGTGTGGAAAGTCTTTCAGCCGGAAGGAACACCTTACTTTACACCAGCGAACTCACACAGGGGAGAAGCCATTTCAGTGTATGGAGTGCGGAAAGACATTTGCTGATCCTGCAAGCCATGCAAGACATCAACGGATTCACACAGGAGAAAAACCATTTAAATGTTTGGAGTGCGGAAAGTGCTTCAATGTAAGTGGAAACTGTACAAAGCATCAACTCACTCACACAGGGGAGAAACCTTTTAAATGTTTGGCGTGCGGAAAGTGCTTCATTGATCATACATCCCTTAGTTCACATCAAAGAATTCACACAGGGGAGAAGCCATTCAAATGTATGGAGTGCGGGAAATGTTTCAGGTGGAAGAAATACCTTACTACACACCAGCGAACTCACACAGTGGAGAAACCATATGAATGTATGGAGTGTGGAAAGTGTTTCAAGTGGAAGCAATACCTTACTGCACACCAGCGAAATCACACAGGGGAGAAACCATTTGAATGTATGGAGTGTGGAAAGTGTTTCAGGTGGAAGCATTCCCTTACTATACACCAGCAAACTCACACAGTGGAGAAACCATATGAATGTATGGAGTGTGGAAAGAGTTTCAGGTGGAAGTATTACCTTACCACACACCAGCAAACTCACACAGTGGAGAACCCATATGAATGTATGGAGTGTGGAAAGTGTTTCAGGTGGAAGCATTCCCTTACTACACACCAGCAAACTCACACAGGGGAGAAACCATATGAATGTATGGAGTGTGGAAAGTGTTTCAGGTGGAAGCATTCCCTTACTACACACCAGCAAACTCACACAGGGGAGAAACCATTTAAATGTATGGAGTGTGGGAAGACTTCCGCAGATAGTGGATCCCATATAAAACATCTACGAATTCACACAGGAGAAAAACCATTTAAATGTATGGAGTGTGGAAAGACTTCCGTAGATAGAGGATCCCATATAAAACATCTACGAATTCACACAGGAGAGAAACCATTTAAATGTAACGAGTGTGGAAGCTGCTTCAATCAAAGTGGAAACCTTAAAAAGCATCTACGAATTCACACAGGAGAAAAACCATTTAAATGTAACGAGTGTGGAAGCTGCTTCAATCAAAGTGGAAACCTTAAAAACCATCTACGAATTCACACAGGGGAGAAACCATTTGAATGTAAAGAGTGTGGGAAGACTTCCGCTGATCGTTCAACCCATGCAAAACATCTACGAATTCATACAGGAGTGAAACCATTTAAATGTATGGAGTGTGGGAAGAGCTTCACACGGAAGACAACCCTTACTTTACACCAGAGAACTCACATGGGAGAAACAATTTAAATGTATGGAGTGTGGGAAGAGCTTCAGTCAAAGAGGAAGACTTAGAAAACATCAACAAACTCACACAGGATGAAAAAGCATTTAAATGTGTGCAGTGTGGAAAGTGCTTCAGCTAGTAATCACACCTTCACATCAACAAATTCACACTGGGAAGAAACCATTTAAATGCTCAGAGTGTGGAAAGAGCTTCAGTGAAAGTGGAATGTTCATATTCATCAGGGAATTCACATAAGAGAAACAATTTAAATATATGGAATGTGGAACAATTTTCACTCACATTTCACTCTTATCACACAAAATATAGAGCCATAAAATTGTAGAATGGGAAGGGCCCCAAGGGACATCTAGTCCAACCTCCTGCAATAGTAAAATCTAAACGGATGGCCTTTGGAGAATTTTAATCAATGAAGGGGAGCCCACAACCCATCAAAGGAGTTTGTTCCCCTGTTGAAAAGATCTTATCATCAGAAAGCTCTTCCTGATGTTTAGCCAGAATCCACACTTTAATCAATTTGCTAACTCTCATCTTCTTAAAATAAGAGCTAATCTGATCATGTGTCGCTTTGCATTTTGAACTTCATAAGTTTCACGATCAATAATACTGGCTGATGTACAGTATTAAATATATGTGTTTAGGAAGTTTGCATTAGACAGGACAGGTTTGTCTGCAACAAATTGTGGGATGTTTCTGTTTTGAGGGTTTCGGCTAAATCAGGGTTTCCCAGACTTGGGTCTCCAGTTGTTTTTGGACTACAGCTCCCATCATTCCTGACCACTGGTCCTGCTAGCTAGGGATGATGAGAGTTGTAGTCCATAAACAGCTGGAGAACCAAGTTTGGAAAACCCTGGGCTAAATGATGACTCATTGCTGGAAACCCGAGTGGTCTCTTCTGGCAGAAAATGGAACCCGAGAACTCAGCGGAGCAATGCATTACTTTGTATCTTTGCAAGCTTTATTTTCAACTCTTTTAAAACTCTTCTGCAATAAAGCTTTGAAACTCATCCTTTGTAGTGGAGACTAATTGTTTTCTACTCTACACACGGTCTGTATCAGAGCAACTGTCACCCTTTCTCAGTCCAAACCACCTCACAGGGTTGTTGCAGTGATAAAATGGAGAGGTGGGAGAAGTGTGTCAATCTTTCACAAGAGCATTTGATGACTGTCAAGATACTCAGATCTGGTGCTTCTGTGGGGGATCGGGATCCTTGCCTCACCTTATCTGGTTTTTTCTTGGCAGGAATTCCAGTTGGGATTCAGGCCTCATCATGGGACAGAAACTGCCTTGGTTGCGCTGGTCAGCCACATCAACCCGATCTAGAAAAACCTCCATTGGCTCCCAGTACAATTCCAAGCATAATTCAAAGTGTTGGTGCTGACCTTTCAAGACTTAAACGGCCTCAGCCCAGTATACCTGAAGGAGTGTCTCCACCCCCATCGTTCAGCCCAAACACTGTGGTTCAGCTCCGGGGGCCTTCTGGCGGTTCCCAACCCTGCGAGAAGTGAGGTTACAGGGAACCAGGCAGAGGGCCTTCTTGGTAGTGGCGCCCACCCTGTGGAACGCCTTTCCATCAGATATCAAGGAAGTAAAAAACTATATGACTTTTAGAAGACATCTGAAAGCAGCCCTGTTTAGGGAAGTTTTTAATGACTGATGTTTTAATGTACAGTGGTACCTTGGGTTACATACGCTTCAGGTTACACACTCTGCTAACCCAGAAATAGTGCTTCAGGTTAAGAACTTTGCTTCAGGATAAGAACAGAAATCGGGCTCCGGCAGCGCGGCAGCAGCAGGAGGCCCCATTAGCTAAAGTGGTGCTTCAGGTTACGAATAGTTTCAGGTTAAGTACGGACCTCCGGAACGAATTAAGTACTCAACCTGAGGTACCACTGTACTTTTAATCTTTTGTTGGAAGCTGCCCAGAGTGGATGGCGAAAAACCTGCACTTGGGCAAAAAAAATGAGAGGCACAAATACAAGATGGGTGACACCTGGCTTGAGAGCAGTACATGTGAAAAGGATCTAGGAGTCTTGGTTGACCACAAACTTGACATGAGCCAACAGTGTGACGGGGCAGCTAAAAAAGCCAATGCAATTCTGGGCTGCATCAATAGGAGTATAGCATCTAGATCAAGGGAAGTAATAGTGCCACTGTATTCTGCTCTGGTCAGACCTCACCTGGAGTACTGTGTCCAGTTCTGGGCACCACAGTTCAAGAAGGACACTGACAAACTGGAACGTGTCCAGAGGAGGGCAACCAAAATGGTCAAAGGCCTGGAAACGATGGCATATGAGGAACGGCTAAGGGAGCTGGGCATGTTTAGCCTGGAGAAGAGGAGGTTAAGGGGTGATATGATAGCCATGTTCCAATATATAAAAGGATGTCACATAGAGGAGGGAGAAAGGTTGTTTTCTGCTGCTCCAGAGAAGCGGACACGGAGCAATGGATCCAAACTACAAGAAAGAAGATTCCACCTAAACATTAGGAAGAACTTCCTGACAGTAAGAGCTGTTCGACAGTGGAATTTGCTGCCAAGGAGTGTGGTGGAGTCTCCTTTGGAGGTCTTTAAGCAGAGGCTTGACAACCATATGTCAGGAGTGCTCTGATGGTGTTTCCTGCTTGGCAGGGGGTTGGACTCGATGGCTCTTGTGGTCTCTTCCAACTCTATGATTCTATGATTCTATAAATAATTTATTATTATTATTATTATTATTAATAATAATAATAATAATAATAACGTGTTTGTCAGGGTTTGGGGGGGATGTTGGGTGAGTGGGAAGTCACTAGTTTGGTGGAATTGGAATGTAACTGTTGAGTAACAAATGTAGCTTTATGGAAAAAAAGAATAGAACATTATTACCTTTCAAAAAAAAAAGTTTCCCTCACAGGGGAGTTGCTCCATCCAATTTGTCATTCTGGTGGTCCTTCGTTGAACTTTCCCATAGGGTTGCCCTATGTCAAAAAGTGACAAGCTGAAACAAGTTTAGCTTTTTTTTTTTGGCCAAAGTTGTTGAGCTTTCTCTGCAGGATAAATAAGAATTTTTTTCCCCCAGGTGGTTTTTTTAAATTCACCAAAATCCACACTTCTGACAAGGATTGCCATACATCTAGATTCTTCCAGACATTTAAGCGATTTTTTTTGCCTGGAAACTGTTTCCTCCATCAAAATCCCTGCAATGTCTGGGAAATTCCGGGCGTATGGCAACCCTGGACAGCCGGAACTGCACTGCTGCATTCACAGTGCTGTCTCGCAATCAATATGTATGTGTTACAGAATAAAAGTATTACAGAATTTGGGGGCTGCTCCAATAGTTATGTCCGTGGTGCCAGCGATGTTATGGGAAAGTGAATAAACTGTGCTGGGTGTATCAGCTTTTGCAAAGTGCGCTTCGGAGGACTGTTGGGTGTAGTGAAGGGTTAACCTTCTGTGTCTCGAGGCTGAGAGGAGGCACGTACAAGGGAAGTACGCCAGGACGTGACGAAAGCAGCTTGGAATGCTGTGAGCTGAGTGCAAAGTGAAAGCAGTTTGTTGCGTAGCTGCAAACAGGGAGAAAATGCAGCTTGATTCTGATGGCAGTTATTGATTGTAAATATGCTACTTTTGAGCAAATAAAGGGATATCAGGACAGAAGAAACGTGTGGGACTTGCTTACTGCTCTTTCGACACACACTGCTGCGTAATTCTGCTAATTGCTTTACGACTGCTACAAAGCCACCCTGCGTAAACAGAAGCTACAGAGGTTCGCAGGGGAAGCGTGGCTGGGCGCCGAACAATAAAGCAATAAATCTACCGAACAAGGACTTTGCGCACCAACCGTGCTGCAAATCTTGCAAGTCCTTCCTGCCCATCAACAGAGGCAGCCGACCCCCACTTTGCAGCTGCAAGGGAGCCTGGGAGATAAAGTGCTGCTGGGAATTGTAGTCTCTTATGGCCTTAAAACGGGATGTGGGTGGTGCTGTGGGTTAAACCACAGAGCCTAGGACTTGCCGATCAGAAGGTTGGTGGTTCGAATCCCCGCGTCGGGGTGAGGTCCTGTTGCTCGGTCCCAGCTCCTGCCAACCTACCAGTTCGAAAGCACGTCAAAGTGCAAGTAGATAAATAGGTACCGCTCTGGCAGGAAGGTAAACGGTGTTTCCGTGCGCTGCTCTGGTTCGCCAGAAGTGGCTTAGTCATGCTGGCCACGTGACCTGGAAAGTGTACACCAGCTCCCTCGGCCAGTAAAGCGAGATGAGCGCCACAACCCCAGAGTCGGTCACGGCTAGACCTAATGGTCAGGGGTCCCTTTATCTCTACCTTTATGGCCTTAAAAAAAAGAGAGAGAAAGTGGTTTCTGGGAAGTGTAGCCTGTTCCGTTCTGCAAGCATTTCTCTCCACCCGCAGGGGGCTGGTTGGTGGTCAGGAAGGGGCCGGCGGAAACATTGCAAGATCTGCGGTGTCATCAGTATGCAAAACACTGCAAACGATAATAAGTGGCGAGATCAGAAGCAGAAGGGGCTTCCTTTATTTCTGGAGGGGCGTGCGCTTAAGCTGGAGACGGGGGGGGGAGGCACTTCTCTGTTGGTTTTCTTTTTTCTTGCTTCAGCTTCGCTTGTGTGACTTTGCAGCTGTAAAGAAGGATCCTAAGAATGGAGTGAATTAACAAGGACACACTATGCCTGTCTCTCCCCCAACAGAGGTCATCATACAGGGTGACCAAAGCAGTTTTGTGCCCAAGCCGGACCTAAACCCTTTTTGAAATGAATCTAGGAATACCAGTTTCGTCCAAGATCGCCTGGATCTAGTCAAACTCTTATATTGTATTTTCCACAAATTCATTTCGTCCTTAAGGCAGCATATATTTTTTAAAATACTGTGTACTGTGGTAACATAGCCATGACACACAATAAAAAATCCGTCATCTCTCTGTGTAAGAATAATACCTAATGAGTAACAGTTCATTTAACATATATGTCAGATTTTAAATCAGCAAGAAGCTTACCAATAGGTCAGGTAAGTGCAGTTTTTCTAGAGCTCACCATGAACTTCTCCTGTGTTCTCTTAGAATGGCAACGGCACCCACCTGGAAAGTTCTGGAACTGAATTCTGGCTGGGAAAAAGCCCCGGTCAGGTCATAATATGTGCTGATTTCACATCCAAAAATAATCTCAGACCAATGGGTATATGGGAGCCTCACTCCTTCTTAAAAGAAGATGTTTTATACTTCTCAGTCCTTTATGCCGTAGCTCCCTAAAGGTTCCTAGGACAGGAGGGTTGGGCAGGTCAGCTGATTCAAGCCCCTGCCAGAAGGCATACACACACCCTTTCTTAGCTTTGTGCAGCATTGAGTTCCATAGATGAACAACATTGTTTCCAAAGTTCACGATCTCATTTTCCTGTTTACCATTTGTCCCAGGAAATGCCATCGGGGAAAAGAACATTTGTACTCTGCGTGGGAAGTGTTTTACTGGGAAACTTGATCTTGTCAAACACCCGAGAGACCATCATGGACACAAACCGCACAAATGCCTGTATTGTGAGAAACAGTTTGCTCTACGGTGTCAACTAGTGAGACACAAGAGGATCCACAAAGGGGAGAAGGCCTACAAATGCCCTGAGTGCAAGAAGACTTTTACCTGCTCAGAAAACCTTAGGATCCACCAGAGAGTTAATGCCGGGGAGGAACCTTATAAGTGCATGGACTGTGGGAAGTGTTTTGCTGCCAACTCTGCATTGGTGATCCACCAGAGATCCCACACTGGGGAGAAACCTTACAAGTTACAAGTGGGATAAGTCCCACGATTGGAATGTAATAATGGAGGGATACAATCTATTTCAGAGAAACAGACCAGACAAGAAAGGAGGAGGAGTGGCGTTATATGTCAGGGATGTGTATACCTGTGAAGAGATCCAAGATTTAGAACCTCAAAGCCAAAGTGAGAGCATTTGGGTCAAAATTAAGGGAGAGAAGAATAACAGTGACCTCATTGTGGGAGTTTACTATAGATCCCCAAGCCAAACGGAGG